GTGCGCAATTGGCTGCCGCGATTCGCCCACAAATATAGTCAATTCACTTTACAGTATATTCTGTGAAGCGCTTTGAGACGTCTAAAAGACGTGAAAAGCGCTGTAGCAAATGCAAGGGTTATTTATTATTATTATCACGTCATCGAAATGTCTTGAAGCGCTTCACACGATATACGGTAAAGTGGATTAAAATACACAAAAAGTGTATTTTGTGGCTGTGTTTCACGGCAATTAATTGCGCACAGTAGTTTCCCACAAACATTCTGTAGTGAATGCACTTATCCATCCTGACTTATTGTTTCCCTTAGAAAGCTAAACTGACAATGATTCAGTGCGTGGATATGTGCACCCAATATCTGACAGCAAGACTCGTGTGTAGCTTAAAGCGATATAATTCCAAGAAATGTTTGTACTCGTTTTGTGTCAGTTGCAAGTAGGTGCACGAATGAGAAACTGAGTGTGCTGTTGCGCTGGTTTTGGCCAAGTACATCTTTGGAATGTTGCTTTAGCCCCTCCCAGACTTGCAAATGTGTTAAGGGCCAAGTGGAGAAATAGTTAGATGAAACGACCGGCGTGTCAATTTTCTGAAACCAGAGGATGGAGGAACTTTCATGCTCTTTGGCGTCTGAGGAGGATAATAATAATAATAATCCTTGCATTTGATGTAGCGCCTTATCACGTCGTCGAGATATCTCAAAGCGCTTAAATTATGGAACAGGCTCCCAAGGGAGACAGTGGAAGCAGAAAATGTCATTTGTTTCAAGAACAGATGAGATAGATTTCGGCTAAAAAGTAATATCTCAGGATATAGTTTGGGGCACAACATGTCAAGCGACTGCCAGGATGGTGGAAGGTGAACTAGATGGACCTTGGTCTTCTCCTAGCAAATTCTTGTGTTCTTCTGTTCACCGGATATACTGTAAAGTTAATCGACTGTTTATTTTGTGGGCGAAACAAGGTAGCAATTGCACACAGCAGTGTACCACAAACGGTTGTGGATTGAGTGACCCAATTTTTTTAAAGGAATTTATTACCCCCAGAAAGCAACCACCAATCGTCTAACAACCGGGTTCCTACTTGCTGATGGGTAAACAGAGGCAGTTGGAGTAAGGAAACTTGTTTAGCATTTCACGCTGCCCAAGAATCAAACCTGAGTTCTCCCGCTTGCGAGGCGAGCGCACTAACTACTGCGCTACGGGACTCAACATTAGAAAGTATTCTGAATTCTGGAATTCCTAGGTGCAGTATAGAAATTACTCTTTAAATCCTGAACTCTTAGTGCCTTGGGCATGGTGATATTCTGTGAATTACAGCACATCAAGTAATGGATTTGTTGGAACCGTGAATGGACAGCTCAGATTTAATTACTTTACCCAGTGCTGACATATGTGGTATAGAATACCCAGGGAACAGGTTGGACATTGATTATGTCAGCAAATTCAAGAGGGAAATAGATAGCTATGGTATTTGGCAACAAAATCGACTGATTCATTTGAGGCTGAGTAGTACCGGGTTATTTATTTCAGCCTGGCTCAAATGATCATACTCTCGTCTGAGTCAGAAGGTTGTGGGTTCACTTCAGGCCTTCCAGCTCACAGTCTAGGCTGAACTCCAGTGCAGTGTTGGGTGTGTGCTGCATTGTCAGAGGTGCCAACCTCAAGATGAGCTATTAAACCAATTTAATAAGTTAATATTTTAATTTAACGTCCGCCTGCTCAATTGGACTTTAAGGATCCCGTTGCACTATTCAAAAAGAGAAGAAAGTTTCTCTCGGTGTCCTGACCAACCATTGCTCAATTAGCTGTCGTATTTGCCTACAAAATACACATTTGCCACTCTTTACAGTAAAAACATTCTAGAGTGCTTTGAGAGTCCTTCTGCCTTACATGTGGAGTCCTGTAGCTCAGTGGTTAGAGCACTCGCTTTGCAAGCGAGAGACCTGAGTTCAATTCCAGGCAGGGCGAAACCTTGGGCAAGTTTCCTTACTCCACACAGAGCCTAATAATAATCCCTCCAAAACCAAAAACAATAATAAATTGGTCATTTTCAATCTACGACTGTTTGTGGGATATTGCTGTGCGCAATTAGCTGCTGCGTTCGCCCACAAATATACAGTCATTCACTACACAGTGTGTTCTGTGAAGCGCTTTGGGACGTCCTCCCGACGTGAAAAGCACTATATCAAATGCAAGGATTATTATTATTATGTAGTTAATAATATTTAATAATAATAATAATTATTTTTTCAAGTAATAATCATAATAATCCTTGCAGTTGCTAAAGTGCAAATCACCGATCAGGAGCATATCCCAAAGCACTTTACAGAATATATTGTAAAGAGGAGTGAGCAAAAGTGAGTGAATGAAGCAGCCATTTGCACACAGTAACATTCTCCCAAACAGCCATGAAATGAGTGACCAATTGAGAGATTGCTGGCCAGGAAACCAGGAGAAACTTCCTTCTGTTTTCAAATAGGATCTTTAGGATCCACCTGAACAGGCGGACAAAGCACATTATTGGTCAATAACTCGCTTCCCCCCCCCACCCCCCACCCAACAAAAAATGCATTAGTCAATCTAAGAATTCTAAAGTAAAGGGAAGAAGAGAAATCGACTGAAGGTCATTGAGTAGAAAAGAATGATATTGAGAGTCCAGTCACAGATGTTTTAACTTCAGACATTTCTCCTTCATGAATAATTAAATTCACAGACTGCATCATAGAACCTGGGTCCCCGGTAAACAAAGCTTTGATTTGATCTCTGCTCACACGCTCATTGTATTAGTCACTCATAAATCTTTACTGCACAGTAAGCATGTTCCCCCCACACATACTCGCAGACACACACACAGACTAAAATCTCAGCGTTGAGCAGCCTGCATTTTTTTCAAGGTTGGACTATACATAGGCCAACCTTGAAAAAAATACTACAAACAACACTACAATTAATGCAAAAGAAAATGGCTTGTTCAGCCGTGAAGTGAGCTCCATACAAATGAATTATTAGCTTGGCTAGGTTACAAACCAAATACACATTCTAGGTATACAGTAAAATCCTGTGAAGCACTTTGAGACTTTCAACTATAGGATAAGGCGCTTTATCAAATGCAAGGATTATTAATACTATGCAATACAAGTTTATATTTATATATTGCTTTTCTAGGATCTGCAAGCCTATAACTCACACCCTCACCCCTTTCTGTGCTTGGCTCCATTGGCCCTCCATTCCCCCAAGATCCGTGTTCTCATCTTTAAATGCTTCCACATGGTCTCACCCCACTTTACCTCCTTGACCTCCTTCAACCACACCAACACAACTACTCCGTTCACTGAGTGAATATCTACTGAGTGAAGGGAACAGTTTGTCAATGTGGCAGTTTGCATTACAAAAATGCCAGTAGGTTTTCCTAAACCTTTATCCGATAACTGTATTCGCTGCGACTTTGAACCTTTGCTTTAATTTAGATTATTTTACATTTTAAAAGGAAATATTTTTCAAGGTTTTCGCTGCAATGTGAATGTGAGTAGGCTATGATTTGATGCCCATATTTTGTACAATAGCTCCTTTCTTATCCTGGACATTCCCCATATCAGATATAACCTTAAGGGCTAGTTATTCAAGTTCTAAAATTATTATAATACACCGTCTGGCCACCATCAGCAGGGGAACTTTCAGCCATTCTGCTCCCATTCTCTGGAAGCCTGTCCCTTCGAGGACACAGAGGTAGAGACTTGTGGATAATTAGTAGTGTTTGTGGTCATATCAAAAAGAGACTGTCATGAAGACTCACTGCCTTTCACACTGTCAGACTGAGAGCAGTTCTGTCATTATCGCCTCTCAAGCTTCATATCCCTTTCTAATCAGCAGCGTTCGTCAGAATGATATTTGATTATCACTCAGAAAATCTCAGGAACTTGCTGGCAGCAGCCATTCAGAATGTAAATATGGTCCCTCCAGAGTATTTAAATTAGCAACTAAAGCACTGCTTGCGCCAACTCCATGGTTAGACTTTACACCAATTAACTCATAGGACAGCCAGGTCTGTATTACGAACATTTAATAATAATAATCCTTGAGTAGAAACCTAGTTGTTAGTCGATTGACGGATCGCTCCGGGGATATTAGTGCTCAAAAAAATAGTAATAATTTGGTCACTCAATCCACAATTGTTTGTGGGACTCTCCTGTGCGCGATTGGCTGCTGTGTTTTGCCCACAAAATATAGTCAATTCACTTTACAGTATATCCGGTGAAGGGCTTTGAGACATCTTGACGACGTGATAAAGGCGCTATATCAAATGCAAGGATTATTATTATATTGTAAGTAGTTAGTCAGACTCCCCGACACAGACAACGATCATACAAATGAACCTCTCTGGAAAGGGCGCCTCGGTTTTGCAGGAATGTAGTTCAAATAAACTTCAGCAAGCGCTTTTAAAGCCTTTTAATCCACCCTTGTAAACTGGGATTTTGAGATGAAATATTTTCTGCATAAACACACACGTTATCAATTAGGAGTATTTATTCCAGTGCAAGCTTCACGTGGTTACAGCGTGATTGATGGTTCGGTTGGTAATCATCATCGTTGAGGTATGTATTTAACATGGGTTTTCCACTCCATTGATCTTTCTGCAACAAGGCAGAGCTGAGCTCTGAGTGCCAACATGGACCCGCTGTGCTGAAATTTAGAATAAACACACACTTTTGAGGTTAATATTGTCTTTAGGCTGCAAAGTTTTGAGAGGATTTTTATTTTTTCTTGCTTCAATTTTTTTTCCTCCAGCTTTTTTCGCTTCATGCCTGAGCACCTTCCTGTGTGCAATTGGCTGCCGCATTTTGTCCAACAAATATACAGTTAATACAGGAGACGTCTCAATGATGTGATAAGGCCCTATATCAAATGCAAGGGTTATTATTATTATTGTGATACTGTCTCTCAGTGTAAAATTTTCCACTGTACCTCTTATACAATAATATTAATGGATATTTATCTTCTCAACAGCTCTTCCACGTGGCTTACATTCTGATAAAGTTTGCCAACTCTCCTCGTCCTGACCTTTGGGTATTGGAACGATCTGTTGACTTTGGGAGAACATACGATCCCTGGCAGTATTTTGCTCGTAAGTCTTAAGACCTGGGTTTTATCTCACAAGGTTTGTAGTTCCCTACGTTATGGTTCTTGTAAGCTGCAAGGTTTTTAATATGAAAGTCCTCAACAGTATAAGGTAATTGGCAGCTTTTATGTACAAGATTCTGGGGGGGGGGGGTGGGCAGAAAATTTCACAGTACAAAGGCATGCAGCTAATGTTCACCTTTACAACATTTGTATACTGACCCTCACTCAGGGTAGCGTTCCAGAGCGCTTGACAGTGGTAGAGCATGACGCGAAGCCGGTGGGAGGGGGAGGTGAATGTAGGCACAGTCGAATTGGAAGGTTTTCAGGCGTGATCTGAAGATGGGGAAGGAGGGGACAAGGAGGAGGAATAGAGTTCTAGAATTTGGGGGCATAGAGGCTGAAAGTGCGGCCCCCCAATGGTGAAATGGAGGGCTTTAGGGACATGCAGAAGACTGGAGCCAGTCGAGTGGAGGCAGTGGGTTGTTGGTTGGGGGGTAAGCAGGTCGGAGAGGTAAGGAAGTGCCAGGACATGAAGGGATTTGAAGACGAGCGTGAGTATCTTGAAATCGATACCTTCAGAGATAGGGAGCCAGTGGAGCCTGGCTAGAACTGGTTTGATGATTCATTCTAGGAATTAATCAACTTGTTGAAAGAAGATCAAGTTTGTTGATCCAAGTGAAGCCCACATTCTTGAAGTGAATCTTCCAGGAGACAAACACTGCAGGATGGGGAGAAAGTGCGTGTTCCATTCCAGACACAGGGAGATCTCCATGGATAGGTGGTGTACATATGTGGCAGCTGGGCTCAGTTGGTAGTACTCTCACCTCTGAGTCAGAAGGTTGTGGATTCAAGCCCAAGATCGGGAATTGGAACTGACAGTCCAGGCTGATACTCCACCCCAGTGCTGGGGGAGCACTTCATTGATGGAGGTCATCATTTGGATGAGATGTAAAACGGAGGTTCTGCTTGCCTGTTCAGGAGGTCATTAGAGATCCCATTGCACTTTTCGAAAAGAGAAAGGAGTTTCTCCCTGTGTTCTGGCCAACGATTCTTCAGATAGAATTAGTCATTCACTTCATGACTGTTTGTGAAGCACATTGTTGGGCGCAAATTGGTTGCCAAGTTCCCCTACACCGTCACTACAGAGTGTTACAGTGAAATACTGTGAAGCACATCGCATGAAACATCTCAACAGCACAATAATAATAATAATCCTTGCATTTGATATAGCGCTTTTTCACATCTTCTCGACATCTCAGAGCGCTTCACAGAATAGACTGTAAAGTGAATTGACTGTATACTTGTGGGCGAAACGCGGCAGCCAATTGCGCATAGCAGTGTCCCACAAACAGTCGAGAATTGAAAATGACCAATTTATTATTGTTTCTTGTTTTGGAGGGATTATTATTAGGAGTGTGGAGTAAGGAAATTTACACAATAAGGCGTAATCCCGCAAGGATTATTATACGGGTAGATATGTCAGTCTGGTTTGGATACTCTTAAGCAGAGCGATGGGTTTCTGCGTGTGTATCACACATCAAGCAGCACAATATGTTTTAAAAATCTGAAAGGTAGAAGAGTGGCATTGAGGAATACAATAAACTGCTGTGTTCTGGAATTCAACCCATGCCCGAAATTGATTTTTTTTTAATTTGTAGACTTCCACTGGCCCACTCTAGCTCTCCCCCCCCACCACCCACTGTGCTTGCTGGCCTCCAGTGACAAGGGAAATTGACTTTGACTCTGTTTGAATCCCGTGAGCAGAAGATAGCTTAATCACTGTCTTCTGCTCCTGGGATTGAAACAATTACAATATCAAAACTAGCATTTACCAGCATTTTTCAGCACCCGAAAAAAGCCAGTGGTAAAAAAAGCTGATAGATGCCAGTACTTAAAATTAAACTTAGATAGAAATTCTGGCTCACCAGACCGGATCTTCCCACTCTCCCCATTGGTCCAGCTGGCCTGGATTTAACGTACGGAGGTAATGGATTTGGGGGTGGGGGGGAGAAATCTGTGACATATCACCACAAATTGGACGTGATCCCAATTGAATTTTTTTTAATGACATGTTGCATGTCAAGTATAATTTATTTTCAATTAGACAAGAGCCTATTATTCATTGCCTTTCCAGACTTTTTATTGGCAGCGGCCTTTGGTCATTGAAATGATAAATTTGCTATTGTGTATGTCTGCAGCTGGTCAGACTTAGGAAATGCTAGCGCCCGGATAAGCTAAACTGGAATCTTTGATAATAGAGAGCCAGAATAATTGGCCCTCTGTTGAAGTTTATCTCTTGTCTTTTTGTTAGAGACCGAGCATGTTTCAGAGCGCTCTCAACAATATGCTCATTGTCATGATGTTAGTACAGTACATCATGTCTGCTGTATGATGTCTGCTTCCAAACTTTACTGATGCACTGCTCCAGGAGAAGGACCTTATTGTTATGTTAATGAAGTTATGTCAAATGCTGTTCCTTCTTGTTAAATAAGATTGTGGTGGTTCACCTCCCATTCTTTAACGCATTTATGCGTTTGGACACCAACCTGGCTCAGTGGTAGCACACTCGCCTCTGAATCAGAAGATTGTGGGTTCAAGCCCCACATCAGGGTTTGGAATTATATTTTCTAAGCTGACACTCCAGTCCAGTGCTGGGCGCGTACTGTATTGTTGGAGGTGGCATCATTTGGATGAGATGATAAACTGAGGTCCCGTCTGTCTGTTCAGGTGGACGATAAAGATCCCGGGACATGGCCCTGTTCGTAAAGAGAAGAGAGTTTCCCCCCATATCCTCGGCAACAATCTCACAGAATAAAAATCAAATTCACAGTCCCTGCACTTTACGGTGTATCCTGACTTGAAAGGTGCTATACCATTTGAAAGGATTCATTCTATTATTATTAATAATAATTAATTATAATTAATAATATTAATAATAATAGTAATGGACAGCTATACCCACAGCTTGTGCAAACCTCTGTTGTGGTTCCCTGTTTGTTGCTATAACTTGCACAGGATCCTTTTTTTCCTGTTGTCAGTTGTTTTTAAAAAATCAGAATTGCAAAATAAATAGCACGAACTACCAATCAGGCCAGAATATTTTTCTCGAAAAAAAAATTAGGGTTGCAGCAAAATGGATGTGCAGCAATTAGTGACTGCCATTCAACTGAACATTTCTTGTCATGTCATTTCAACCGTAAGAGTGGGGGTGAGATGGATTGTGAAAAGCAACAGAACTCTATTGAACTCTGTTTGGAGTCCTGTAGCTTAGTGTTTAGAGCACTCGCCTCCCAAGCGAGAGAACCTGGGTTCGATTTCTGGGCAGTGCAAAACATTTGGCAAGTTTATTAAAAAAAAATCGATTTGGCACTCAATCCGTGAACGTTTGTGGGACACTGCTGTGTGCAATTGGCTGCCGTGTTTCGCCTACAAAATATACAGTCAATTCGCTTTACAGTATATTCTATGAAGCGCTTTGAGACGTCTCGAAGACGTGATAAGGCGCTACATCAAATGCAAGGACTATTATTATTAAATAATGGGGAGAATTGGGAGCTCCCTGACACAGGTAGCAAACCGCTTTGTAGACGAGTGCATTGGAATCTCCTTGTAACCAAGGAAACAATCGTTGTAGCTTCATTGACAAGCAGAGCGTGAAAACTACACACAGCGGGGGCACCATATTTCTAATTTGATTATTTTAGCCCCCGTGGGAACTGCACTCGGATGTTGCTAAGTGTACAGCTGCTGCAAGCACATCCCTCAGACATTGTGACATTGTGCAATTGAGCTGCTGTGTTTGCTTACAGATACACAGTCACTGCAACAACAACAACAACAAAACCAAATTACATTATCAAGTGCCTTTCACGTCGGGAGGGTGTCCCAAAGCACTGGACAGTCAGGGATTTGGATCCTAGCTGGGGGTTGGGATCAGGAGGCGATAAAAGAGGATGGTCTTGAGATGGGCCTTGAAGGGAGGCAAGGGAGGGAGCCAGACAAAGGGACTGTGGGATGGAGTTCCAAAGGGAGGGGGCAGAGAGGCTGAAGGATTTTTTAAAAAAAATAACTTTAAATTGCACTTTACAATGTATCCTGACTTAAAACCCCATTTTGGAGTCCTGTAGCTCAGTGGTTAGAGCGCTCGCCACACAAGCGAGAGACCTGGGTCCGATTCCCGGCAGGCCAAAATGTTGGGCAAATTTCCTTACGCGACATTCCTCAGTATGTAGGAACCCGGTTGTCAGTTGATTGGTGGTTTGCTTTTCCCGGGCGTAATAATTCCTTCAAAAAAAATAATAAATTGGTCACTTCAATCCACGACTGTTTGTGGGACACTGCTGTGCGCAATTGGCTGCCGCGTTTCGCCCACAAAATATGCAGTCAATTCACTTTACAGTATATTCTGTGAAGCGCTTTGAGATGTCTCGAAGATGTGATAAGGGGCTATATCAAATGCAAGGATTGTTATTATATTATTATATTTTGACGGGAATGTACGTACGTTTCAGATTCCCAGCGGGACTGCGAAGAGAGGTTCGGGACAAGAGCTCACAAACGTATCACAAAGGATGATGATGTTGTCTGCACTACAGAGTATTCACGGATTGTACCGCTTGAGAACGGTGAGGTAAGAGACCATGCAGGAATTTGCGTGCGCTGTAATAGGACTTGAATAAATTGCAGAATAATTACAACTTCTTCATTTTGGAGATGGGAGGGAGGGCCAGAGGGAGGAGTAAACGGGCATTGATAATCTTCGTTCAAAAGGAGCTGTTCCGCTTTCCAAATGTGATGTAGCAGATACGTTGATATCTTACCCCAGTTTACCGTGCTCCGATATACAACTCAAACACAAATTCGCATTTGGAATGAAATTTTATACTGGTTACTTATGTGCGTAGTGGCTGATTCGCTGACTAAATCAAACCAAGCAACGGCAACTTGCAGTTACACACCGCCTTATGCAGGACAGTGTCTCAGAGCGCTACACAGTTGTGGGGTTAGACGCCGAGCAAGGCAGAAGGTGGGGGTTGGGGGAGGAATGGTCTTAGGGAGGAATTGAAAGAAAAATAAAGAGGGGGTGAGGCCCTCTGCCTCAGTGATTGAGGCAAGGGATCCCAGAGGTTTAGGCAGTTCAGGGACCCTGTGTTAGAGCAGAATAACGCCAGGCCCACTGACAAGAAGATCAAGGTCCATCCACTTCGCCTTCCAAGGCAATCACTTGACATGTCGTGTAACAAACTTATATAATGTATTCCAAGATATTATTTCCTAACAGAAATCTACTTTGTTCTGGAAACAAATCGTGCAAAAAACAAAATGTGTTAGAAATTATAAGATATTTTATTTTAAAAAAGTGTAAACAGACCTCATTTAAACCTTATTTAAACCCATGGAGTCTTGTAGCTCAGTGGTTAGAGCACTCGCCTCGCAAGCGAGAGACCTGGTTTCTATTCCGAGCAGGGCAAAATGTTGGGCAAGTTTCTTTACTCCACACGCCTCCGTTAACCTGGCAATAAGTAGGAACCCAGTTGTTAGTTGATTAGCGGATCGTTTTTTCAGGGATAATAATACCTAAAAAAAATAATAATTTGGTCACTCAATCCATGACTGTTTGTGGAACCCTGCTGTGTGCAATTGGCTGCCACTTTTCGCCTACTAATATACTGTCAATTCACTTTACAGAATATTCTGTGAAGGGTTTTCAGACGTCTAGAAGACGTGAAAAGTACTATATCAAATGCAAGGATTATTATTATTACTTCATATAATTTTTTTTCAATTGAATGTAGGTCTATAGCAACTTATAGGATTGTGAAAATTCCATAACTAAACTGGATGACCCCAAACTTTAATGAAAGGAGGAGAATGAAATGATCCTGGACTGTGATGAGATCTCTAGTGGCTTTACTGTAAAACGATGTCTTCATTTGCTTCATTAGGTTGTGGTGTCTTTGGTAAACGGACGTCCAGGTGCAACAAACTTCATTCACTCTCCTGTTCTGAGAGATTTCACAAAGGCTACAAACATCAGGCTGCGATTTCTCAGAACCAATACACTACTGGGACATCTGATATCTAAGACGTACCGGGATCCAACTGTCACTCGAAGGGTAGGTGATCTTCGAATGAAACTGGAAACGGAAATGGAATGCTAGAAGCTGGGTGTCATCCTGGCTCAGCCAGTAGCAACAACAATGACAACTTGCATTTATATAGCGCCCCTCACTCAGGGTAGCGTCTCCGAGCACTTCACAATGGTGGAGCACGACACTGAATCAGGGGATGGGAGTGGGGTGGGTGACAGTAGGCAAATTCGCAGAGGAAGGCCTGGGTAAGAAGGGAGGGATTGAGGGAGGAGGTTTCCGAGTTTGAAGGCGTAGTGACTTGAAAGAATGGATGATTATTATAACACTGTCCAGTAAGAGCATACTTGTATATTCAAATAATACAACAAAAACAATTTGCATTTCTATGGTCCACCTCACACAGGATAGCAACTTGGATGCTGAACAAGGGAGAAAGGAGAGGTGACCATAAGTCATAAGTGCGGTTGAAGAGATGGGTCTTAAAGTTGGATTTAAAGATAGATGAAGAAAAGTGAGGGGTTGAAGCAGGAAGTTCCAGAGTTAGAGATGTAATGGCTGATGGTGGTGAAGTTTAGATGAAATAAATAGCAAATTCTCCCTTTTTTGACAATCAAAAAGGGAGACTTTACAAGGGAAAGAGAACATTTTGATGCGCTGATTCTCTTTTGTGTATGTTTCAAGTATTATTACAGCATCAAGGACATCAGTATTGGTGGTCGGTGTGTGTGCAATGGTCACGCTGAAACCTGTGATTCAGAGGACCCAAACGATCTATTCAAGTAAGTATCAGTGTAATTTATTTAAGTGTCAGGGCAGGAGAGTATCTAAAACCATCACAAAACTCTATTGAAAGTGAAACGCTGCAACTGAATAATTTTTCAAAGACCCAAAAATACCTTCACAGTCGGACTCACAAGATAACAAGATCAGTCTAGATGAGGAAGGCCTTTCAGCCCATCTGATCTTATCCCTCCAGAACACACACCCTCCCCACCTCCCCCTCCCATCACAGCATCAAGCTGCTTTTAAAATGTATTTGTTTGTTTTTGGTCAGCTGGATGTCTGACACATGGGGAAGCCCATCACAGTGCTTAAGGGTATCCAAACCAAACTGAGAATTTCATGCATCCCACCTACACATGGAAATCCCAGAGAGAGATTGTTGGAATAGAATGTGTTCTCTCTCTCCCTGGAGGGACACATCCTGCTTACCTAATTCGGGAAAGTATTAGGTGCAGGTTGGCAAGAGCCAAGGCTTGGGGACCCCTAGTGTGCGTCAGGAGTACTGCTGGAGTCTAACCAGCTAAAAGCACATAGCTTGGCATTGGGGGTACAGCCTGGCAAGATTTCCCGCTCTTTTTCCAGCTAGGAACACCCTACCAATTAGGGCTTTGGATTGCAATGAAAGCAGGAGCTGAATGCAAAGAGTCCCTGCCCCCAGTGACTGGTCTGCCCAAGCTGCTTTTTAAATAAGTCCAGTGTCCTGGCCTCAACCATCCTACCTAGCAATCTATTCCCAGTCTTTAATTACCATCTGAGTAAAGAAAAACATCCTTGTGCCTGTCCTGAAATTGCTCTTTGTAACTTTAAATCTATGTCTTCTTGTCCTCTGTGTTGGTGCATTTTAAAATATTGATCTGAGTTTACTTTCTCAATCTCATTTATAATTAAAATATGACATCCCTTGTCTTCTTCTCTCAAGGCTGAAAAGCACCAGCTTGCCTATTCCATCGTACATGAAGAGTTCTGTCCCTGATCAACCGAACTTCTCTTTGTAAATCCAAGCATGAATATTGGGTCAATTACACAGGACTATTACAGCACAGAATATTAATAATCCTTGCATTTGATATAGCATCTTATCAAGTCTTTGTGAAGCCTCATAGCGTTTTACAGAATATACTGTAAAGCTAATTGACTGTATATTTTGTAGGCAAAATATGGCAGCCAATTGTGCAGTGTCCCATAAACAGTTGTGGATTGAGTGACCCAATTATTATTATTTTAAATTTTAAATTTGTTTTTGAAGGGATTATTCCCCCAGAAAAGCGATCCACCAATCGACTAACAAACGGGTTCCTACTTACTGCTGGGTAAACAGGTGCGTTTGGAGTAAGGAAACTTGACTAAGGTTTCACCCTGCCCGGGCTCTGAGACAACGTCTGGCATGGAGGACGCTACATAAATCCAAGTTGTTGTTGTTGATGTTGAATCCAACCCAGGTCCTCTCGCTTGTGAGATGAGTGTTCTAACCAATATGCTACAAGATTCCACAATGGCTGTTTGGCCCAAATAATCTGGGCAGCATCTTTCAAATGCTTTTTTTTTCCAAAATCTTCAAAGTGTTTTCAAGCTTCTTGTTTGTAATTTTCATTGGGAACAGTAGCCGACTGGCAGTGTTTTAAAATAAATAATAATCCTTCTGTAGTTTGGCCAGACACATGAAATATTCCAGGCATGGAACAAAGCTATTGTATTTCAACCAGTTCACTAAATCATGATGAGAAGTATGAAGTTCAGATGGCGAGTTAAATATTGGATCAGAAGTCCTGTTTAGCACAGAACACCGACCGTTCAGATGAACACATGCCTTGTGGTGGCTTTCATGTTCTAAAGCTTTTGTGAGATCTGCCCATTCTCTAGGTCTGGAAGAACGTCACCTTTTACAATACTGGCTCATCTGGTAGCACTCTCACTCTGAGCCTGAAGGTTAATGGTTCAAACCACCATGTTGGGACTTTGAGCTCACAATCCAGGCTGACACTCCAATGCAGTGCTGCGGGGCTTTTACATTGTCAGAGGTGCCATCCTTCAAATCAAATGTTTAACTGAGGTCCCCGTCTGCCTGTTCAGATGGACGTTAAAAATACCGCAGCACTCTTCAAAATGATCAGATAAACTGGGCTTGTTCACACTGGAGCAGAAAAGATTGAGGGGCAATATGATTACGGCTTTAAGATTCTCTAGGGAAGAGATAATGTAGACCATGGTAAGATCCTTTATCCTGTACTGAACAGTAGAACTCGATGATACAGCCTGTGATTGAAGGGGATTCAAAACAAATCTGCGGAAACACTACTTCAGTGAATGAGGAATAAAGTTATGGAACAGACTCACTGAGGAGACAATGGAAGCAGTAAATGTTGTTTGTTTCAATAACAAATTAGATAGATTTTTGCTCGAAAATACTCTCTTGGGATGCAATATATAGTTTGGACATGACATGTCAAGCAACTGCCAGGATGGTGGAAGGTGAACTAGGTGGACCTTAGTCTTCTTTCACTTAGCAAATTCTTATGTTGTTATGAGAAGGTAGTTTCTCCCGGTGTCCTGGCCAACAATCCCTTAAAAATAATATTGGTCATGGCTGTTTGTGGGAAGTTGCTGTGTGTAAAACTGGCTGCATTTGCCCAAAAAACACACTGTTGTGTCACTTTGCAGCAAATTCTGTGAAACTCTTTGAGACGATTCATCAACGTGCTAAGGTACTATATCAAATGTGAATCACTCTCTCTCCAAATCCTTGAACCTTCCAAACAGTCTTAAAAAGTATTTCTTTGACAATGAGATTTCATTTCGTCCACAAAATAAACAGTCAATTCACTTTACAATGTATTCTGTGAAGCGCTTTGAGATGTCTCAATGATGTGATAAGGCGCTATATCAAAGACGAGGATTAATATTATTATTAATGCCTGCAGTCAACTCATTGCTCTCATCTTTCATCTTCACAATTGTGAAGCATTGTGAAGAGTGCTTCCTTATTGACTTTCCATGATGCTTAACTGGGTGCTAGTGTTCGGAATTTGTCACCTCTTATTGGATAGACCTCAATTAACCTGAGTTACTGCCGTCACTGACATGAATTGTGATGTTCAGGTTACAGTGCAGATGTCGACATCACACTTGTGGAGAATCCTGTGACCGCTGTTGCCCGGAATACAATCAGAAACCATGGCAACCCGCTTCAAGAGCAAATGCCAATGAATGTGAACGTGAGTACCATCTACACAAAGGCTTCCAGTCGAGTACCGTCCAAATAATTTTACTATTGAGTTTGTCTTAAAGAGCCGCTATCACAGACGGACGCCAGATAGACAGGCATATCGATTGACATGCAAGGATTATTATTATTACTATTATTATATTCGTGTTTTCACCCTATGTTTTGCAATCACAAATTCCCCGATTCTAACACATCACAAAATCGGTTCAGATGAAGAAGACCTTCGGCCTATCTAATCTCATAATAATAATAAAATAATAATCTATGCATTTGATGTAGAGCTTTATCACATCTTCAAGACATCTCAAAGCACTTCACAGAATATACTGTAAAGTGAATTGACTGTATTCAGCCTCAGCCCCTAGCCCTTCAGCCTCTCAGCCCCTAGGCTCTGGAACTCCATCCCCCAGTGCCTTCGCCTTGCTTCCTCCCTTTCCTCCTTCAAGGCCGGTCTCAAGATCTTTCTCTTCGACCGTGCCTTCAGCTCCCCTCTCGACTCTCTACCCCCTCCTCACTCGCTCCCTTCCCTCCCCTCACCCTGACCATTTCCCCCCTCCTCGCTCCCTCCCTTCCCTCCCGTCACCCTGACCATTTCCCCCCTGCTCAGGTCCCGACCCAACTGTCCAGCGCCTTGGGACGTCCTCCTGACGTGAAAGGCGCTCTATAAATGAAATCTTGTTGTTGTATACTTTGTGGGCAAAACGCGGCAGCCAATTGCGCACAGCAGTGTCCCACAAACAGTCGTGGATTGAATGAACAAGTTCAGCAAAAGGAATCCTGTCCACTCATAGACGCGTGGCTGTCAAGAGGTCACGACTTTCCTGATGGTATCTTTCCACTCCTTTGTTTACTGCGCTTGATGAAGTTACTCTTGAAGCATTGCTTTAAAGTTGTAGGATTCTTTTTCCAGTGTTGCTAATTACCTGACATTTCCTGTTCCCAGGGCTGGAACAAAGGATGTCCAGATAGTCGATTTAAAGTTTCTAAAGCCAATACAGTAAATGCACTCTACAGTAAATCCTGTGGGGCCTTTTGAGACGTCCACTTGACGTGATGGATGCTGTATCAAACTTAAGGATTATTATTGTTTTCTTGGCCTGCAAAATACACAGCTGCTGCATTTTAGAGGTAATCCTCCTGAAATATCAAATAATAATAAAAATAATAATCCTTGCATTTGACATAGCGCTTTTCACATCTTCTAGATGTCTCAAAGCACTTCACAGAATATGCTGTAAAGTGTATTGACCGTATATTTGTGGACGAAATGTAAGGATTCTTCTTACTACTACAATAACAATTTTATTTATATAGTTCCCTTCATGCAAGATAGCATCTTAGAGTACTAATTATTATTTATAGCTCCCGTGACCAGCTCAGTGAGTTTCTGGCTTCTGTTGAACTGATTATATGATCAGAGCATCTCACAGTGGATAGGAAACAGCAGAGGGCCAACAGACATCATGGCAGATTTATTGTGGTATGGAAACTGGCTATTCAGCTCAATTAGTCCATCCCCTAACCTCCTATCCCTTCCTATCTTTTTCTATTCCCATCTCCCTCATGTAAGCACTAAGTTTTCTCTCAAATATGCTGATTCTTTTTTGCTTCCACCCCAGCTTCCAGCAGTGAGTTCCACAATCTCACCACCCTCTGTGTGAAGAAGTTCCTCCTAAATTCCTTATTAGATCTACCACTGGCTGTCTTATATTTATGCCCTATGTTTTGAATTGTGAAGTAGGGAGGCAGTTATTTCGGATATTTTTGGGGTGGAACAGTGGCGTGTGGAGAAAAGAAACTTGCTTAAGGTTTCACCAAGCCTGGGAATCGAACTCGAGTCCTCTGGCTTGCGAGGTGAACACGCTTAACCACTACGGTATGGAGACCTGGAGATAATGGGTTATTTGCACTGAGAACAATTCACAGAGGAGGTTGTTTGTGCAGCCGAGATACAACGGGGCTCTTTATAGTCACATCTGGCGGGCACCAGCTGGATGCCTGCCAAGTGTTAAACATTTTGTGAAAAGATAAAAAGTGATCACTCTCTTTTTATGGCCTCTTTCGTTGAATTCCATCCCTGCAATTCCTGCCAGTGAAAAACAGGGATGATGGAGTGCCCAGTGCGATGCCAGCAACACACACTAATCATTCCAGGTTGACATTGTTTTGTTATGACCCTAACAACTCGGTCGTTTCCCACAAAGCCAGAGGATAGAAAATAGGATAAATGATCTGTCCGGCTTTGCGTGAATGAAGATAGCGACGTTTTCCTGGGAATAGAGTTAACTGCACAAAAGCAATAATAAATTGGTCACTTCAATCCACGACTGGTTGTGGGACACTGCTGAGTGCAATTGTCTGCCGCGTTTCGCCCACAAATATACAGTCAATTCACTTTACAGTATATTCTGTGAAGCGCTTTGAGACGTCTAGAAGCTGTGAAAAGCACTATATCAAATGGAAGGATTATTATAACTTGGCCACCTGTCTCAGTGGCACACTCACACATCGGTACGTAGAGTTCATATTCTTAAGACTGACACTCCAGTGCAGTACTGGGGATGGGCTGCGTGGTCGAAGGTGCTGTCCTTTGGCTGAGATGTTAAACCGAGATACAGTCTGGCTGTTCAAGTGAACATTAAGCATTAAAGATCCAATGGCAAGATTCAAAACCGTGTCCTGACCAACATTCCCCCAGATGCATACAAACTGCTCATTCACTTCATGACTGTTTGTCAGACATTGCTGTGTACAAATTGACTCCTGCATTTTGCCTACGAATACACAGCTAAAAATAGTTAAGCACTCCAAGATACTATCCCATGTGAAGGGTGCTATATAACTGCAAGTTGTTGTTGTTTAATGCTTGTGCCTTTGTTCGTCTACAAATACACTTCACAGTAAAATCCCGTGAAGCGTTTTTAGACATCTCAATCACGTGGTAACAACAACAAATTTCATTTTTATAGCGCCTTTCACATCGGGAGGAAGTCCCAAGACGTTGGACAGTTAAGGGTTTGCATCTGAACTGAGGGTTGGAGTCAAGAGGGGTGGAGGGTAAAGGGGTTGGGGGTCGTGGTGGGAAGATGTCCAAAGGTGTGGTTGAAGAGGAAGAGATGTGATAAGGCACTGTATCAAATGCAGCGAATATTATTATTATGAGAGCAGGAGTACTGAATGCTAATAAGAGTGCAGCTTGCTCTGATGTAGCGATGCGGTTGAGAAGAAATGCCTTTGTGCTGAGATCCTCATCACCTGTGTAATCTTACAGCTTGCAACTGCCACGGACATGCCCAGAACTGTTACTATGATCCTGAAGTCGATAGTCGTGGAGCCAGCTTGAATGTCAACGGGCGGTATGAAGGCGGGGGCGTTTGCCTAAACTGTCAGGTACGAAGCACAAAGCCCAAGTTGGGGCTAATACTATTAGCCGTAGGCTAACATTGCTGCAGCTTTATACAGTATAGATTCCTTCCCAGGCTGTATTTACAGTCATCTGTGTCTGTCAGCTCTTTCTTAAATCATGCTTCTGCTTAAGCGTACCAAAGTTCGGTTTGAATAAGTTTAACCTAAACATCTGTTCAGAGGCTGGTTCAGATACAATACTAAAAAAAAGGCGGTGGTGTGGGGTTTATGGAGCAACCTGCCTTTTCCTTAAACAATGCTCCAACATCAAAGCATTTCAATATTGAGGAGAAACCTTAAGCAAGTTTCCTTACTCTACACACCTCTGTTCACCTAGGAGTAAGTAGGAACCCGGTTGTTAGTCGATTGGGGAATCTCTTTCCGGGAGTCATAATCCCTCCAAAATAAATAAATAAATAAAAAACATGTGCATTTGTGGGACGTTGCTGTGCACAATTGGCTGTCACGTTTCACCTACAAAATATACAGTCAATCCACTACAATATATTCTGTGAAGTGCTTTGAGATGTCTCAACAACTTGATAAGGCGCTACATCAAATGCAGGGATTATATTATTACATTTCTAGAAGCACGTTTGGATTGTAAAGTGAAATAACTGATGAAACTTGAGATTTCTTGTTGTGTGAGGAAGGTAAAAACAACAACAAGTTTTCATTTATAGAGCGCCTTTGACGTCGGGAGGACGTCCCAAGGCGCTGGACAATTGGGTCAGGACCCGAGCAGGGGGGAAATGGTCAGGGTGAGGGGAGGGAAGGGAGGGAGCGAGGATAATCCTTCAAAAAAATGATAATTTGGTCACTCAATCCACGACTGTTTGTGGGACACAGCTGTGCGCAATTGGCTGCCGCGTTTTGCCCACAAAGTATACAGTCAATTCACTTTACAGGATATTCTGTGAAGCACTCTGAGACGTCTCGAAGACGTGATATGGCGCCATATCAAATGCTAGGATTATTATTATTACTAAGAGCCTGTGGCAGACACAGCAGCTGAGTTTTGTTCGTTCATTATTGGCTGTCTGACAAGCGAAAACCCACCACTGTGCTTCAGAGTATCCAAACCCAGATTGAGAATGACACATGTGTATATCAGCTACACATTGATTTCCCAGTCTCTGGAATGGAATGTGAACTCTCCTCCCCACCCGGGTGGAGGGTGTGGGGGAGCGCACCGTGTTTACCTAATTCCAGAGAGTATTAGGCACCAGGTGACGAGAGGCACCTTGGTAGATTCAGAACAAATCTGCGGAAGCACTACTTCAGTGAGCGAGTAGTCAACGTATGGAACAGGCTCTCCAGGGAGACGGTGGAAGTAGAAAGTATCGATTCTTTCAAAAACAAATGAGATAGATTTCTGTTAGGAAAATGTATAGTTTGGGACATGACTTGTGCAAGCGACTGCCAGCATGGTGGAAAGCGAGCGAACTGGGTGGACCTTGATCTTTTTTCGCCGAGCAGATTCTTATGTTCTTACATTCTTAAGAGCCAAGCCTTGGGGATCCTAGAGTGTGTGTTGGGGGGTAACAGCTGGAGTTTAATGCTGAAACTGGACAGCTTGCCATTGAGAACACTCCCTGCTCTATTTCCAGCTAGGACCACTATACCTGTTTCCCATCCCCACCCCGACACTCATACACACAAACAACAACAACTTTGATTTATATAGCGCCCTCCACGCCGGATGGCGTCTCAGAGCGCTTCACAGTAATGGATCTCGGGGCCGAGCCGGGGGGGGGGGAAGGTGACCAAAGGCGCGGTCGAAGAGAAAGGTCTTCAGCAGGGACCTGAAAATAGGAAGGGAGGGAGTGAGGAAGGGAATTCCAGAGCCTCAGGGCATAGTGGCTGAAGGCACAGCCACTGAGAGTGGAGCGGAGGACTCGGGGTACGAGGAGGAGGCCAGACCCGGAGGAACGAAGGCAACGGGTACTGTTTTGAGGAGAAAGGAGGTCAGAGAGGTAGGGGGGTGCAGAGGAGTGGAGGGACTTCAGTACAAGGGTGAGGATCTTGAAGTCAATCGTCTCTGGGATAGGCAGCAAGTGCAGTCTGGCAAGGACTGGGGAGCAGTCTGGTGGAGCGGAGTTTGGTCCAGGTGAGAATGCGGGCAGCAGAGTTTTGAATGATTTGGATTTTATTGATGATAGTGGATGGGAGACCGGCGAGGATAGTGTTAGAATAGTCCAGCCGAGAGGTGACAAAGGCATGGACCAGGTTTCAGCGGCTTTCGGGGAGAGAGATTGGCAGAGATGGGCGATGCGTCGGAGGTGGAAGAAAGCGGTGCTGGTGAGGGACTGGATGTGGGGGTCAAACCTGACGCGTAGGTTGCGTACGGTTTTGGAGAGTTTTAGGGGAGGTCGGGTAGGTGGCAGAGGTGAGAGCCGTGAGATTTCAGACATTGACAAAAGTCAGAGTATGGCTTCCGTCTTGTCAACGTTCAGCTGAAGGAAATTTGCACTATTCCAGCCCCTGAGGTCTGACAAGCAGGCTGACAGAACATCAGGGGACTGGGGGTCGCAAAGAGAGGTGGAAAATAGAGTTGGGTGTCGTCTATATACATGTGGAAAATGTACCCCATGTCTGCGGATGACATCCCCAAGAGGGAGCATGTAGATCAGAAAGAGGAAGGGGCCAAGGATGGATCCTTGTGGGACCCCGCAGATAACTGGGTGAGAGCAAGAGAAGCCATTTGTGCAGATGTACTGCTGGTGGTTTGTGAGGTAGGGGGGTAACACTGAGTGCGAGTGCGGTCCCACTGAGGTGGATGACGGAGGAAAGGCGGTGGAGGAGGATGGCGTGATCGACTGTGTCGAACACCGTGGAGAGGTCCACGAGGACAAGAAGACAAAGGGAGCCCTGGTCACAGATAGAGAGGATGTCATTTGTGACTTTCACAAGTGCAGTCTCTGTACTGTGGGCGGAAACCAGATTGGAGGGGTTCGAAGAGGGAGTGGGAGGAGAGGTGTGCGCGAAGTTGATTGGCAACAACGCGTTCTAAGACTTTAGCGAGGAAGGGCAGGGCTAGAAATAGGGCGGCAATGGCTGGGGTTTGAGGGATCTAGGGAGGGTTTTTTCAGGGGGGGGCTTGATGACAGCAGTTTTGAGGGGCGCAGGGCCTGATCCGGAGGAGAGGGACTGGTTGATGACGTCAGCCAGTAGTGGGCAGAGGAGGGGCAGCTGGGTGACCAGCACACCTCCCCACCCAAACTGTGTGCCATACTGCCACCCACAGGTCTTGCGAGTGGGTGCCAGCCCAACCTTGCAGCTCTTGTTTAATACAAGTACAATTATTCACACTCGGAGCTCACGTCTTATAACCTAATATCCGGTTGCTGGACCAAGGTCCTTGTTAAGTTGTGCTTTACAAAGTTGTGTGTTTTTTCTGCAGCACAACACTGTAGGAGTCAACTGCGAGCAATGTGCAACAGGCTATTTCCGACCATTTGGAATTTCGAAGGAAGCACCCGATGGCTGCAGAGGTACGTTTCTGTTTGCAAGCGAGTCTCAACAGAGATTTGCAGAGTAAGAGAGGGCCCCAGTTAGCTGAGTGATGATTGGGAGGACAGAGGAGCTGTTTAAGGAGGAGATCAGGAAGGTGCCAGGGTGTGGATGGATTTGTAGTTGAGCGGGAGCATTCAGATCAGCAATATAATGGATTCCTCTATTGAAAGTAATATATATATATATATTATATATGTGTGGGTATACCCTATAAAGTATAAACCTACTGTCCTCAGTACTGGGTGACAGTCCCACTTATTGCAATTACTCTGGAGTATAACAACAGCAACTTGCACTTATATAGTGCACCTCACGCAGAGTAGCGCCTCAGAGCGCTTTGCAGCGGTGGTGCACGATGCCGAGCCAGTAGGAGGGGGCAAGTGACTGTAGGCACGGTAGAAGAACAAGGTTTTCAGGCTTGACGTGAAGATGGGGAAGGATGAGGCAAGGCAGAGGAATTGAGGAAGAGAGTTCCAGAGTTTTGGAGTGCAGTGGCTGAAAGTGCGGCCACCAATGGTGGAACGGAGGGTGCGAGGGTCAAGCAGGAGGCCGTAGCCAGTTGAGCGGAGGCAACGGGTAGTAGGTTGGTGAGTAGATGTGATCTGGAAAACTGAAGCTACAGCACACGGCACATTGTCCAATAGAGTAGCAAGGGATTTCTTTTTGGATGTGGATCATGAGTGAATAAGGTGTTGTGTACATTTTTGAATAATTCAACGTGGATAAGTTATTTTAGTCTGAACAATTTCTGTTGAAATTATTTTCATCCCTGTGACTCGTAAAGCATGTATTTAACGTTTATCTTTTTCTACGTAGCCTGCTCCTGTCACCCCGAATTTACGGACGGATGTGAGGAAGGCACGGGCCAGTGTCGTTGCAAACCCAATTACAGTGGTGAACACTGCAACAACTGCGCTCCTGGTTACCACAACTTTCCTCAGTGCATTGGTAGGTATCAGTTTCACACATGGTTTCGTAGGTATAGCTTGGTTGAGACATTAAACCAAGGTCCCATCTGCCTGTTCAGGTGGACGTTATAGATCTTACTCAAAAAGAGAAAGCAGTTTTTCCCTGTGTCCTGGCCAACAAGCCCCTAGGTATAAATTGTTCATTCACTTCATGGCTGTTTGTGGATATTCCCGTGTGCAAGTTGGTTGCCGCTTTCGCCTATAAATAATAATAAATAATAGTAATAATACTTACATTTGATATCGCAACTTATCACATCTACTAGATGTCTCAAAGCGCTTTACAGAATATACTGTGAAGTGAATTGACTATATTTTGTGGGCGGAATGCAGAGTCACTACACTTTTCAATGAATCTTGTAGAGTGCTTCGAGATGTCACAATGACATGCTAAGGTGTTGAACAAATGCAAAGATTCTTTACGATTCTTAGGAGCTGTACAAGACCAAATTTGGCTCTCAGCGAAAGATGTATAAGCGATGTAATACTTTGTTTCCACCTATTGGAATTGTTTTGCCACCAAAGTGTCTTACACATGCGGAAACCCATCACCGTGCTTAAGAGTATCCAAAAATACAAAGAGTATTTCATGTATGCCATTACACATTTAAATAAATGTGTTTTAAGGGAAAGGAATGCAGTCTCTCTCCCGGAGGGGCGGGGGGTGCATCCTGCTTACTTAATACCGGACAGGGCTCGGCACAGTTTGTTGAGAGCCAAAACTTGGGAATACTATGGACCTGCCTGGCTCAGGAACCAGTTTACAAACCGGCACAGACAACTGGCTCAATTCTGACATTCTATTGTAAAATACCGCACCCTGGAGTCTGGTCAGGTTCCAGAAAATCATGGCTAACTGCCCTACACCACACCCCCAATTCCTGGAGGATAGTTCTCCATCTACTTGTGAGGAGGGCCAGGTTGTGGGGGGAGGGGAACGAGGGAAGAGGAGTAATCCATTGCACTGTTGATCTGAATAATAATAATAAATAATAATAATCCTTGCATTTGATATAGCGCCTCAACACATTGTTGAGACGACGCAAAGAGCTTCACAGAATATATTGTAAAATAGATTGACTGTGCGTTTAGTGGGCGAAACGTGGCAGTCAATTTCGCACAGCAGTGTCCCACAAACAATCGTGGATTGAGTAGTGTTTTTTAGGGAATATTACTCTTGGAGGTGTGTGGAGTAAGGAAACTCACCCCGCACAGGAATCAAACCCGGATCCTTTCACTTGCGAGGCGAGTGCACAAACCAATACACTATAGGACTCCAAATGAATGCTCATTTCACTGATGCTCAAATCAGTGTCATAATAGAGGGAAGTTGAAATGCAAACACCAGTTACAAATAGAAAAAAAGAATCAACAGAGTCTTTTCAGTGACACTGAGAGATCTGATCAAAAGACATAAGGTATGGTTCACTGCCTGAATAATTGAATGCTTTGTGCATTGGTGTAATGCGGTTGGTTTACCTATTTAACCCCTCTTCCCCCATGTGGCCGGGTCTCAATCTGTGAAATGTCACAAAGCACTTCACGTAAACCCTGGATAAACTGTAACCTCCAACAGTTTCATATGATAATAACAATAATAATAGTCCTTGCCTTTGATACAGTGTCTTGTTACGTTGTTGAGACATCTCAAAGTGCTTTATAGGGTATACTGTAAAGTAAATTGACTGTATATTTTGTGGGCAAAATTATCCGATTATTCGATTACTGCACCCGATTATTATTACCTCTGTAACCATACCAATCCAGTCACTCTCTTAACTGGGTGAACACCAGCCTGCTTCATATCCCTGCCATATCCGCCCCTCCGTTATTTGGGAGCTTTCAACCATTCTGCCCCGCTTTCTGGAACTCCATGTTTCCGACTCACCTTCTCCCTCCTCGCTTTCAAAGCCTCATCAAGACTTACCTCTTTGACTGTAAATTCAGTCATGTTTCCAACTGTCTTCAGCTCAGAATTTACTGCGATGTCCCACAGACAGTCATGAAGTGTGTGACCAATTTTATCTGGGTGATTGTTGGCCAGGACACCGGGATAAACTCCCTGCTCTTTTTGAATAGTACCACGGGTTCTTTAACATGTGCCTGAACAGGCGTAGACAGAACATCAGTTTAATGTCTCATCCGAAGAACAACAACTCTGACAATGCAGCACATCTCCATCACTGCCCTGGAGTGTCAGCCTGGACTATATGCGTTCAAAGTCCCGAAGTGGGGCTTGAACCCACAATCTTCTGACTCAGAGTGCTACCATCTGAAGCTTTAGGTTGACACCTAAATAGGAAGAGCAGGGGGTAGTTGGCTGAAAATGCATTCAAAGAGAGAGGTTTTTAGACTGGTTTTGAAAGGTGAGTGTGAGGAGGCGGGGCGGAGGGAGTGGAGGGGGTGGGGGGTGAGTTCAACAGAGCTGGGGAAAAGCAGGTAAAAGCTTCCTCTTTGATGGTGGGGCAGAGCAGGCAGGGGGACATAAAGCAAAGCAAGCCAGAGTTGGCAGAGTGGGGGCAAGTGTTTGGTGGAGGGAGTGATCTACAGTGGTGAATACCTACCGGCTTGTTCATTTGGGATTTGGTTAATTTTCTGTTTGGATGGTACACTTGGAAAAGTAGAAATGCGTGTCAATGTATAAGACTTAATCTATTGACTGCACGTGCCCCTATGCTATCCAGATGTAGGATTTGGAAAGAGTTCAAGATTGAACAACGATTTCTTGTTTTGTTCCTCTTTTTGGCAGAGATATGATGCGTTTCAACATCTTTCTTCAATCGACCATACTCTTAAAACTGGCACACTGCACTAAGTCACACACAGCCTCCTTACACAAGGAGAGTACGTGGCTTTACTTCACCAGTCTACATTTATCCTTACATTTTTGACAACAAAAAAACATTGATTTGTAGGGCGACCTTTCACCTCGGGAGGACACCTCAAAGTGCTTCAAATACTGTGTGTATTTTGTGGGCAAATTTTATAGACCTGTTGCTTTGAAATGATTAGAAATATGGAGAATCTAGTCCTAAGGGAGAAAATAAAAAATCAGTTTAATGATTCACAAGATTGATTTGAATCAATAAGCCCCTTTGTCCCATCTTATATCATCCTCCCAGCACAGCATCAAACTGTTTTTTAAATGAGTCCCAGCGTGCTGGCCTCAACCACCCTTCCTGGCAATACTGTTCCCAGTTGTTAATTACCTTCTGAGTAAAGAAAATATTCCTGGCATCTGTGCTGAAATTGCCCTGACCTTTGCAACTTGGATACAGCCAAAAGTCTTCCTGGAAAAGTGTTATCCCACAGCTATGCTGGGGATGTATTGTAAATACCAACTAATGGTAAATGAGACTTCCTCTGTGAAAGTGGTAAGCGGATGTGTCTCTACCCTATTCATACGTTTATTAAAAGCCGTGGGTGTAATTTTCAAAGGAATTGCTGATTACAGTCAATCCCAATGTGTTGTTTTGTAAGTTAACCTAATTCTTAGAATTAATTCCTGATTGATTTTACTTCCTATCCTGTTTACATTGCAGATTTGGCTTCAATCTTTCAGGGCACACAATCAGATGTTATCTTGTGATCCAAGCTCATGTTTTTGAAAGCAGTTTTCCTTTGTGCAAGTTCCTGATATTATAATGGGGAATTTAGTGTTCGATTTCCTACTGAAAATCCTCAGAACTAAAAGCATATTTAGTTTTACAATAAAATAATCATGATAATCCTTGCATCTGATCGAGCACCTTTTCACGTCCAGAGAATGTCTCACAGCATATACTGTAAAGTGTAGTGACTATTTACTTGCAAGCGAACATGGCAGCAAAATCCCACAAACAGCCATTATCTCAATGACCAATTTTTATCTGGGGGATTTTTGGCCAGGACATCAAGAGAAGCTTTATTTTTTTAATATTTATTTTAAGCACTGTGACACATTCTTTTGCGTGAAAGGCAGGTTACTTATTTAAAAGGAGTGTGATAGTCCACTTTGGAGATTAATTTTGCCATTCGTAATAGTACTTCATCACTGCTTTTCCAGGTTTTCCCGTTTCCCCCTCCGAAAGTCCAGAAGACCCATCAGCTGGTCAAATTGAAAGTAAGTGTTTATAGTTTACATATAACTGAGCTGAACCTACATGCTCAGTGTGCCCTGCTGTTTAGTGTTTCTACATTAGGAAGCGACCTCTCCCCAGAATTTGTTAATGCTCAACCTGCAAAATCGCCCCAAAAACTTAATATTTGCTCTTGGGGAAAAGTGCCTCCTTTGAATAAATATTAAACAAAAATAGTGGAAGCCTCTCAAGCGCTTACAATTTACAAAACAAAAAAAAAGCCCTCGTTTCAAAAACAAAATGGCAGACAACTGGATCTGAAAAGGAAGAAATCACTTACTGGGGGTGGGGTGGGTGTGGGGGCCACCACTGTCATTTTAATAATAATAATAATAATAATCCTTGCATTTGATATAGTGCTTCATCACGTTTTCGAGACGTCTCAAAGCGCTTCACAGAATATACTGTAAAGTGAATTGACTGTTTATTTTGTGGACAAATGGCACTTTAAGACAGTCTTGAAAAACTGAAAATTGGGAAAATATACTGGGAACATCATGGATTGAGTGACCAAATTATTATTATTATTGTTGTAATATTTAGATTATTTCCAGCGTTGTTTAACTGTCCACTTCACCAAACACAATATCTTGTGTCATATAAAGTACCATTATTTATTATTTCACATACCCCACAATCCCATCATCCTATGAAATTGGATTGCGGAAGTAAACGCAGAGTAATACTCGCAGACACACAAAGCCCCCATGTTCAGGTTGCAAAGGGGCAATTTCAGAACCAGCATTTTTTACCAGGGGATAAATTAACAACTTAATTGTTAATTAAGGTCTGGCAAGATGTGATAAGGCGCAATATCAAATGCAAACATTATTATTGCTATTATTTCACTACAAAAAATCACAATGTTGTTGGAGTACGGAGGAACCGTTGGAATAAATTAAGTCGGGGGCACTCACTGATGTAAACTGTTTAGTTTAGTGCCAGAATACTGACCTTTATCTCTTACAGATTGTAAATGTAACATTGAGGGAACAGTGGAAAACACTTGCCTTGTGGATCCTTACACACAACGCTGTGCCTGCAAGCCTCATTACACCGGTGCCTCCTGTGAGGACTGCGCCCCAGGATACTTTGGAGATTATTGTCAACGTAAGTGGTACATAGATTCATAGAATGTTACGGCACAGAAGGAGGCCATTCGGCCCATCGAGTCTGTGCCGGCTCTTTGACAGAGCAAGTCACTTTCACTAACCCCAATCACCAGCTTTCTCCCCATAACCCTGCAAACCCGTCTTCCCCAGATACCTATCCAGTTCTCTCTTAAAAGCTGTTATCGAATCGAACTTCACTACCCTTTCAGGCAGATCATTCCAAATTTGAACAACTCGCTGAGTGAAAAACATTCTTCTAACCTCCCCTCTGCTTCTTTTGGTAGATATCTTAAGACTGTGACCACGGGTCACAGACACACCTACCAGCGGAAACAGCTTTTCCTTATCTAGCCTGTCGAAACCTTTCATGATCTTGAAGACCTCTATCAGGTCCCCGCGTAACCTTCTCTGCTCTAATGGGAAAAGTCCTAACTTCTCCAGTCTGTCCTCATACCTAAGGTTTCCCATTCCTGGTATCATTCTCCTGAATCTCCTCTGCACCCTTTCCAGTGCCTTAATGTCTTTCCTGAAGTAAGGTGCCCAGAACTGGACGCAGTACTCCAGCTGAGGCCTAACCAGTGTTTTGTATAGATTAACCAAAACCTCCCTACTCTTATACTCTATGCCCCTACTAATAAAGCTCAGTACACCAAATGCCTTTTTTACTGCCTTATCTACCTGCCCCGCTACCTTTAATGATTCGCTTACTTGAACACCCAGATCTCTCTGTATATTCACCCCCCTCAAGATTGAGCTACCAAGTCTATATTGCCTCCTATCATTTTTCCTACCTAAGTGTATCACCTCACACTTATCCACATTGAAATCCATCTGCCACATGTCAGCCCATTCCACCATTCTGTGTATGTCTGCTTGCAGTTGGTTACAGTCCTCCTCACTATTTACTACCCTACCTAACTTTGTATCATCTGCAAACTTGGAAATAGTGCTCTCTATGCCCAAGTCCAGATCATTAATATATATTAGAAAGAGCAGTGGTCCCAATACCGATCCCTGGGGACACCGCTGCACACTTCCTTCCATTTCGAGAAACACCCATTAACCATCACCCTCTGCTTTTTGTTACTCAGCCAGTTCTTACTCCAAACTGCCACTGTCCCCTTAATACCGTGGGCTTCTAATTTTTTTATTAATCTCTTATGCGGTACTGTGTCAAAAGCCTTTTTGAAATCCATGTAAATAACGTCCACCACATCAACCCTCGCAGTCACTTCTTCAAAAAATTCTATTAGATTTGTTAGGCAAGATTTGCCTTTAACAAATCCATGTTGGCTGTCTCTAATTACCTCATGTTCCTCTTAAGTAGAGATTTATTCTGTCCCGGATTATGGTCTCCAGTAGTTTTCCTATTACCGAAGTTAGGCTGACTGGCCTGTAATTTCCGGGTTTGTCTTTCTGCCCCTTTTTGTAGAGGGGGTAACATTAGCCACTCTCCAGTCTCTTGGCACCACTCCTGTGTCCAATGAAGATTGAAATATAATGGCCAAAGCCTCCGCTATTTGAACCCGTATCTCCCACAGCAACCTTGGGTGAAACCAATCTGGTCCTGGAGACTTATCAATTTTGAGCCCAGTCAATCTTTTCAGAACTCCCTCTCTGTCTATAGTAATCTGATCTATTTCCTCTACCCTCTCATCCAATATTTGGGGCATCCATTTCCGTTGTGAAGACAGATGCAAAGTACTTGTTCAGTACATCAGCCATGTCCTCTGCCTCCACAACAAGATTGCCGTCATTATCTTTGATTGGCCCCACCCTATCTTTAACTAACCTTTTTTCCTTTATGTGCTTGTAAAATATTTTAGGATTCCCCTTTATGTTATCCGCTAACCTCTTCTCATGCGATCTTTTAGCCTGTCTTATCACTCTTTTAAGATCACTCCTGCATTCTCTATAAAGCGCTTTGCTATCCTCAGTATCTTGCGTCTTCCAATTGTCGTACGCCGTCTTCTTTTTCATCCTAGACAGAATATCCCTGGTCATCCAGGCCGGCTTGGTTGTCGGACATTTCCCTTTTGTGGGAATATATCTATTTAGACCTTGAGCTATCACATGAGAAGAAAGTTTCAGTTCGCAGAGCCAGTATGCTTGTATCCCCCTGGCTCTACCAGAAAACACTCCTCCTCACCCCACCGCCCCCCCACCACAGCTCCGACCCCCAGCCAGAATTGTCAATCACTTTGAGAAAATCCTCCCGATGTGAAAGGCGCTGTATAAGTGAATTGTATCGTAAAACCAATGGAAATGATCACGGGGAGCCTGGGATCTTGGATCCTCTACTGCCCATTAGTCATTTCATAAAATTTCCTCTGTGTGTGCACCACTTTAATTCTCTTCTGTATCTCAGAATGCTATTGCTACGGCCCTGGTGTGGCTCATCAAGCGTGCAACACAAAAACAGGACAGTGCACATGTCGGAGAGGATTCCAAGGCTACAATTGTGAAGGCTGTTCACCGGGGTTCTTTAATTACCCGTTCTGTCAGCGTAAGTACTTTTTGCTATTTTTGCCAGTAGGAAAAGCCACGTGTACTTACCTTTTTTTCAGACACGTGGCACACATTTCTGACACCATCTGACATGCTTAAGAGCGTCCAAAAGAAATTCAGAATTCCCTGCAGTTGTGAAAAACAAAGGCTTCTGATGCCATCCATTCTCTTCACAAAGACTACTGCATGTTCCTGAATCCTTCGCTCGCTTCCACCATTGGCGGCTGTGCTTTCAGTCCCAATATGCCCTAAACCTCTGGAACTCCCTGCCTCAATCTCACCGCCTTGCCCACTCTTTGCCCATCTTCAAATCTGAGGACTTGCCTCTTCAACAGTATCTATGTTCACTTCCTCTGTCCTATGTTCCTCTGGGTGAGGGAGAAGGTGAGGGTTGTAGGTGAGGGAAATCGGAAAGGTTGAGTATAAACAGCACGGAGTACCGACAGTGATGACTCAGGGCAGAGACTGTGGCTGTGCCACCCAGAGTTTGGTGGCTCACGATGTGGTCAGTGTCACTCAGGCCATCATTCACTCCCGTATCATCAATGCTGAGACATCGCATTGTTTCAATAACAACTGCACAGAAGATCAGGCAGTGGAAAAGTACGATTCTGTAACCTTGTCCGCTGGGTGTCAGCCTGGCTCAATTGGTAGCGCTCTTGCCTCTGAGTCAGAAGGCTGTGAGTTCAAGCCGTAAGTCGGCACTTTGAATTCACAATCTAGGCTGACACCCCGATGTGGTTCTGGCAAGTGCTGCTTTGTTGGTGGTGCTGTCCTTTGGATGAGACGTTAAACCGAGGTCCTGTCTGCCTGTTCAGGTGGACTTTATTGATCTCCATGAAAAGAGGAGGGAGTTTTTTCTGGCATCCTGGCCAACAATCCCCCAAATAAAATAATTTGTCATTCACTTCCATAGCTGTTCGTGGGACATCACTGTGCATATATGGGTTGCTGTGTTCGCTCATCAAACACAGTCACTACACTTTACAGTATACCTGGGAAGTACTTTTGGGATGTCATCCCGACATGGAAGGCACTATACCGAATGCAATCATCATTATTATAATTACATAGACAGTTACGTCTTTTAGTTAGTGCTGAATACAATACAGGCTTTGGTCAAACACAGTATCACGTTCACTGTGTCAATTGTTGATTATTTCCAGCTTGTTCCTGTGACGGTGTGGGATCATTTGGCTTCACATGTAACCATGCAGGACAGTGTCAGTGTCAGCCCAATTTCATGGGTCCAGGATGCAGGCAGTGCGCTCATGGACACTACGGGTACCCTGTTTGTTTGTGTAAGTCCTGAACATGTTTTTGTGCTATATAAATGGAATTTGTTGTTGTTGTTGCCTCCGCCTTGGGACGTCCTCCCAATGTGAAAGGCACTATACAAATGTAATCTTGTTGTTGTTGTTGTTGCCTCAGTGTATTGTTACTCCTACTTCCCCTGCCCATCCTCCTCTCTGCCAACTCCTTCCTGCTCCATGTCCCTGTTCGCTCCAGCATTGCCGAGCGAGCTTTCAGCTAATTTGCCCCCCATTTTCTGGAGCTGTCTCCCACGACTGTTTGTGGGACACTCCTGTGCTCCACTGGCTGCTGAGTTTGCCCACAAAATATACAGTCAAAGGTACACTAACACTGGTAACCAGGGCGGGTTTGACCCCAATGCTGGGGCCACAATATTTGTCTGGCGTTCACCTTGAAAGCCCTCAGAAAGTCTTACTCAACCCAACTTTTGTGACCTCATAAAACTCAACCACCCTGTCTGCTCCCTCTGCTCAGCTGGTACCTGCCTGCTCCACATGCCCCGCCCTGCCCATTCCACCATCGCTAGTCAGGCTTTTAGCCTTTGTAGACACACCATCTAGAACTCCATCCGGAAACCCTCCTCATCGCCCCCTCCCTTGCCTCCTTCAAGCCCCGTTTCAAGACCTTCCTCTTCAACTGCGCCTTCAGTCATCTTCCCACCACCACCCCGCTCGCCCTCCACCCCTCTTACGCCATCCTGCAGCTTGGGTGCAAACCCTTGACTGTTCAGTGCCTTGGGATGTCCTCCAGATGTGAAAGGCGCTGTTTAAATGCAAGTCGTTGTTGTTGTTCAATCATTTCACCGCCTGTTTCCTTTCGCTTTGTTATTTGAAGCCTGTGATTGCTCGACCGATGGCTCTTATGAGTCTACGTGTGACCAGAGCACTGGAAAGTGTAAATGCCTGACCGGTGTCACAGGGAGACGCTGTGATACTTGTGTTTCGGGAACATATAACTTCCCCCGTTGTCAAGGTAACTATTCTTATCACTGTGTCAACCTGACTTAGATGATAGTACTCGTCTCTTGAGGCGAAAGGTTGTGGTTACAGCCTCAAATTGTGCCTTTAAGCTCACATAGTCTACACTGACTTTATGCTGAACTTCCCCCAGTTTCCTGGCCAACAATCTCTCAGTTAAAATTGGTCTTTCACTCCCGCTGTTGGTGGGATATTGCCGTGCTCACAATTGGCTGCTGCATTCCACCTACAAAATTCACAGTCACTACACTTTACACTGTATCCTCTTGAGTACTCCACTTTCAGACTCCCTCCTGATGTGAAAAGCCCTATATCAAATGTAAGGGCTAGGATTTTTTTTATCACTGACTTCTTTACAGACTGCCACAATATCGCAACTTAATAAAGTGCCATCATTTTCATAAACATAACATTTACCATTGGGACTTTTCCAGTCATTGTAGCAGTTCCGAATATAAAGTGTATGCCATGCCCACCCAATCCACGGATGCCTTTTTACCTACAGAGTCAGATTGTCATAATATTTTACAATGTCCTGAGGTAATATGTAACTCACGGACACATTGTTGATCAGAGTAAGCGTTGAATACGTTAATGTTCAGTCCTCGTATAACCCCGAGTCTGCTTCACTCAAACTCAGGACAGCATTCTTTATTCCATCGGGGTGACAACTGCCATTTCTTATCCCAGTCCCTGTGAATACCCCCCCCCCCCCCACCCCATTCCCCATTAGAGTTGAATCCAAATCAATTTTGGGCACCCCACAACCACTAGGAACTGTAGAGGGTAGGAGGTGGGGTGGGGGGAATGTAAGGGGTAGGAGGGGGAGTAGGAGGTAGGATTGGGAGGAGTGTGAGGGGTAGGAGATGGAGTGGGGAGAATGGGATTGTTCAGTTGCTTAGTAAGAAGATTGTAACATCATGATGGAATTGAGTTGGATGTGAGCGTCTTACTGAAATGCTTCCAGGTGAATAGAACAAACGTTTTGAAAGAACAAACTTATCAAAAGACTAACATTGCTGCTTTCTGGTGTCCTTTTCAGTTACAGACTGTCATGCGGCAGGTACAGCGAGACACAGCCCCTCATCTCATTCTGTAAGTCTTCAATAATTCTTCTGGTCACCTTTTAAATCAATTCCGCCTTTAGTTGAATTAGTTAATTTTTAGTTGAATTTGTGGGGTCCTGTAGCAAGCGAGACACCTGGGTTCAATTCCAGGCAGGGTGAAACCTTGGGCAAGTTTCCTTACTCCACACACCTAATAATAATCCCTCCAAAACAAAACAATAATAAATTGGTCATTTTCAATCCATGACTGTTTGTCGGACACTGCTGTGCGCAATTGGCTGCCGCGTTTTGCCCACAAATATACGGTCAATTCACTTTACAGTCTATTCTCTGAAGCGCTTTGAGACGTCGAGAAGACGTAAAAAGCGCTATATCAAATGCAAGGATTATTATTATTATTAAATTGTGTTTATTACCAATAGTATGTTTCCATGTGCTGGAGACTAACGCGGTTTTAGTATCAGGTACTGGATTCGGGGAATTTCTGTCTGATCCATGCTGTTTATAGTGACTTGGCTCACGTCCAGATGGCAGAGGCGAAACCATTAAAAATCCACTGCTGTTTTTGAATGCACTTTTTCTGTTAATGAAATACTAAGATCAAGCAGACTCCAGCCTGCCAAGATAACTGCTCACATATAAAATGGGGGCAGGGCGGGCTTACAACACAATACAAAGATACAATTGTTTGGGTCTTCTGTTAATGTGCTATTTATACATGGTACAGACACCGAGATGTGGAACAGGTTGCCAGGCCAGCGTGCACACAGCCAAACGTGTATTGCATGCACAAACATTAACCTGTGAAGATGGATCGCAAGAGTCCTGTAGCTCAGTGGTTAGAGCACTCGCTTTGCAAATGAGAGACCTGAGTTCAATTCCAGGCAGAGCGAAACCTTGGGCAAGTTTCCTTACTCCACACAGAGCCTAATAATAATCCCTCCAAAACAAAAAACAATAATAAATTGGTCATTTTCAATCCATATGACTGTTTGTGGGACATTGCTGTGCGCAATTGGCTGCTGCGTTCGCCCACAAATATACAGTTAATTCACTTTACAGTGTGTTCTGTGAAGCGCTTTGGGACGTCCTCCCGACGTGAAAAGCGCTATATCAAATGCAAGGATTATTATTATTAAGAAATGACTTTTGCGGAGCTTATTTTGCTCTGCATTTTGCACCAGCTCAAGTGAAATGCCAGGCTCTCTGTCCTTAAATTCAGCCACAGAACTTAGCAATTTAATTCAACAGGGAATATGAAGTATATTTGTTACCAGTCAAACAAAAACGTAGACGAGACCTGATTCATTTAGGACTCTTAAATCTTGAGAACCATCTCAGAGGGAACCATGCAGATGTGTGTAATATTTTAAATGGGATTGAAAAAGTTAACTCACAACTTTTAAGATGCATCGTGACAGCAGAACAAAAGGACATGGGTTTAGAGTTGCAAAGGGCAATTTCAGTAAGTAACGTAACATGTAGGAGCAGGAATAGGCCATTCGGCCCTTTGAGCCTGCCCCACCATTCAATCATGGTTGATCCTCCAGCTAACACCATAATACAGACACCGAGATGTGGAACAGGTTGCCAGGAAGAGGGGTTAAGGTCTCATTTTAAATGGATTCATTTTAAAAAAAAGCTTCATGCTGTGATGGGGGAACAATAGGATAGATATTCTCTGGGGATGAAATCAGGTGGGCTGAAAGGTGCTTTCCTCATCCAAACCGATGTTGTGATTTTGTGAACTCCACAATTCTGAACTGTGAGGAGGTAATAATATGTTAAGAGTTAAATGCTTTGAGACAGCCTCCTGAAGTGAAAGGTGATGTATAAATGTAAATTGTTTCAAGATGTAAAACTGTTTTGCCAGTTATTTCAAGGCAGTAGCTGCAGTGAATGTAATGTAGCAATATTTGTTAAACAAAAATTGGTCACTCAATCCACCACTGTTTGTGGGATACTGCTGTGCGCAACTGGCTGCCACATTTCGCTCACAAAATATACAGTCAATCCACATTGCAGTGTATTCCGTGAAGCACTTTCAGACGTCTCAATGACTTGATAAGGCACGATATCAAATGCAAGAATTATTATTAAGTGCATTCAAGCTGTCTGGGAAATGTCATTGTTATTGAGTTTACTTTCCTATTAAATTAGGGTTCGTGCGAGTGCCTGGCTAATGTTGAGGGTCCCAAATGTGACAAGTGCAAAGCACTTTACTGGAGACTAGCTGAGGAGAATCCTGACGGATGTATTGGTAAGCAATTACTGTCTTTTTTACCTTGTTAAAGGTGGCTGTATGTTTTTTTTGAGAGCTCTTCAGTGCCTGAAGAATTAGACAGGCTTGCGGGATATTGATGGTGTAAATGCAAGGATCATCATTATAATTAAACAATGCAAATAATTAAATTCTGTCTTGTAAATATCAACTTTGAATCTTCGGTTGAGCTCCACCCATATCTTTCTCATTTATTGAATTAACAAAATCCAATCCGCCTGCTCATTTTATATCCCAGGGGTAATAATCCCTTCAAAAACAACAATAATATAATAATTTGGTACTCAATCCATGACTGTTTGTGGGACACTTCTGTGTGCAATTGGCTATCACGTTTTGCCCACAAAATATAGTCAATTCACTTTATAGTACATTCTGTGAAGTGCTTTGAGACGTCTCAAGGATATGATAAGCCGCTATATCAAATGCAAGGATTATTATTATTATAGAGATGAAGGGGGGCTACATCAAATGCAGGGATTAGTTTTATTATTGATTCTCATCTCTTTGCAGAGTGTCAGTGTGTCGTGAAGGGTACGACCAGCGGGATTGGAATTTGCGATCAGGTGAGTGGACAGGAGAACCTGCAGTCTTAAAAAGTTTGGGACAGTAAACACCAGTTTGCAAGTTTTATTTAATTTTTTAAACTACAGCAAAAACGGAAGGAGAGTTTAGGAGATTTTTTTTTGCACTCAGAGAGTTGTTGAGATGTGAAATGCCCTGCCAAGTAAGGGGGAAGAGATAGAGTCCATTGTAGGTTTCAAGAGGTGTATATTGAAGGATAGAGGCTTGATGGGGAACGGGGACAGAGGCAGAGCGTTGAGATTGAATGAACACCCTGCTCTGAGAGCCAGCGCAGACTTGATGAGCCGAATGGCCTCCTTATGCCCTATAAAGTGCTACGATTCTAACCTCGACGTTGATGTTTCAGGACAGTGGCATGTGTCACTGTAAGCCCAACGTGTGTGGCGAGCCCTGCGATGCGTGTAAGAAGGGATACTATGCCTTAGAAGAGAGGAACTACTTTGGTTGTCAAGGTGAGTGAAACAGCAGTGGGAAAAGGCTGAAGACATCGCAACGCTTCACATTGTGGTATAACACGGCCTTACACTGTGAGGCAATTCTGGAAACACTGTTGTCTCCCTGACAGCATGGCTGAGATTGACCACAAACCTTGTGAAGCTTGGGGGTAAGAATCCCTCCGAAAAATCTAATAATAATTTGGTCATTCAATCCACAACTGTTTGTGTGGTGCGCAATTGACTGCCATGATTTGGCCACACAATATACAGTCAATTCACTTTACAGTATATTGCGTGAAGCGCTTTGAGATGTCTCAATGACATGAAAAGGCGCCACATCAAATGCAAGGATTATTATTATTATTATTACTTCCCCCTCCACTGTCGAACCCAGGATGTAGTCGCTATAACTAGGATTAAATGAACACTTACAAACAGAGTTAGCTCAGAAATATTGTTTATTTAATACTTGTAGCAAGGAGAGGGAAAGCGAGAGGCAATACAATAGCACGTCTCTCAGAAGAGTCGGTACTCTCCCTCTACCAATGGGGCAGTCTCATTAGTTTATATACATGATTATTTGCGATCACCTCATGCTTAACTCGTGTCTCAAACACTTCTTGCTGTTGATTGACAAGCATTCAATCATCACAAGCTTGATTATACATTTGCAGACAGTACAAGGACACTGGTTCTGCTCTAATTATCTACACTGTTGCTCAAAAACAACTCTAATCTTAACATTGTCGAGACACTCTGTACTTCACGTGATTTAGTCCCTTTACATTTCCACACTCCTCCCTTTTATCCTTACTTAGGATAACTCAATTTCTTGTCTTGTCTCACTTCTTCCTGGCTCTAAAAACGCAAGCTTCTTTGCAGTGCTCTTGGTACATTGGTTACAACAGGTTATAAGTATTTTAATAAGTACATACAAAACAATAATGATGAAATTATTTCGAGTGAGTACATTACTCCGGTCTTAATCCATCCTTCTACTCCGTCATTTAGACCCGTAAATCAACTGAACAAACCCCAGCCTTGATAGTTATTAATGATTCCTGCAGCGTTTTTCCCTGTTTTATTAATTTGGTCAGTATAATTAGAAATTTGCCCCAAAAAATCATCAATTGTCATACAACATTCTGGTCCAATTAACTTACACACTCCTCCCGTAAATGAAAGCACAAAATCTAAAGCCATACGATTTTGTAATGTCATAGCCCTAATTTCTTTCATTTCCTTATGAACCAATGCGAGTGCTGCAGATGTGGCATTAGCAAGTTGCGAAACATTGGCAGCCAATTCTTCAATCTGATCTAAGGCACACATCATTCCGGTATTGGTTATAGCGCACCGAAGAACCAAGTCCATGTAGACTGATGATGCGTGTAGAACGGATCAATTGATCGGCGCGTTCGAAGGCCCATCTCAGTAGACATTTGTTTAGCCAATCGGATCATCGGTAAATAATGCCCTAAAGCACAGAGACCCTGAAAGTCAGCAGGTAAGTAATCGTAAATTGTATCATTATAGATCCATTTAAAACTCTGTAGTGCTGAGGGAATAGCACATTTTTGGGCAATCGATTATGTACAAAAGGTTTATTGTTACACGTAATATGTGTTGGCTGTGATTTAATCGGAGAACATTGAGTCCCATTTTCATCAATTCCCAACAGTTTCATCATACCACAAAGCTCACAGTGTGTCAAAGGTATAGTCATCATAGGGAATCCCATGTATACTGACCGAGGAGATATTCCACAAACATAGTGATGTGAGTTATCTTTATGATCCACAAACGCCGAAACCATTTGAATAAACGTATTGTAAATTTTGAAGGGCTTAGGAGAAGATGAATCGGGTAGACTGGGAGAGTGAAAAGTAAATTTGATTGGAAACAAATTGGCATCTGTGATTTGCATATTGGTAAGTTTCGAATTATTAACCGCAGAGGGATAACCACTAGGAAATCCATCGCTGCTAGAGTCGCCGCTTTCCAGAGAATCATTATTATTGTATATAATAAATTCATCAGCACCAATTTTGTTTGGACGGCAAAGGGGTTGATTAGTACAGTTAAATATAGCATGACAATAACAAAATTTAAAAGGATATACTAGTATACAAGTAATAGATCTATTACAATTGTTAGATAAAAGGGAATAACATTCAGTTAAATTGCTACACATAACGACGGAGTTGTTAACTGGCGTAAAAATGCTATAACTTGAGGTGATCATACAATTAGTAGTGTTTGAGTAAGTACCGAGAGAGATCTAACTACGAAAGAAAAGAAAATAATACACATTAATAAACACCAAATACGCGTCAACTGTGAAAGCACTAATTGGAGGAAACAGAAGATGAACTGGAACTGCGGCTGCGACCTGACTCTTGACTCACGTCGCTCTGCTCGCTGTCTGAGTCTGTTTCTTCCTTGTCCTTCAGCTTCGGCATGTCTACATCCTGCACCAGCGCTTTTTTGCAGTGTGAGGCATGTACCCATGTTAATTTTTCTTGTACTTTCACTGCAGTAAAGGTTGTGGGTAATATTTGATAAGGTCCTTCCCAACGGGGAGAAAGTCCACCTTTACGTTTGAACACCTTCACATATACAAAATCTCCTGGCACAAAAGAGTGACAAGCTTCAGTTGCAGCCAGTTGTTGGAGCTCTTGTATCTGTTTAGAGAAATCTGCATAAACATTTGGTGAGTGCAATACAATACGTAAGCATAGCATCTTCCATATGATGAACATCATAATCAACCTTTTCTGGGTCATCGAACATCATTGGCATACTGCAGCCGAAAACTATTTCACGTGGAGATAATTTAAGAGTTTGAGAGGTATGTGCCCGCATTTGCATGAGAGCAATAGGTAATACTTGTGGCCACTTAAGACCTGTTTCAGTAGTTAATTTTGCTAATTTTAATTTCAAAGTGCCGTTTGCTCTTTCCACGACTCCTGCTGATTGCAGATGATATGAGCAGTGAAATCGCTGATCAATTTTTAATACTTGCAGACTTCCTTTACCACAATGAAGTGTGGACCATTATCACTTGACAATCGGAGAGGTACGCCAAACCTCGGAATGATTTCTTTAAACAAGTATACGGCCACAGTGGTAGCATCATTGTGCCTGCAAGGGAAAGCTTCAATCCATTTAGAGAACATATCAACAACTACGAGAATATATTCAAGTCCCATTTCTTTGGGTAACTGAATAAAATCCATCTTTGAAACATACATCGGTACCATACTTGTATCATCTGATAATGCCGTTGATTTAGCTATCGCATCAGCCAGCCTGTTCGCTTGAGAGACTGCGTCTATGCCAGTGGTGTGTGCATTACACTTCACCACTGCTAATCTTGATGGCAAAAGAATAGCTTTTAGTAAATTAAAAGTATGCTTCCCATTTTTAATAGGCGATCCGGTAGAGGTGAGGAATCCTCTTTCTTCCCATAATCTGCCAAAATCATGACATACTACAAAAGCATATCTAGAGTCTGTATAAACATTTAAGGTTTTCCCTTCTGATAAAACACACGTTCATGTTAATGCAAATATTTCTGCTATTTGCGCAGATGTATTAGTTGGTAACGTATTATTTTCTACGATCTCAAACTGTGTACATGTAGCATAGGACGAGCATGGACTCAGATCGCTGGATTCAAAGTCCAGAGTGCTAACCATTACACGGACTTTTATATTTAGTGATGATTCCTTGTTCAAGTAAACTTTTAATTACGTCCCGTATTCCTGCTTCAGCCTCTGGTTTTAGAGGGTACTGAGGACGGTAAGACATTGCCTTCTCAGGGTGAACTGTAATCTTGTACAGTTTGGCTGTTAGAATTTTATCTACATCGTTAGGATGTCTATAATTTGTCTGGTATTTCATTCAGACATTGTGGCATTACTATGTTGGGTGTTACTAAATTATTTAATTCAAATCTTGATGCTGGCTTTACCGATTCAAATTTTATACGATTACAATCCATTTCTAGGTTGTACTTTAGTCCTTCACAAAGGGAAATATATGGTAAGTTTTTGTTAATTAATACCATATTTCCTAGCTCTTTAGCACCAAATCCCTTTGCTACTTGTAATGTCAAATGTGGCACACTGTTCTGTACAAGAAAATATTCCTGTTCTGCTGTAGGTAAGGTTATTGCGGCTGCAATTCCCTTCTTTCCTACGTAAATATATTTAGTTTTAAATGCAGTAGTAGTGTTAAGGTTTAATTTTAATTTGTATACTGTCTCATGAGTCACCGAGGTAAAATCGCAAAGAGCAGTACAATGCAAACTCGTTTTCCACGGTGTCAATTGTAAATCTTTCAAAGATTGTATGAACTGCGGGTAAGCTTGTTTTCTTACTATACTCTCCAATTCTTCGGTAATTTGTTTCGATTCACTTAAATTATTTGTAAATGAGTAGTAGTCTGGTGGTGGAGCGGGCGCTGGGACTGATCCTGTCTGCTCTGTTATTGAACCTGAGTTTGCCGGGTATGCGGACGGATCAGGGGACGGGGCGCTTGGAGTGGGAACAACAACAGTTGAGGGATATTGACAAGGATATCCTATTGCTTGGCAAGCCTCCTCATCATCCTTTCTTTTCTCTTCATCCTCTGCTTTACTCTCTTTACCTTCTTTACTTTCTCTATGTTGCATTTGCAACGGTAACTTCTCGGCATTCCCTCCAAATTCCTCCAGATGCTGAGAAGCATTCCCTTGCTTACTTTTCTTTACACTTTCCTCGTGCCTGCGCTCACTTTCAGTTACCCAGTCATTAAATGCGGACATGTGTGCCTGCATATCGTGCCTACATCTACACTTGCCAAAACAACCTCCCTTCAACAATTCTTTTGTTTCAAGTTTAAGTTTTAAATACCGCAGTCTGTCTCGGTTAAACGAGCCATCGGCTGACCAACAGTGTATGTTCCCTTTTGTCCATTTCTCCCATATCGTAAGGTACTGTATAGTCTCTTGTCCATAATTATTTAACATGAAGGCACAGGGCATTCCCTTAGGACAGACCTCCAATTTGGATGAGTTCTGACCCATTTTGTTAGTACTTATTACAAGTTTTTTTTTAAAAAAGTGCATAAACAAAAATCGAAACAATAATACACAAATTTTGTATCTTGTACTTTAAATGGCCTTGAATCTTTTATTTTCTTATACTTTATTTTCTTATACTTTAAATGGCCTTAAACCTTTTATTTTATTATTCTTTATATTTTCATACGGGCCTCGAACCCTGGTGTATCCAATTACCTTAACATTAAATTTTCATACGGGCCTCGAACCCTGGTTAATCCAATTACCTTCAGCGTACACTTTTCTGGCCAGTTCGTTTCCTAGAACAGACTACAATTTAGACACTAGATGGAAGTGCCATCAACATGATAAGGAGCCACATCAAATGCAAGGATTATTATTATTATTACTTCCCCCTCCACCTCCAGCCCAGAGAGACTGAGACCAATATCAGCACTGTCACTCAGCTCCTACCAGCAACCTCAACACAGGGCACAGGGAATCAGATAGGTGACTTACTGTTATCTGAGGATCAGTGTTACGTTACGCAGTTCATCAGCCCACTGCAATTTTTAAATAGCCACTGAGGCTACCTTTCAAAGGGATTGTTTTCTTTCTGTTTTCTTTAGCTCATTTCTTTTCATTGGTATCCGGTTTATTCTTTAATATGAATATTCCTCTCATTGGAAGTAAACATTGGATTGCATGGGGTGAAAACTCTTTGAAAGATATCAGTCTGGGTCAAGCTGACTTTTGAGTCAAAAGGATGTTTGTTCAAGCCCCACGTTGGGAACTTTGAACACATATACTCAAGGCTGACATTCCAGGACAATGCTGCGTTACCATGAGAGATGTGAAACCGAGATTCCGTCTGTCTGTCCCGGTGGACGTTAAAAATCCTCTGTCACTATTCGAAAAGAGAACAGATTTTCTTCCAACAATTTCGGAAATAAAAAAAATGGTCGTTCATTCCATGGCTGTTTGTGAAACACTGCTGTACATAAATTGGCTGCTGTGTCCACGTACAAAATACACAGTCGCTACACTTTACAGTGAAGAGCTTTGAGACGTGCACCCAACATGAAAGGTGCTGTATCAGATGTAAGCATTGTAATAATGGTCTTCTTATTAAATACATTGACAGGCTGCCAATGTGACATCGGAGGCTCCGTTAATCTAACGTGCAGTGACCGAGGGATATGCCGGTGCAGGCAAAATGTGGAAGGACGCATTTGCAATCGGTGAGAAGCGAATGTACTGCCATGTATTTCTGACAAGTGCAGGGAATGTCATCCTAGCTCAGCTGGTAGAATTCTGGCTTTTGAGTCAGAAGGTTGTGGGTTCAAGCTCCACATCGGGGACTTTGAGCTCACAATCTAGGCTGACGCTCCATTGTCGGAGGTGCCATCCTTTCGCATAAGACGTCAAACAGAAGTCCCTGCTGCAAGTTCAGCTGGACGTTAAAGATCCCTATGGTACTGTTCATAAAGAGAAGGGAGTTTCCTCTAGTATCCTGGCAATAACACAAAAAGAGAAAGGAGTTTCTCCCACTGCTGTATATTGGTGGAAAAAAATGAAGGATGAATGATTAAACATGAAACACACATTTTACTTTGCATGACAATATCATAACTCATGGAGTTCTGTAACTCAGTGGTAAGAGCACTCGCCTCGCAAGCAAGAGACTTGGGGTTCAATTCCTGGCATGGCGAAATGTTGGCCAAGTTTCCTTACTCCACACGTCTCTGTTTACCTAGCAGTAAGTAGGAACCCGGTTGTTAGTCGATTGTCAGATCGCTTTTCTGGGGCTAATAATTCCTTTTAAAAAAAAATTGGTCACTTCAATCCACGACTGTTTGTGGGACACTGCTGTGCGCAATTGGCTGCCGCGGTTTGTCTACAAAATATAAAATCAATTCACTGTACAGTACAGTCTATGAAGCGCTTTGAGACGTCTCGAAGACGTGATAAGGAGCTCTATCAAATGCAAGGATTATTATAAAATAAGTGAATAATATTGGTTGACAATGTTGTTGCACTGAGGTTAAGTATTGCAACCCCTGAATTTCAAGGCCACAGCGAGAACACTATTTCCCAGATCTTCACCATTTGAAGTATGAGATTGAAGACGGCACCACCCCCAATGGGAGACCCGTTCGCTTTGGCTACGATCCCCGGGAGTTTTCCAACTTCAGCTGGAGAGGCTACACACAGATGTCACCAATACAAGTACGTGTCCCAGCAGACTTGCCCCCCTGAACCACAGCTTGCCCCGCTTTAAGCCGAAGATGGTTCAGGTGGACGGAAATGTTGGCCGCCAGTCAAACCATTGTATTTTAAAACTAAATAAGGTCAGGTCTTAAATATTCATGCGTGTCTCGATTTCACTTTGCCTCACTTTATCCTTTTCCTGACGTTGTATTGATTGAGGGTGGGGCAGGAGGCAGGGGTGACATTCAGAAACAGATGTAGAGCGAGTCTTTTCCCTTTCATTCCCTGACTGGAGTGATTAAGTGAGGCGGGTGGGGGGGGGGGGAATGATGCTTATATCACCTTCACTCACTCTGACATGACCTTTTTCTCAGCAATTGAGCATTCTTCCCTTGTGTAACAATGGTCCCAAACGGTCAGCAGGAAAACGATTGCAGCCCAGAAAAGCCCTTTTACAGGAAAGGGCCCCAGTTAAATGCTGAGATCTTAATCCTCGCGCTCAACAAGAAGCATTTTTGCTGTGAGAACACAGTAACACAATTGGAGCCAATGATTGCAATGCTGCCAGTTATATTCTTACCCTCATCTATAAATCCCTTCATGCCCTTGCACTTCCCTATCTCTCAGACTTCCTGCCCTATTCCTCTGCCGATCTTCCTACCCTCCTTCTGCTCGACCACCCCATTTGGGCTTGCTGTGTATTCCCGCCCTGCCTTGCTCCATCGGGGCGCGGACTCTTTGATTCTATGCCCTAATCTCTGGAACTCCCCCCCCCCCCCTCCCCACTCTCTGTCTTCAAGTCCCACCTTAAAGCCTACCTCTTCAACCATATCTATGGTTACCTTCAGGAAATCTCTCTCTCCAATTGTGTCCATCTCCACCATTGTAAAGCACTCCATTGTTCTGCATTACAAATGCAATTTGTCATTACCCAAAACAGTAATTGTGTATTTTTGAGTTGCAGTCTGAAAATGCTCCGCTTCCATGGATCTGCTGTGGTTTAGTGGCAGGCAGGAGGATGGGGGGAGCGCGGGGGCTGGGGGTTGAGGTGACAGTTCTCTGCTTGCTTATAGTTCGGACAATTCTTCAGGGGTCTTCTTTTCCCTTATTTCTCCTATGACTGCTTTTTTCTTCCCAGCCAGAGGTGGTCATGTCTATCACTGTGACTTCTCCTAATCTGTTTCGCATAATGTTCCGTTACAAGAGCCGTGTTCGAAAGCCTGTTAGTGGAAGGATCTCAATCACTGAGGAAGTAAATGTTGATTCTTGCTGTAATTGTAAGTGACTTTCTTTCTGTCTCTTAATTTGTCTGTCACTCGACCAATTTTCCATCCTTATTTGCCTATACGCACTGAATCTTTAACTGAGGACACTATCTGGCAGGCTTAAATTTAGCATGAGCTTCTGAAGACTATTGCTGCTAATTCTGCTTCCAGTTTGCCATCCCCCCACTCACTCTCCCCACCATGTGTTATGTGTTTAATTAACTTCCATTTTACAGAATAACATGAGGGTAACAGTGCATGTGGAGAAAAGAAACGTTAATTTGTTCCACATCGTCTTGAGATATGTTAACACAGAATCCGCACCAGTGTACGGTCGTGTAACAACTTATCAAGCCCGTCAAAGCACAGGTAAGACTGACTCAGTCGGTAGTACTCTTGCCAGTGAGTCAGGAAGGGTGTAGGTTCAAGTCCCATGTCGTGGCCTTTGAGCTCACATGGTCTCGGCTGACATTGCAGTACTGGGGGGCATGCACTGCATTGTCATTGTCCTTCGGATGAGACATTAAACCGAGGTACCATCTGCCTGTTCAGGTGGACATTAAAGATCCCATGGTGCTATTCGAAAAGAGAAGGGAGTTTCTGCCAGTGTCCTGGCTAACAATCCCCCAAGTAAAATTGGTCTCTTTATGGCTGTCTGTTGGACAGTGCTGTGCAAATTGGCTGCCACATTCACCTACAAAATACATAGTCACTGCACTTCATAGTGAAATCCTGTGAAGCACTTTGAGATAGTTCATCAGAGTTGTTAAGGCTCTCATTATTATTATTATTCATAAGTGTTGAAGGGTTGAATACACATCAGTGTCGATCGATCAGCCATTTAAAGTAAAATATACTTATTGAAAATTTACTAAAATCTCATATTTTGCCTAATACATTCTAATAATATTCTGCATGTATCTTCAAATCCCACCTAAGAAGCCTACCTCTTCGATTGGGCCTATGGTCACCTTCCACCCCCACTCCCCACCCCGGCTCCGTGTCTGTCCCTGTCACTATGTAGCTCTGCGAGCCATTATCCTACCCGAGGGAAGCTTTGTAAATGCAAGTTGGTGTAGCAGTTATTGAAGCACTGTATGCCACCGATTATAGCGTTGATTGAAATTTTATGGTTAATGTATGATTCACTCATAATGTGTTTCACCTCAACTGTGTCCAGTAGAATTATTCAAAAGAGAACTGGTTTTACAATTGAAAACTAAAAACGTATGGGGAAACAGCTAGAAAATCAGATTAATTAATTAAGAAAAGCAATTTAGAAAATGGGCAACAAGTGACAGGAGGACATGGGAAAGGAGAATATTTTTCGATGCAAAGCATCAGAGATAGAATGCAAAACAATAGATGTCTGTAGTCATGAGATGGTCCTAAACCACTAGTAAATGGAGGAGATGGAGTCCGTTGTGGGCTTCAGGATTAAGGTTGACAGGTATGTGAGGCTTGAAGGGATATGGAGACAGGGCAGGTTAGTGTGATTGAATGAAAACCTGAGAGATCTGAAAACAAATGCAGACTCGATGGGTTGAATGACCTCCTTCGGCATTGTGAATTTCTATGATTTGGACATCTTAGTGCTGGCTATCTCATTGTCTCAATGGCGGCTTTATCCCATGGTTAGGCACATACATATGATTGCAGATATCCTGCATTGTATAATGTAGCATAAGTAAGTTATTCCCGTTGGGGAATCCGTAGCCAGGGACACAAGTATAAAATAGGGATTAGGGGATTTAAAAGAGAATTTAGGAGGGGCTACTTCACGCAGAGGGTAGTGAGATTGTGGAACTCGCTACCTGAAGCAATGGTTGAATCAGATACTGGAGATTAATTTAAGGAAGCTAGATACACACACGAGGGAGAGGGGGAAGGGGAATAGAAGGGTATGGGATGGGGTAAGGGGTGGGTGGAGATTCATGTGAAGTATAAACACTGGCATGGATTAATTGGACTGAATTTCCGTGCTATGTATGTAAATCTCCAGTTCTGATGTTTGAATTCTGTTTCAGACTCTAATATTTTATCAGTGCTGAGTTATGTGCCATAAGTTGTCGCTAATCCAATATTTATTCTTGTTTCTAGTCTCACCCCAGACAAAAGAGGTTCTCTTTGCACCCACCAAGAAGCCGGCTTTTGCTACTGTATCAGGAAACAGCTACGCAGACCCTTTCTCACTCACACCTGGCACTTGGATTGTCAACATAGTGGCAGAAGGAGTCCTTTTGGTGAGATTTGTTTGTGATATAAAAAAGAATTCCTATATACGCTGTATGTTTTTTTTAAATTGCAATACCTCAGATTTTGGGTTGTTTAATAATAATTATAATCCTTGCATTTGATATAGCGCCTTATCACATCATTGAGACATCTCAAAGAATACACTGTAAAGTGGATTGACTGTGTATTTTATGGGCGAAAAGCGCTAGTCAATTGCACTAAGCAGTGTCCCACAAACAGTCATGGAATGAGTGACCGAATTATTGGTTGATTTTTTTGGAAGGATTATTACCCGCGGAAAGCAGTCTGCCAATCGATTAACAACCGGGTTCCTACTTAATGCTAGGTAAACAGAGGCGTGTGGAATAAGGAAACTTGCCTCAGGTTTCACCCTGTCCAGGAATCGAACCCAGGTCCTCTCGCTTGCAAGGCAAGCTACGCTACGGAACTTAACTCAGCAAAATCAATTGTGATGATTTAGATTTGTAGGTTTTCCAGCTGAATGTCTTGTCAAATGTCTTTTTCTTCAATCTCTACCCTAGGATTATTTAGTTCTGATGCCCAGTGATTATTACGAGGCTCCAATTCTGCAGTACCAAGTGTCGGAACCTTGTCCTTTCAACTCCGGGTCAGAGCAAGATGACACAAAGTAAGGGAACAGCTGGGAGAAACGTGTATGCTGTGTAAACTGCATAGGAGAAGGTGTTGCATGAAAAGATAATAATCCTTGCATTTAATATAGCGCCTTATCACGTCATTGAGATGTTTTAATGCACTGCACAGAATATACTTTAAAGTGAATTGACTGTATGTTTTGTGGGCAAAACGCGGCAGCAAATTGCGCACAGCAGTGTCCCACAAACAGTCGTGGATTGAGTGACCAAATTATTATTACTTTTAAAGTAATTATTTTATTATTTTTTGAGGTTCCATTTGCTTGTTCAGGGGCCATTAACGATCCCGTGGCACTGTTAGAAAAGTGAAGGGAATTTCTCCCAGTGTCCTGACCAACAATCCCTCAAATAAAATTTGTGGTTTGTTTGATGGTTGTTTGTGGGATATAGCTGTGCACAAATTGTCTGCCTCATTCAAGTACAAATTACACAGTCACTACACTTTACAGTATACCTTGTGAAGTACTTTGAGACATCTCAATGATGCAATTAAGCAACTATATCAAATGTGTATATAATAAAGGATTATTATAATAGTGTTAAAATGGCCTTGAGGTTTTTGCTTGATTATAAAAATATTGTTTTAAAGCCTTAAAGCACAACAACAAATTACATTTATATAGCACCTTTCATGTAGGGAGGACATCCAGATGGACTGGATAATGAGGGTTTGCATCGGAGCTGGCAGATTGCAGCTTAAGTAGTTTTGGAAACAAAAAATATTTTTAAACCACAATAGTTACCAGAGAGCCATTTGTTTTGAAGAAACGGTCAACAGAATACAATTTACAGCACAATTGTAATGTTAATGGGCTTTTTGCATCGGGAGGTTGTCTCAAAGCACTTTAGAATGCTGGATGGGCACCTGAGTTGGGGTGGGAGCCGAGGGGAGTGGGGAAAGCGCAGACAAAGAGGTACATTTTGGGACATGCCTTGATGACATGATGGAGGGAGCGGGGGAGGGAGGGTGATAGGGATTCAGAAAGATTATGAGTCGAGTTTGAGAGCAGGGAACAGAATGGCTGAATGAATGTACAACATTTCTGAGCAGATCAGCAAAGAGCTTGTGACACAGGATCTTTAGTTGCTGAACTCTGAATTCTCCTTTTGCAGCTGTTTGTTATACTGGTACCTGTCTTTGGATCACTTTCCTTCATCTGGGGCTGGAGAGGGAACCTACCTCATTGACGGGCAGCAGGAAACCTTGCTGCGACCACCCACATCCTACCGCCCAGAACTGGCTGATCTCGTTGGCAGACAGGTATACAGAAAGAGATATCAAGCTGCACATCCAATCTGCCAAATGCATTTATTCCAAACATTAATATTTCACCAATAACTTGCTTGATCACTGAACACAGTTTTTCTAAAGGAAGCATTTTTACATGTCTTTTAGCCTTTGAGTAAAATGTTCAATTTTTTCAAGAAAAAAAGGCTAGTCAAAGGTATGGTGGGGCCAGTTAAGGACCAAGGGGGAAATCTTATTGTGGAGGCAGAGGGCGTGGCTGATGTACTGAATGAGTACTTTGCATCTGTCTTCACAAAAGAAGTGGATGTACCAAATGCCGCAGTATCGGAGGAGAGGGTAGAGGAAATGGATAGGATAAGTATAAACAGAGAGGAAGTACTGAAAAGGTTGCCTGGGCTGAAGATAGATAAGTCGCCCGGTCCGGACGGGATGCAACCAAGGTTACTATGGGAGGCACGGGTACAAATAGCAGAGGCTTTGGCTATAATTTTTTAATCATCGTTGGACACAGGAGTGGTGCCAGAGGACTGGAGAGTGGCCAATGTGACTCCCCTGTACAAAAAGGGACAGAAGCACAAACCTGGGAACTACAGGCCAGTCAGCCTAACATCAGTAGTGAGGAAACTTCTGGAGACTATAATCCGGGACAGAATAAATCTTCACTTAGAAGAATATGGGTTAATTAGGGACAGCCAAATTGGATTTGTTGAAGGCAAATCTTGTTTAACAAATCTAACAGAAATTTTCGATGAGGTAACGGAGAGGGTGGGTAATGCAGTTGATGTCGTTTATATGGACTTTCAAAAGGCATTTGACAAAATGCCACCTGAAAGACTTGTAAGAAAGATAGAAGCCCATGGTATAAAAGGGACAGTGGCAGCATGGATCCAGAACTGGCTGGGAGACAGAGAGCAGAGAGTTGTGGTGAATGGCTGCTTTTCTGACTGGAGGGAAGTGTACAGTGGCGTCTCCCAGGGATCGGTATTAGGACCACTGCTCTTCTTAATATACATAAATGGTCTGGACTTGGGTATAGCAAGCACCATTTCCAAGTTTGCGGATGACACAAAGTTAGGTAGGGTGGTAAACAGTGAGAGGGACAGGAGCCAACTGCAGGAGGACATAGACAGAATGGTAAAATGGGCAGACACATGGCAGATGAGTTTCAATGTGGAGAAATACGAGGTAATGCATTTTGGTTGAAAGAATGAGGGGAGGCAATATAGGTTTGGTAATACAATCTTAAGGGGGTAAAAGAACAGAGAGACCTGGGGGTGCAGGTAAATGAATCTTTGAAGGTGGCAGGACAGGTAGATAAAGCTGTAAAAAGGGCATATGGGATACTAGGCTTTATAAATAGGGACATAGAATACAAGAATCAGGAGGTTATGATTAACCTATATAAAACACTGGTTAGGCCTCAGTTAGAATACTGCGCCCAGTTCTGGGCACCACACTATAGGAAGGATGTTAAGGCATTGGAAAGGGTGCAGAGGAGATTTACGAGGATGGTACCAGGAATGAGGGACTTTGATTATGAAGAAAGGCTGGAGAGGTTAGGATTATTCTCATTGGAGCAGAGAAGGTTACGAGGAGACCTAATAGATGTCTTCAAAATCATGAGGGGATTTGATAGGTTAGAAAGGGAAAAGCTATTTCCACTGGTGGGTGTGTCAGTGACTCGAGGTCACAGATTCAAAATAATATCTAAAAGCAGCAGAGGGGAGGTGAGAAGACATTTTTTCATGCAACGAGTTGTTCGAATCTGGAACGCATTGCCTGAAAGGGTGGTCAAGGCCGATTCGATAACAACTTTTAAAAATGCGGTGGATGGGTATTTGAGGAGGACGGGTTTGCAGGGTTATGGGGAAAAGGCTGGGGAGTGGGATTGACATTACATTGCTCTATTCAAAGAGCCGTCACAAACTCGATGGGCCGAATGGCCTCTTTTTGTGCTGTACGATTCTATGATTCTCACGTGGGAGTTGGTCTTTCTCGGATGTGGGAATAATTGCGTTATGTGCTCGAAAGTAATGGTACATATTCTTTCCATACCCTATGGAATGTTTGTCAACCCAGGTCAGTTAGTAGCAGTCTCGCCTCTGAGGCAGAGGTTTGCAGGTTCAAGTCCCATGTTGGGCTTTGAACCCACAGGCTGGCACATCAGTGCAGTGTTGGGTGGGGATGTGCTGCATGGTTGGAGATGCCACCAGCCTTCGGACAAGACGTTAAACCAAGGTCCTGCCTGCCTATTCAAGAAGGGAGTTTATCGTGTATTTTGTGGGCGTATTTTGTATGTAATGAGCCAGCACCCTGCCTTTCACAACCCTCAGTGTTTAGGGTTCAAGGATCAACCCCTGAGAGCAATGTGAGGGGCATGGTACAGTGTCTGTGGGTTTTTAAATCGTTTTGTTCTTGTAAAGCGCTGGTGATAGAGAAATAAACAAAGGGCTGGCCAGCTGTTCTCCTCTCAGAGAGCTATTGATAGCAAGACCTTATCTGTGTTACAATCACAGGTGTTTTGTGTGTTCACATCTGCTGTGATTTGTGTTCTTTACTGTGTGAATGTGTGCTGAGGGCTTCTGTTCTAGCTGCAAGGTTAGCTTATAATGGCTGGGAAGCGAAGACTTTGAACTCAGCCTTGTGCAACATCAGAAAGTCAATTCTGGGAGATGAGATGATTGTTCCCTTCCCTTCCGCCCACCCCCATCCCATCCTAAAACAAGGAGTGAAATGAATCAGCACCTGCTGCAGGTGTCAGTCTGGCCCATTTGGTAGCACTCTCGCTCGCCTCTGAGTCAGAAGGTTTGTGGGTTTTAGCCCCATGTCAGGACTTTTTGTTCATAGTCTCAGGGTGGTCCAACTGGCGGACTACCCTGGTCTAGGTTGACAAGTTACCACATTGTAACTTTTGAGACATCAAACCGAGGTCCGTCTGCTATTCAGGTGGTTGTTACGTGGTACTATTGGAAAAAGGGAGGGACTTTCTCCCATTGTCCTGGTCAACAATCCCCCAAATAAAATTGTTCTTTTGCTTCATGGCTGTTTGTGGGACATTACTGCGGGCAAATGAGCTGGCATGTTTCTCTGCAATATATCCTGTCACTACACTTTAAAGTAAATTTTTATTATTCGCTGAAGAAAACCGCTAGTAATTCTCACACCCTATGGTGCCAATGTCACTCATTGTGAAGTCCTGTAGTGTAGTGGTTAGAACCTCGCCTTGCAAGCAAGAGGACCCAGGTTTGATTTAGGCAAGCTTCCTTACTCCAGCGCCTCTGTTTACCTAGCAGTAAGTGGGAACCCAGTTGTTAATCGATTGGTGGATTACTTTCCAGGGGTTAATAAATAAAAAAAAGTTTGTTCACTCAATCCACGACAGTTTGTGGGACACTGCTGTTCGCAATTGGCTGCCGCGTTTTGTTAGATCCGCGAATTATGTGTCTGTATTTGGAGAGAAAAAATCTGATACAAGTAAACTTAAGAAACAAAGAATGGGTTTTTATTTCTACTTGTATACAGGAGCACACAATTGTTCCCGTATACAAATAGGATCTAATGTCTCCGTCAGACAAAAGATCCTCTTCATCGGTACAATTAAGTTTTATACAGGAATACACAAAAATACACAGAAGGGGTGTTTTTCCTTACAGACCAATCACGTTTGCTGCACGTTTTCCCACATTTCTTGCTTCAGCTTGTTTCAACTGCACTAATCTTACGGTTTTGCTAGAAGGCCATTTCTATGTTATCACCCGCCGTTTCTTAGACTGTGGCCTTCAGATAACGGAATTCTACAATAACAAGTCTAACCTACTTACTTATATCTGCTTAAAAGCGTTTACACAGCGATAGGCCAGGGCACAAGCTACGATATAGTTTTTTAAACATACCATAACATCTTTTTCCTCTATCATTCCCTCCTTTTTATGGTATTTTAAACTGATATTTATGTCCTTTTTCTGTGCATTACATGCAACCTTTAAGCATAACATCAGTAGTCCGATCCTTCTGCAATTACAGGTTTTAGATCAGACACATCACAGGTGCTTATAGTTTACTCATTCTGCAGAAAAAGTTTTCCCAGGTGCATATCATGCAATCCTCCAGTGCCTTCTTCAAGCAAGCTAAGGTTGTCCTCACTAGTCATCATAAATGTGGTGGCAGGAATCATCTCAGAAATAGTACCCTGAATAAGGGGAATAATACAACAGCAGCACAGCATGAGAACAACTATTATTATCAACAGGTACATACCCAATTTCCACAGCCAAGCTCCCCATCCCCATTCAGAAAGCCACTTACTAAGCCAATCAGAGGGTCTCTGAGGTTCCTTGATGGCAGACCGCATGTGAGAGATGACGTTTGTCAAATTTTGATGGCCATCAGGAATCCAATCATCCTCCTCCCCAGAGACTGCCATTTCCTCAATCAATTCTTACTTTTCATCACGCTGGTGGCGGAAGTGAACTTTAGTTTTACCCGAATCCCTGTAGGGCCAAGGGTTGCAGTCGAAGGAGATGGTGCTCCCTTTTTCGCCTGAGACATGCTTATCTTCGTTTGCTAGGACAAGACTTCCCACTCCTGTTAATAATAATAATGTAAACATGGCGGGAATTGGGCAGTTACCTGATACCCGCAGTGTTTTCTTTAGTCTTCACTGGGTTGAGGTGAGCGTATCCTAGTGCATACACCCCCCTTTCTAACCAGACTTTAACACTTACGTGGTATTTTCCTGTCCAATTCCCTGTTACCTTTTTACAATGTGTCAAATGTATCCAAGTAGTTCTTTCTGCAATTTTAACAGCGGTGGGAGTAGTCAGGAGGACCATTTAGGGTGATGCCAGGTCTTTCTTTTTACGTCTTTAATCAGGATCCAGTCTCCCGGTTGCAGTGAGGGGACCAACGATGTCTCGGTGATAGTCTGAGGGGGTAGAATATTAAGCATTTCTTTTTTATTAGATAGCATGTTTCGCATGTAGTCGGCTAGCCATGCTTCCTTTAACTGCCTCTCGTTGTCTCCCAACTGGGGAATGCGATAGGCTTTTCCCTGTACTATCTCGAATGGTGATAGTGGTTTATTCCCTCGGACAATGCGCATGCTAGTAAGTGCCAATGGCAGGCAGGCTACCCATCCCTTGCCTGTTTCCTGCATTGCCTTTTTTAATTTATTCTTAAGTGTACCGTTATGTCTCTCCACTAATCCGGCCGATTGAGGGTGGTAAGCGCAGTGCTTTTTCAGTTTTATGCCTAATTGTTTTCCGACGTGATCAAGGACTGCATTTCGAAACTCGGGTCCATTATCACTATATAGGACTTGAGGTATTCCCCACCTCGGTATTATCTCGCGGCATAATATTTTTGCTACCGTTAGTGCGTCTATTTTTGCGGTGGGGAATGCCTCCACCCACCCTGAGAATGGGCATATCATTACCAAACAATGCTGCTTTCCCTCACTTGGCGTCAAGTGAATGAAATCCATCATCCAATGAGCAAATGGCTCTGAGGGGGGCGGTATTTGTCCTTTTGGGCACTTTACTCCTCCCTGTGGGTTGTTTTGTAGACATGTGAGGCACTTTTTACAAAAATTTTGTATAGGATGAGAATCCGAAGGTTGTATATCTACCATTTATCATCGATACCATTCCCCCTTTTGAGACATGACATTTACCATGGCTCAATTCTGCCGCAATAAGGAAAAGTGCTTTGGGTAGCACGGGTAATCCATTGGGCCCAACCCAGATTCCTGTGTCTGTCATCTTACATCCCTGGTTTTTCCAGCACTGCTTTTCAAGTGCCGTAGACTCAGTTTGCATATCCTTGACCATCGTGCAATCTATATGTATTTCCTCTGAGCTATGTAGAATTAGTTGTCCTTCTGCCGCTTGTTTTTCGGGTTTAGGGCCCGGTTCGGGCAATCCCTCGCCCAATGCCCCGTTTTCCCACAAACATAACAGGCATTATTTCGATCTGATCTTCTCCAGTCCCCCCTTTTCTTTTGCCATTTGGGTCTTGCACCCTAGTCTTGACTCGAGAAGGTGGAGGGACCATTCTCTCGAGACATTCTTTGTCTTTTTTCCTCACGTAACATTCGCTCAAAGTGCATCGCGTGATCCAAAACAGGCTGGAGTGCCCCCGTGCTCCAAGTGATAAGGTGTTGTTTAACCAACTTAGCTATTTGTGGCGCCGCTCCCGCCAAATATGCATTTTTTATTTGCTGAGCCCATACCCCATTGTCATCGTGTGGGTTGGGGGGCTCTATTCCACTATTGGAGTTAAAGACTTTTCGCAATCGGGTGTAATATTGCATGCACGTCTCGTCTTTACCCTGGACACAATCAGTGATAGCGGAGTAATTACACCTGGCCTTATAATATGTGGCAATCCTTCCCATAAGTGCATCTAGGGGGCCCCAATAGTTATTCCCTGGTCGTTCTGCCGCCTCAGGTGGATCGACATAGGGTCTGGTGGCTCTCTCCTGAGTCAAAGCGGTCCAATCCCCCCCCACCTGGCACCATTCTTGTCGTAATACTTCCCTCAAGCATTGCTCTATTTCCAGACTATTCAATCTATAACTGGCCATGGCTTGGTGAATAAAATCCCTAAATTCAGTTGCCCCTTGGCTAGGATGCGGGCATGCTGCCATGGCCCGTTTAACATCCTCCATTCCCCAGGCTCTGTAGACATATTGGGTAACCCCCTTTCCATCTGCCACCTGGATCATTGGAGCGACAAGACCATCTCCAAGATCGTCAATTTGGGGATATTCCATGCTAAAATTCTCTTTTACCCACTGAGTCGTTGGACTATCTAAAGGAGTCTTCCTCTGGGGATAACTTTGGTTAAGCGCCGGAACGGAGGCACCACGAGGGGCAATGTAAGGAGGGGGTGAGAGTTGGGACAGGTTTGGTGCATGGAGATCAGGGTATATGTCAGGTATATTCCCAGGGGGATTTGGAGGTGGCGTAGGGCCCCTATTAGGTGTCTCCAGATCCTCCTTTCCTGTATACATCAGCCCCTCTGATTCCTTTTTCTTTTTAGCTTTTCCTTCTTGACTGAGTCGTTTACGATACTCAGTTACCTGTAAGTGCCAGACTTGGGCTTCAGAATAATGGTATTTTTTTGCTATCATCACCACATTTTTCATTCAATTTATCTAATAATTCTTTAGTACTTTCGGGCTTCAATTTACCATCAAATCCAAACTTCCTTCTCCACATGAATTCTGGTTTCCCGCTCCCCGTAACTACGGCCTCCATACGTCGGCCATTAGGAGACAATTCCACTTCCTCTACTCGCTTACAATACGTACAACAACCCCCTTTACCATTTCCATTGCCCATGTTTAATTGTATTTGACTTATCTCAATCAGACACTCGTTATTCGCATATATATATATATTTGTTTCGGGTAGTCCCGTCACTCACCCACTCTCCCGGTTTGCCCCCAGACCGGCTCTCACAACTCACCCCACTTGTACGTCGAGGACGGCTTTCTCTCAGGGGAACCCTCACCGATTTGAGGCTGTAGAGTGTGCGAGCGAATTATCACAGATAATTCTTGTATACGGCCTTCCGATCCTTCTCGTTCTAGGTCCGCCCAGCAGCGGGTTGTCCCGGACAACTCACGCATACAACTACTGGTCTGGTGGGTTTACCGTAAAGTGCGATGAGATGTTGGGATCCCGGACGAGCCCCCAATTGTTAGATCCGCGAATTATGTGTCTGTATTTGGAGAGAAAAAATCTGATACAAGTAAACTTAAGAAACAAAGAATGGGTTTTTATTTCTACTTGTATACAGGAGCACACAATTGTTCCCGTATACAAATAGGATCTAATGTCTCCCTGTCAGACAAAAATCCTCTTCGTCGGTACAATTAAGTTTTATACAGGAGTACACAAAAATACACAGAAGGGGTGTTTTTCCTTACAGACCAATCACGTTTGCTGCACGTCTTCCCACATTTCTTGCTTCAGCTTGTTTCAACTGCACTAATCTTACGGTTTTGCTAGAAGGCCATTTCTATGTCATCACCCGCTGTTCCTTAGACTGTGGCCTTCAGATAACGGAATTCTACAATAACAAGTCTAACCTACTTACTTATATCTGCTTAAAAGCGTTTACACAGCGATAGGCCAGGGCACAAGCTACGATATAGTTTTTTAAACATACCATAACATCTTTTTCCTCTATCAGTTTCGCCCACAAAATACAGTCAGTCCACTTTACAATATATTTTGTGAAGTGTTTTGAGACGTCTCAACGACGTGATAAGGCGCTTTATCAAATGCAAGGAGTATTATTATTGTTGTTGTTTATCCCCAGGTCCAGCTGCAGTTTAGAATGAAGATTCCTCGGCCTGGTCACTATGTGATTGTCCTGGAGTACGCCAGTGAAGACAAGAGATTGCACATTCTGGATGTGGCTGTAAACAGTCCCCTTGGAGAATCTATTCAGGGCAAATTTAATCTGCATAGCTGCAAATACAGGTATGGACTCGACCACAGCACAACACACCAACGTAAAAATCTGAGCAGTGATGGATCAGTTAGTTACTGTATCGTACACAAGGCATTAGGACTCACTGAGAATGTTATCAATAATAATAATCATCCTTGCATTTTATAAAGCTCCGTATCGCATCATTGAGACATCTCAAACTGCTTAATGGAGTATACTGTAAAGTGAATTGACTGTACATTTTTGTGGGTGAAATGCGGCAACCAATTGTGCACAGCAGTGCCCTACAAACAGTCGTGGATTGAGTGACCAAATTATTATTATTTTTTATTTGAAGGGATTATTACCCCCGGAAAGCGATCCGGTAATTAACTAACAACCGGGTTCCTACTTACTGTTAGGTAAACAGAGATGTGTGGAGTAAGAAAACTTGCCTAAGGCTTTGCCCCGCCAAGGAATCGAACCCGGGTCCTCTCGCTTGCAAAGCGAATGCTGTAACCACTAAGCTATAGGACTCCACCATAGAAGATAACCATAAGCAAAGGCGAAGGTCTCCTTATTGGATTCCCAGATGTTTGGGGAGAAATTCCACCTGCCTCTAGATTTACTCTACGTAGCTTTTTTTTAAGAGCCGTCCACAGTATTTGGCAAAATTCTTCAATGCAGCCCTAGTTTTGAAGCCTTTTAGTTTTCTGTAAGTTTTTTTTAAGAAACTGTAGGGAATAGAAACAACTAAAAAGTTAAGACCAAATTCAACAGTTTGCCTAACTATTGCACGCTCTGAAACACGAAAATAAATAATAATAATCCTGGCATTTGATATAGTATCTTATCACATCTTCAAGACGTCTCAAAGCGCTTCACAGAATATACTCTGACTGTAAATTTTGTGGGCGAAACCCGGCAGCCAATTGGAATAAATCCAGATCCAGGTGTGTTTCGAAGCAGAAAGGCGTATTTGAACAAATTTCATCAAAAAAGGTTGTGAAAAGTAAGTAAAGAGCTCCCCCAGTGGCAAAGAGAGGGTAAATATCTCCTAACATAAAGAACGTGATCAGATTCAGTTTCCTGAACGAGGAAGCATGAAGGGATTTGAAGACAAGTGTGACGATCTTGAAATCGATCCGTTCGGTGATAGGGAGCAGGTGGAGCCTGGCAAGAACTGGTGTAATGAGGATACGGAATTTAGTGCGGGTGAGTATGTGGGCAGCGGACTATCTGGAGTCCTGCAGCTCACTCGCCTCGCAAGCAAGAGACCTGGGTTCGATTCCCGGCAGAGCGAAACCTTGGGCAAGTTTCCTTACTCCGGCATGCCTGATAATAATCCCCCAAGTAAGCAAGCAAGCAAGCAAATAAATAAATAAATAAACATAAAAATTCACTTTACAGTTTATTCTGTGAAGCGCTTTGAGACGTCTAGAAGATGTGAAAAGCGCGAAACAAATACAAGGATTATTATTATTATAACTGAATTTTGTGGACAGTGGAGCTGGGGACATCGCAAAACATCTCAAAGCGCTTCACAGGATTTTACTGTGAATTGTAGTGACTGTGTATTTTGTAGTCAAACACGGCAGCCAAGTTGGGCCAAACAATTTGCAATAATATAGCGCCCTTCATGTAGGACAATGTCTCGGTGTGTAGATTTTCAGGTTGGATTCAAAGATAGATAGAGTGGGAAAGACCTGGGGAAAGAAGCAGAGAGCTCCAGAAATGAGGCGGTTAGCAACACTCAAAGTCACGCAAACAGCGGTGACGTGAATGACCAAGTTCATCTTCATTGTAAAAACCCTGTGAAGCGCTTTGGGATGTACTCTCAACATGGAAAGCGCTGCTTGAAATGCAAGGATTCGAATGTTAGGATTGAAATAAGGACTGAGTTGAAGGATTCACCAAATTCTGCCCGCTATGAAATTCAAAGGAAATAGTGTAAGCTCGTCCCAGGTTGAACTCCTCTCCTGGCATGTGCTGAGTTAGTTGAGCTGAGCTCAGGAGCAACAGTTTGGGTGGTCCAATTGGATCCAGCATTCTGAGGAGGGGAGAGAAACATTAGCCAAGGCTCTTATTTGTTGATTGCTATCAAGAGACTCTGTGCTGGAAAGCACACAAGAGGTGAGAACAGCTTCATTGAGCTGCAGTACCCATGGCCAAACATGGTTGAACAGTCTGTCCATGCTCATTGGCTCGGTCAGTCTCACACGACTGCATGAATCGTCATGCGAATGAGTCACGAGTGGGCTGCAGAATCCTATCCTTTGGAGTCTTGTAGTGTAGTGGTTAGAGCCCTCGCCTTGCACTTGAGAGGACCTGGGTTCAATTCCCGGCCAGGGCAAAACCTTAGGCAAGTTTCCTTACTCCACACACCTGTTTCCCTAGCAGTAAGTAGGAATCCGGTTGTTAGTCGATTGGTGGATTGCTTTCTAGGGAGATAGTCTCTTAAAAAATTAATAATAATTTGGTCACTCAATCCACGTCTACTTGTGGGACACTGCTGTGAGCAGTTGGCTGCCGCGTTTCGCCCACAAAATACACAGTTAATCTACTTTACAGTATATTCTGTGAAGTGTTTTGAGACGTCTAAATCCGCAAAAGTTGGGGCTCGGTGGTCATTATCGGAGCCTTTTCTCACGAGTTCAAATTGCTTCATGTTCACGTCCAATAGTCGTTTTTTATTGCTGTGTGGCAAAGTTTTTCAAAGGTTTGGTGAGGGGGAGCTGTGGCGAGACAGGTGTAACAGATATCGATTCCACGGAGAGTTGATCTTAAAAACTTTCATAATGACACGACTGCAAACACATTGGATGGTGCAGGGCACTTTTGAAAGATTTTTTTGCAGACTTTTAACAGATGTTTGGCAAACCATCCTTTTAATGGTTGCGGCTGTCCCAACTGCAAGGGAGAAGGGGGAGGTGATCATTGACACAGGCAAAGAGGTCGATAAAGCGGGTGAGAGATTGAGGCAATGATTTCCGGACGTTAGTGGGGTTATGGCTAAAGACACGGCCAGTGTTGATGGCACAGAGGAGTCAGGGCAATGTGCAGGGCAGGGGGCGGCCAGAGGAATGTGGGCCGAGCAGGTAAGAGAGGTAGAAATGGGGCCAGGGAGTGGAGGGATTCATATGTGAAGGTGAGGATCTTGAAGTAGTCGCAAGTGCTCCAAAATGTTATCCTGCATGAAGGGCACTATATAGATGCAAATTGTTGTGTTGATTATGTTGTTGTTAAGAAAGTTGCATTGAGTCTCTCTATATCTGCTGCAGGTTCCTTTGCCGGAGTGTAGCGGTCGACCCACAGAACCGTATTGCGGTTTTCCACTCGCCTACTTACGGAGAGGTGCTGATGCAGGGGGTGTTTATCAATTTCCTCCTGGTAGGTTCCACTCTTATAACATAGTAATAATTCTTGCATTTGATACAGTGCCTTATCACGTTGTTGAGCTGTCTCAAAGCTCTTCACAGAATATAGTGATTGAACGTGGAGTAAGGAAACTTGCCCAAGGTTTTGCCTCGCCCGGGAACTGAACCCGGGTCCTCCCGCTTGCGAGACGAGCGCTCTAACCACTACGCTAGGGGACTCCACAAAGTCCTCACCTGCGTGTGAGAAGGCGGGGACAAAGCATTCCTGAAAGACACCGTCAGCCAGTTGAGCTCGCCTCGCGATAACATTCAGTCAGCGATGACAGAGACTCACTCACTGTTCAGGCCACTCTTTCACAGTCTGTTTCTTTCAGGTGATACTGACACATCATTACCTCACCAGTGAGTGCACTTCAACATAAGTGCAATATAGGCCAGTGTGAACCTATCACCCCCATCCTCGCCCGGCTCTACTGGCTCCCCATCCCCCAGGAGACAGTATAAAATTCTCGTCCGCGTTTTTAAAGCCCCCAAGGCCTTGCGCCTCCCTAACTCTGAGACCTGTTAAGCCCCTACCAACCTGTTCGCTCCCTCCGCTCAGCGGGCTCTGGCCTGCTCCAGGTTCTCCACCCTGCCTTCCCCATCATTGGTGGTCGGGCCTTCAGCCTCTCTGTTCCCACCCTTTGGAACTCCATCCCACGATTCCTTGGCCTCGTCCTCTCCTTTGCCTTCTTCAAGGCCAGTCTTAAGACCCTCGTCTTTGTCTGCGCCTTCAGTCACCCTACTACCCCCATGCTCCCTCCCTCCACCCCTCCTGAACCCAAACCCCAGCTTGGGTGCAAATTCAACTGTCCAGCGCCCTCGGGCTGAACAACAAATGTAATTTGTTGTTGTTGTCTGTTGACTGCCTTCAAGAAGTGGGTTTGCTCTGTGTTTGTAAAACGTAGCAACCACATCACTCGTGACCACATCATTCCCACCCTCGCTCGCCTCCACTGGCTTCCCATCCCCCATAGGATCGAATTCACCTACAAGGCCATTCACGGCCTTGCTCCCTCCTACCTCTCCGACCTACTATCCCCCTACTTACCTGCCCGTACCCTCCGTTCCTCTGGCTCTGGTCTGCTCCACATCCCCCGCCCCAACCGCCCTACCATCGGTGGCTGGGCCTTCAGCCCCTAGGCTCTGGAACTCCATCCCCCAGTGCCTTTGCCGTTTCCTCCCTTTCCTCCTTCAAGGCCGGTCTCAAGACCTTTCTCTTTGACCGTGCCTTCAGCTCCCCTCTCGACTCTCTACCCCCTCCTCGCTCCCTCCCCTCACCCTGACCATTTCCCCCCTGCTCAGGTCCTGACCCAACTATCCAGCGCCTTGGGATGTTCTCCCGACGTGAAAGGCGCTCTATAAATGAAATCTTGTTGTTGTTGTAGCAGTTCACGGTTTCCTGAGACAGAAATGTTTAAACCACTGGCAGCGATACACTAACTATCCTGTATTACTGTTCATGCTGGTATCAGAACAGATGTTCGTTAACAGATGTGGTGACGTGTTCTAGAAACACAGCAATTTCCATTCACACCCTTGGATCACGAGGCAGGCTGTTCGAAATGACCCAAAATGTTTATTAATTGTTTTCTGGGTTATTCTTTTATTTCCCCGATCCAAACAGCACAAAATTTATTTCATACCATTTGAAGAATTTCACATTGAATTTGTGGAACCGAGGATGCACTGTATCTCCACCCGTGGGCATGCGGCTAATGGCAGGTAAGAACTATCACCGGGCATTCACTAACCGAAAGGGAAGCATGGAAAAATAGAAGAAACACAGGTTTATAATAATAATAATATTCCTTGCATTCGATATGGCTCCTCATCATGTTGTTGGGATGTCTCAAAGCGCTTCACATGATATACTGTAAAGTGAATTGTCTGTATTTTGTGGGCGAAATCCAGCAGCTAATTACAGTTAGTGTCCCACAATAAGTCATGGATTGAGTGACTAAATTATTATTTTTTATTTGGTCCAGGTTTGGTCTAGAACACCCTAAATCCAACCCTAAAACTTACCCTATCACAGACACTCCCACAGCCCCCAACGCAATCTTGCAAAAGAGTAGAATATTTTTGCCAACTGCACTATTAAGCTATATTTCAGCCTGGCTCAGTTGGTAGCACTCTAGTCTCCGAGTCAGAAGGTTGTGGGTTCAAGCCCCACATTGGGACTTCAAGCTGGTGGTACTCCGATGCAGTGCTACATTGTTGGAGGTGCCGTCCTTCAGATGGTGCATTAAACCCGAGGATCTCTCTGCCCGTTTGAGATCAGATATTAAAGATCCCGTGGCAATATTCGAAAAGAGAAGGGAGTTCCTCCTGGTGTCCTGGCCAGCAATCCCCTCGATAAAATTGGTTACTCGCTTCATGGCTGTTTGTGGAACGTCGCTATGTGCAAATTGGCATTCACAAAATACACAGTCACTATTTTAAAAATTGTTTGAAGGGGTTCGACGGCGTGAGAAGGGGCTATGTTAAATGCAAGGGTTAGTATTATTAGTGGTAGTAGTAGTATTTTCTCGTGTTTTTCCCTGAATGTTAAGGAGCTTATCCCAGCTGGCCCATTTTGCCTTTTAGACATCCACGATGAGAGATTTCTCTTGCCACTCATTGAGGAGATTTTAAATGTGCTGTTGTAATGGAATTTCAATCTTTTAAAGACTTATAAATGTTCAGTGAATTGGTGTAAAGCTGCACAAATCAGGAACTGTTCAGCTCACACGCACATTTTCCATTAGAATTCACTACCTTAACCATACACAAAGTGTCATTAACAGCCTACAGCAAATTCCATGTATATGTGCAGTACACAGACCTCCTCAGACATGCTGGAGTCATGTCTAAAAAAAATTTGTACAACATAAAAGAAAGCAGAACATTGCCATTTGGCATTTATGATGCAAGCCGGCAGCACTTTCAGTAATAAAAACTTACTTAATCCTCTTTCCCTATTTGAGTAAGAAAAGCTCCCTGCCATGTTGGCTGAATGAAAACTAGCAGAATCAGGCATTCGGTCCCTGATTTGTTTGTAACTTGTGCAAAAATTATAGTTCTGTCAGACTTTGAAAATCAAAGTCTTCAAAGCCCGACAAAGAAATCTTTGAAGATTCCACCTGTCAAACACACAGTCACTAACTACACCTTTATAGTAAAGGAGTCCTGTAGCTCAGTGGTAAGAGCACTCACCTTGCAAGTGGGACACTTGGGTTCAATTCCACGCAGGGCGAAACCTTGGGCAGGTTTCCTTACTCTACACTCCTAATAATAATCCTCCAAAACAAAACAATAATAAATTGGTCATTTTCAATCCACGACTGTTTGTGGGACACTGCTGTGCGCAATTGGCTGCCGCGTTCGCCCACAGATAAACGGTCAATTCACTTTACAGTCTATTTTGTGAAGCGCTTTGAGACGTTTGAGAAGACGTGAAAAGCGCTATATCAAATGCAAGGATTATTATTATTATAAATCCTGTGATGAACTGTGTTTGTGCTTGAGACGACATGATCAACATGAAAGACCTCTGTCAAATGCAAAGATTATTATCATTATATTGTATACTGGACTCATTATCTGGAGTCCTGTAGCTCAGTGGTTAGAACATTCATCACGCAAGCAGGAGACCTGGGTTCAATTCCCGGCAGGGGAAGTGTTGGGCAAGTTCCCTTACTCCAGATACCTCTGTTTACCTAGCAGTAAGTAGGTACCTGGTTGTTAGTCGATTGGCAGATCGCTTTTCCGGGGGTAATAATTCCGTTTAAAAAAAAGTATTGGTTACCTAATCCCTGACTTCTTGTTGGACACTGTTGGGCGCTATTGGCTGCCGTGTCTCGCCCACAAAATATACAGTCAATTCACTTTACAGTATAATCTGAAGCGCTTTGAGACGTCTCGAAGACATGATAAGGCGCTATATCAAATGCAAGGATTATTATGCATGTATTCATGTGGGGTTTTAGCTGGTTAGACTCCAGCTGTACCCCAGCACACACTCTGGGGTCCCCAAGCCTTGGTTCTTGCCAATCTGCGCCTAATACTTTCCGGAATTAGGTAAGCAGGATGCATCCCTCCACGTGTAGGTGGAATAGGTGGAATTCTCAGTTTGGTTTGGATGCTCTTAAACATGGTGATGGGTTCCCGCATGTGTTATTCACTTTTTTTTAAGAAGCTCTTTGAGAAGTGTTTCCGTGACGTGTTAAGGTGGTTTAACGTCTTATCCAAAGTACAGCACCTTCAACATACAGCGTCAGCCTGGGCCTTGAGCTCAAGTCATGATACGAGACATGGACCCACGATTTCTGACCCAGAGATGAGAGTGTTACCAATTAAGTTTGTGGTGACACTTATCCTTTAACACCTGAGCGCATAATATCAAGTGATCGGAAGGGTTGCAATTGAAAGCCGTCAAAAATGATCTTATCTTGATTTAATCTCACAGCAACTCGTGTGTTGCGTCCAAGTACGAGACGCCGGTATCCTCAGTGCTGTTGAAGGAGGGCCGTTTATCAACAGCAACCTCTCACGGACAAGACAACCTACTGGTTCATCCACAGACCTTCTCTCAACGCCCTCCGACCATGGTGGAGCCAGCAGATATAATCTTGTTGAAATTCCCACAGGTAAATCATGTAGTTGAATGCAGATACCGGCATAGCAAGCAACAACATCTGGAGGCAGCTGTGGTGGGGTGAGGTGGAGGCCTGCCATCATTTTAACAAAAGCAAAAAACAACAGCTTGTGTATATATAGCGCCTCTCGTGCAGGATAGCGTCCCAGAGCGCTTGACAGTGCCTGAGCGCGTCGCCGAGCCTGGGGGAGATGACTGTAGTCACGGTCAAAGAGGAAGGTCTTCAGGTGCGATCTGAAGATGGGGAAGGAGGGCATAAGGTGGAGGGATAGAGAAAGAGTGTTCCAGTTTCAACGGGGAGGAGAAGAACCTTTGAAAAGTGGATAGACGTGCAGGCGATTTGGTGAAATGATCAACACCATCTCGACTTTCAGTTCACCTCTGCAACTCAGTGCTGTGCATCTGTGAAGCTCATCGCAAATCCCTGCAATGTTTGATGGCTGCCACATTTGCTCATAAAACAAGCAGTCACTGTACTGTACAGTGTATCCTGTGAAGCACTTTTGTGATGTCCTCCCGACGTGAAAGGCGCTGTACACCAAATGTAAGGGTTATTATTTATAATTCGTTTTTAATGGAATGCTGCTTTCAGTAAACATGCACAAGCATGTAGAGGCTTTTGTGACAACAGGAGACGTATTAGAGCACCGCCTTGCATTCGAGAGACCTGGGTTCAATTCCTGGCAGGGTGAAACCTTGGGCCAGTTTCCTCACTCCACGCACCTGATAATAAACCCTCAAGGAAACAGAAAAAAAGCAATAATAATTTGGTCACTTCAATCCTCGACTGTTTGTGGGACACTGCTGTGCGCAATTGGCTGCCACATTTCGCCCACAAATATACAGTCAATTCACTGTACAGTATATTCTGTGAAGCGATTTGAGACATCTAGAAGACGTGAAAAGCGTTATATCAAATGCAAGGATTATTATTGCTTTTTTAGAACCAAATCACCTTCACCGCACGGGTCCGAAACACTGGCAGATACGTCGTGGTCGTGCATTTCTATCAACCCCTGTACCCGACATTCCCTGTGGAGGTGCTTGTGGATGGTGCTGCCCTACAGACTGGTGAGTTACAACAGTTACCAAAGATAGAAGCGGGTCTACGCTGCTCAGATCGCCAAGACTATGTAAAAGATCACCGGTGTTAGAAATCTGTGCGTAGTAAATCTCCAGAATGTTGTGTAAACTGCATTTAATTTAATGGAGTCCTGTGGCATATTGGTTAGAGCGTTCGCCTCGCAAGTGAGAGGACCCGGGTTCGATTCACAGGCAGGGCGAAACCTTAGGCAATTTTCCTTATCCCACATGCTGTTTCCCTAGCAGTAAGTAGGAACCCGGTTATTAGTCGATTGCCAGATCGCTTTTCCTGGGGTAATAATCCCTTCAAAAAAACGTAATAATGATTTGGTCACTTCAATCCACAACCGTTTGTGGGGACACTGCTGTGCGCAATTGGCTACCGCGTTTCGCCCACAAACTATACAGTCAATTCACCCTACAGTATAGTCTGTGAAGCGCTTTGAGATGGCTCGAAAACGCGATGAGGCGCTATATCAAATAATTATTATTATTATTAATTTTATTGTTTCCTCCCCCCCCAAACACACACATTTCCGGCTTTCTCACTCTTATTTATAGGGCTCTTAAGTGCATTCTTCTGTCCACATGGGTTTGGCTGCCGCAACCAGGTGATTTCAGGCAACAGAATTGAGCTGGAAGTCATCAGCCTGGAGCTGTCACTCACTCTCACTGGTCCTCGAGACAAAGCCTTCTGGGTGGTAAGTTTGGACAAGTGCTACACCGAGTCTAAAGGAAATGAAATGGGTGGCAGTGAAAGAGAAGAACCCTGTGAAGAAAATGTCAGTCTGGTTCAGTCAGAGCACTTTTGCCTCTGAGTGAGAAAGTTGTGGGTCCAAGCCCCATGTTGGGACTTTGAGTTCATAGTCCAGGTTGATACTGCAGTGCAGCGCTGTGGATGTGGTGACAATGTCAGAGGTACCGTCCTTCTGAGGAGACGTTAAACTGATGCCCCGTCTGCTTGTTCAGGTAGAAGCTAAAGATCCCACGACACTATTTGAAAAGAGAAGGGAGTTTCTGACAATTCCCGAGCTAAAACTAGTCACTCAATTCATGGCTGTTGGTAGAGCAATACTGTGCGCAAATTGGCTGCCATTCATTCGCCAACAAAACACACAGTCACATCACTTCAGAGTAAATTCTTGTGAAGCGCTTTGAGATGTCTTGATGACGTGATGTCATGCAAGGATTATAATAGATAGATGCATGAGAAAGAAGGGAATAGAAGGACATTGGAGTGAGTAAGGAGTGGCCGGAAAGTCGTGGATTATAAACGCTGGTGTGAACTGGTTGGACTGATTGGCCTGTTTCTGTGCTGCACAGTCTATTTAATTTTATGTGAAGAGGATGGGGAATTGGAAAAGCATTGTCAAACACAGAAATATAACGAAACATCAAGCAGAAGGTATCCCAGTAATAATAGTAATAATAATTATAGTTGCAATGCCCCTCCTGGGAGGTAGAGATAGGTCTCCAAGCAGGGAGTATAATGGTCTAATGCTTCAGTGCACATTTGCCTCAAGTCGGCATCTGCTTTTTTGCTTTCAGGACTACATCTTGATTATTCCCGCAGACAAGTACGATCCTGACTTAAAAAATGAAAAACCTCTGGATAAGTCATTTCATTTCATCAATACCTGTGGCAAGGAGAGCTTTTACATTGAGTGAGTACTAGACACCTTCATGATATTTGTCTTTGTGAAGAGTTTCTACCTGTTCATCCTATGAGGAATGTGTTACTGTAGCTACATGTTGGGGCAATCTGTTTCTGTTATCTTTGAGGTTATACAATACTATACAAAACTACATTAGTATAGCGCCTTTCACGTTGGGAGGATATCTCAAGGCGATGGATAGACAGGGATTTGGACCTGAGGAGGGTGGTGGGGGGTGATTGGGATCAGGAGGGGTGGAGGGCAGGGAGGGTGGCCAAAGGCACGGTCGAAGAGGTGTGACTATGTTCATTTGAGAACTGCTGGGTTTTTTGGTCAGTTTGCCAGGAATCGTGCAGTATGTTATAAACTTCTGAACAATGATTAGACAAGCTAGGCTTCTTCACTCATGAGAGAAGCTGTCTGAGAGAGGACCTCACAGAGGTGAATAAAATTTTAAATAAGCTTAAAAAAGTAAAGCCAGAACCATACTTTAGAATGCATTAAGACAATAGAACAAGAGGACACAAGTTTAGAGTTGCAAAGGGCAATTTCAGGGCAGACCCCAGGAAGTATATCTTTACCCAGAGGGTAATTAATGAATGCAACAGGTTGTCAGGAAGGGCAGCTGAGGTCAGGATGGACACTGGGAATCATTTACGAAAAGCAGCTTGATGTTGTGATGGGGGGATGGTATGGTGGCTGTTCTGGAGGGATGAGATCAGATGGGCTGAAGGGCCTTCTTCCTCCAAACCAATCTTGTGATCTTGTATTTGCAGTCCAGCTACATCATCCAAGTTCTGTCAGGATGCTGTTAAATCACTTGTGGCATTCTACAATGATGGAGCTGTACCATGTCAGTGCGATAGAGAGGGAGCCACTAGCCAAACCTGCCACGCAGCCGGAGGCCAGTGTCCCTGCCGGCCTCATGTTATTGGACGCAGATGTAATCGGTGTGCCACCGGCTATTATTCGTTTCCAAATTGCCGACGTGAGTGAACGTTTCTGTGTACCTAGCAGTAAATAGGAACCCGGTTGTTGGTTGATTGGTGGATCGCTTTCCGGGGCTAATAATCACTCCAAAAATACTAATAATAATTTGGTCATTCAATCCTCAACTGTTTGTAGGATAATGCTGTGCACAATTGGTTGCTGCATTTGCCTATAAAATACACTGCATTTTACAGTATATCCTGCAGAGATAATGTGAACGGCTCAATACCAAATGTAAGGATTCTTATTATCATTATTATTTTGTTTGTGAGGATCATTTATGAGACCCGTAAACAATCCCTCTGAACCAGTGATGTAACTGCAATGGTGCCGAGGCCCCCACAAGGTTATGAAGGCCTAACCCGTTGGCAGCGTAAAGGCTCGTGTTCTCTCACTCCCTGTATCGATACAACCGCATCACACTTGCGCCTCGTTGGGGAGAGAGAGAACACAAGGAGACGGAGTCATTGAGCAAAATTTTAGGAATTTCAGTATCAGAAGGGAAGGGGGCCCCTCACCTTTTCTTACACCCGGGTCCTCTGGGTTCTTGTTACACCACTGCTCTGGTCTTCCTGTGAATAAGCATGGAGAGGCCACGAGCTGAGGAACAGTGCAGAGGCTGATCTGAAATTGTTGAGCCTGGTTTATCATTCTACCTTCTTGGTTTCAGTTTGTTAACGTACACTATAATGAATAAATAATAATAATCCTTGCATTTGATATCGTGCTTATCACATCTCTGAGACCCCTCAAAGCCCTTCACAGGTAAAGTGAATTGACTGCGTATTTAGTGAATGAAAGGTGGCAGCCAATTGCACACAGCAGTGTCCCAACAAACAGTCATGAATTGAGACTCTATCGGTGACTAACCAGCTTGGCTTCCTTATTCTGATTATGTATTAACACATAAAAAGGTTAGTGATGTCTTTGTTTTTGTTTCTATTTTAAGCTTGTAACTGTGGCATGCGGCTCTGTGATGAAGTGACGGGCCAGTGCATCTGCCCTCCTCAAACTGTTAAACCTCGGTGTGAGACCTGCGTCAAACAGACCTTCAGTTATCATCCTATGGCCGGCTGTGAGCAATGCAACTGCTCGCAAATAGGAATAGTGAAACCCGGTAACCCAGTCTGTGACAAACGGACTGGACAATGCAGGTAAGTAACTACACCGAGTAATTGTTTACACTGACTGGTTTTAGAAGTTAATTATCAGCCTGATTGAGTTGGTCGCATTCTCGCCTCTTGAATCAGAAGGTTTGTGGGATGAAGCCCCACTTCAGGACTGAATTAGTCTTGGAACTCATGTAGTGTAGGCTGACATTCTAATGCAGTGCTGGGGAGCTTCGATGTCAGAGATTCACCCCCCACTTCAGATGAGATGTTAAACCGAGGTCTCATCTCCCTTTACAGGTGGATGTTAAGGATCCCATAACACAATTCACACTCATAGAATCTTACAGCACAGAAGGAGGCCATTCAGCCTATCGTGCCTGGGCCAGCTAGAGCTACCAACTAGTCCCACTCCTCCGCTCTTACCCCATAGCCCTACACTTTTTTCCTTTTCAAGTACATATACAATTCGCAAAAAGAGAAGCAAATTTCACTTTTTTCACTGTCCTGACCAACAATCCCCCAAATAAAATTGGTCATTCATTTCATGGGTGTTTTTTGGACATCATGGTGCGCAAATTGGCTGCCACATTCCTCCACAAAACAGTCATAAAATTTTATAGTAAATCCTGTGAAGCACTGTGGGATGCCCTCCCAACACAAAAAGGTGCTTGTATAAAATGTATGGATTATTACTATCATTATTATTATTATTATTGGGCAATTACACAAGTAGCTTTTCTTACATTTTGTCCTTTTCCCCAAATTCTGACGCTAATTGGGTCAAAGGGTGAAGTATTTATTAAAACATTACATTCTTGAAATGGCCGATTTAATAACGGTTGCCAGGTCTGGTCGCTTTTGTGGGTGGCGGGGGTGGGAAAGGGGGAGAAATGTGTTCCTTCAGCCAGTGGTGAGGAGGATTTTACTCAAGATCTACTTTTTCTCGTTTAGGTGCAAGTCACAAGTTATAGGACGTCAGTGTGACCAATGCTCAGCTGGATACTACCGTTACCCTGACTGCCTTCTCTGTGACTGTAACCGAGATGGAACACGGGACAGTGTGTGTGACTCGGCCACTGGTCAGTGCCTTTGTAAGGTCAGTTGTAAGGCTGCTTCAACCGGATGTATTTCAATCTTGTGTTAAGTCGGTCGATGCAAAATACTCATCATTAAGAGTCCGTGATCTATTACATTGACGGGTCAGTATTACAAACTAGGTTTAGAGTTGTAAATGATAATAATAATAATGATCCTTGCATTTGGTATAGCGCCTTATCACTTCGTTGAGATATCTCAAAGCGCTTCACAGAAATATACTGTAAAGTGAATTGACTGTATATATTGTGGGCAAAGAACCATTTCAGGAAGTTTTGCTTTACTCCAGGGATAATCAACGACTGGAACAGGTTGCCAGGAAGGGTAGTTGAGGCCAGGTCATTTAAAAAAATAGGAAGATGAGATCAGGTGGAACAAAGGGCCTTCTTCATCCAAACCAATCTTGTCATCTTGCAATTATTCTGTAGAATAATTAGATTACTTTTATATTGGAACAGTTCTCACCCTGATGAATGGGAGCAATCATAAAAGACTTTTTAACTAGTAAGGAATATTACATTTTTCATCCTTGTGTGTAAGTTGTTCCATTAGGGAGTAGCAATGGAGACTTGATACTATTATACTGTCAGCCTGGCTCAGTTAGTAGCACTCTCGCCTCTGAATCAGAGGGTTGTGGGTTGAAGCCCCACATTGGGCCTTCAGGCTGGTGATGCTCGAATGCAGTGCTAGGGGTGTGCTGCGTTGTCAGACATCTGCCTGTTCACATGGGCGTTTCAAGGTTCCGTGGCACTATTCGAAAAGCGAAGGAGATTTCTCCCGGTGTCTCGGTCAACAATTCCCCCAAAATATAATTGGTCATTGGCCTCACAAGCGAGAGGACCTAGGTTTGGTTCCCGGGTGGGGCGAAACCTTAGGCAAGTTTCCTTACTCCACACATCTCTGTTTACCCAGCAGTAAGTAGGAACCCAGTTGTCAATTGCCGGATCACTCAATCCACAACTATTTGTGGGACCCTGCTGTGCGCAATTGGCTGCCGTGTTTCGCCTACAAAATACAGTCAATCCACTTTACAATATATTCTGTGAAGTGCTTTGAGACACTTCAACAACATGATAAGGCGCTGTATCAAATGCAAGGATTATTATTATATTATAATTATTGGACATTGTGTGCAGATTGGCTGCCGCATTTGCCTACAAATACAGTCACTACATTTCACTGCAAAATCGTGTGAAGTCCTTTGGGACATCCTCCTGACATGAAAGGCAGACACTATATTGAATAGGCTTATTACTATATATAATGCAAAATTAAAAGTAAACCTTTTTAGAAGCTCCAAATGTTTGTGTTTGAATGATTGCAGGAGAACGTTGAAGGGACGCGATGCAATATCTGTCGTTCTGGTTCTTTTCATCTGGATCCGGATAATCCCAAGGGCTGCACCAGCTGCTTCTGCTTTGGGGTAACCAACCAGTGTCATGGTTCAGACTCACCCAGGGCTAAGGTGAGTGGCACCAAACAGCACCATCTTAAACTCTACTGCTTAAACTTCAGATTCAGCGGAGTCCCATAGCATAGAGGTTAGCCCGCACACGAGGTGATCCGGGTTCGATTCCAGAGCGGGACGAAACCTTAGGCAAGTTTTCTTAATCCACACACCTCTGTTTCCCTAGTTGTAATTAGGAACCCGGTCACTTGTCGATTGGTGGATCACTTTCTGGGGGTAATGATCCCTCAAAAAAAAATAATAATTGGGTCACTCAATCCATGGCTGTGTGTGGGACACTGCTGCGTGTAATTGGCTGCCACATTTCACCCACCAAGTACCCAGTCAATCCATTTTACAATATATTCTGTGAAGCGCTTTGAGACGTCTCAACAACGTAATAAGGCACTACATCAAACAAGGATCATGACTGATTATTATTATTTAAGAATTTACTGGGTGAAATGTGGGTTCTTAAAAATGCCTTCAGTCACTACACCTCTGGAACCGCTTGCCTCAATCCCCCTGCCTCGTGCCCCCCCGCATCACCACCTTTATCTTTAAAACTCACTTCAAGACCTACCTCTTCGACCCCGCCTATGGTTACCTCTTCCCTTGCTTAACATCCAATCCCACCACTGGGCAGTACTCGGAAACAGTGCCCTGCATTGAGGGCGCTTTATAAATATGAGTTGTTGTTGGTTGTAATAAATATTCATTTCTGGACTCCAGGATCAAACACTCCAGCTAGGTCAGTTGTCGAAGTGGATTCACTCTAACCTATGCCCATTAATTACAGATATGTCACTAGTAATAAAACATGTCTAATCAGGTTCAAAAATGCAAGCATTTTATCCACTGTAGTTTGAAGAGCTGATGTCTGTCTTTTGATCATGTGTGTTCATCTAGCACATGAAAATGAATGACTGGATGCTGGTTACGGGGAAAAAGCAAGAAATCCCGGTCGTTTACAACCAGTGGAGCAATACCGTTGTGGCGGACACACAAGAGCTTTCTAACATTATTCATGATTTATACTGGCTAGCGCCAGAGTCTTACCTGGGAGACAAGGTGAGTGTCCAGCTATGAGAGATCAATAATGGGGTTGAAATAAGCAGCACACAGAGTGAGATTCATAAGGAGCAACTCAGAGCCACTAAACTGGGAATGTGGCAGTCTAAGATGACATGCCAATGCAGTGTTGGTGGTGTGCTGCATTGTCGGAGGTGTCGTTCTTCCAATGAGACTTTAAATCCAACTCATGGAAACCCATCAATCTTCCTCTGGGCTCAGATCGGGATCTGAGGAGCTGGCTATCATGTGCCTGTTTATCGTCATCCTTCGGATGAGACATTAAACTGAGGTCCCATCCCACCTGTCCAGATGGACATTAAAGAATGCATGACACTAATTGATACAAGAAGGGATTTTCTCCCAGTGTCCTGGCCAACAACTCCCCAAAATACATCTTAAAACTTGGTCACTCATTTCACGACTGTTTATGATTCAATGCTGCGTTCAAATAGAATGCTGCCTTAACTTACAAAGACACAGTTCGCCTACAACAGATCATGCAAAATGCTTTGAGTCATCCTCCTGACATGAAAGCCCTGTACCAAATGCAACGATCATTATTATTGTAGCATTTCCCAGAAACTACTTGGAGTGTCTATTAAATGAATCCTGTTCTGAACTGTCACTATCCGAACCCTAACTATTAACAAATTCTTCCATCTTGTTGCTAATCTTCAGACAAGAGCATAGAGTCTTTAACCCTGGCCTGCTTCCCTCCACAAATAACCTTCCTCTTATTAACTGTACCCCCCCCGAACACACACACAAACACCCACACACACACAACCCTCTCCCTACCTGGCCAACAGCATTAAGTACTTAGAGATGCTACCCTGCGTGAGGAGTGCTACATAAATGCAAATCGTTGTTTAGTAGCATTATATTCTGTGGAGTATTTGCTGATCTCAGTCTATTCCTATTGCTTACGTTATGTCATTCAGGTCTCATCATACGGTGGCTTCCTGACCTACCAGATAAAATCCTTTGGGTTACCAAGTGAAGGCATGACCCTGCTGGAAAGTAGACCTGATGTTCAGTTGAGAGTAAGTATAATACGATTTACATTCATACGGTGCCTTTCATAGGAACATAGGAACAGGAGTAGGCCATTCAGACCCTCAAGCCTGTTCCGCCATTCTATTAAATCATGGCTGATCTGTATCTTAACTCCATTCACCTGCCCTTGCTCCATATCCCTTGATACACTTACCTAACAAAAATCTACCGACCTCAGGCTTGAAACTTCCAACTGATCCAGCATCATGTCAGGAGAACGTTTTATTTAACAGTCAGGAGGTGAACCACGCAGTTGATGGAAGAACGGACAATCTGCAGAAGTGATGAAGCTTTTGAATGTGCACCAGGTGTGCACCTGCCCACACGGGGGTTCCCAATGACCAGCTGCAAATGGGGAGAAACTTGCTTTGTGCATATACCTGATCGACAAAAAACACTTTTACAAGATCACAAGACTGGTTAGGATGAAGAAGGCCCTTCAGCCCATGTGTTTCCTCGTCTTACATTCAATTTGTAGTACCTTCCATGTATCAGTCTTAAACTTTAGTTCCCTACAAATGTCCTAAAGATTTAAAAATTAGAAGCCAGACAATCTGAGATAATCCGATGTGCATGTCTTACTCAAAGCAGCTTTGAACATTGGATCAAAGTTCCTTGTGAACCGATTTGTTTGACATTCCTTAAACCCAGTTTTTAAAAGCTGAGATCTGTTGCAACGTGTCTCAGTAAGACTGATTGTATTTCAACCAGTCCATGTGCATTTTGGCCGTGAATTAAATCATGTAACTGCGGGTATCAGAAAAAAATTCTTTTTTTTGCTGGTTTTCTGGTGGCGTGTTTCGAATTCTTACTCCATTCACTGAGCTTCGCTTCATTTTTAACGTACACATTTTAACTTCTTCCCTTCGTGCCCTTAGCACCTCCTTACCTCTTTGACTTGCTCCTACCCTATTCACTCAACTAACATAGAAGATCTCCCCCAGACCCCACCACATAATCATCTGTGGCCTTCAGCTACTAATTTTCGGGACTTCCTGCTTCAGTCCCTCCGCCTTGCCCCCTCTTTATCTTTAAATCCCATTTGAAGGTCTACTTTTTTGTCTGTGCCGATGGGCACCTGCGCTTCTCCTACGTGAAAGGGCACTATATAAATGCAAGCTGTTTGTGTTATTGTTGAGATCCCAGCTTTACAGGAATTGAAAATGCTACATTTAAAAAGTGGGGAGTCACTCCACTAATTGCAACCTCTCGTTTGTCAGTTTGTGCCTGTAATTGCCCCGTTTTATGCCTGTAATTGCCTGGTTTGTGATTGTAATTGCATAATCCGTTCAAATCAAAGAGGAAGAATCATTTCCCAAAGTCCGGCAAATTCAGCAGTTTGTTTTCCAAGGGAGCAGCTTCCGATTTGATGAATACCCTTTTTTTGAACCCCTTTTATTTCTTTCGATAACTATTAATACGATCAGTAAGATCTGATTTTGAAGAAAACGCAAATCGGTTTTGCCTACAAAACACAAAGCCACTACACTTTATGCAGTGAATCCTGTGAATTTTGATTTGAGTGAATTTTGATTTTTGCTCTGTGTAAATTGCTGCAATACATAACCACAATGGATCTTGTTTCTCCCCCACCCCCCCACACCTCCAGGGAGAAAAAATGACTATTGAATACTTCAATTCACAAAACCCGATTCCAGATCGAGTGTATCATGAACGTGTTCAGCTGGTGGAGGTGAGAGTAACTTCTTGCACTTTACAACAACAACAACAAGATTGCATTTATCGAGCGCCTTTCACGTCGGGAGGACGTCCCAAGGCACTGGACAGTTGGGTCGGGACCCGAGCAGGGGGGAAATGGTCAGGGGGAGGGAAGGGAGGGAGCGAGGAGGGGGTAGAGAGTCGAGAGGGGAGCTGAAGACACGGTCGAAGAGAAAGGTCTTGAGACCGGCCTTGAAGGAGGAAAGGGAGGAAGCAAGGCGAAGGCACTGGGGATGGAATTCCAGAGCCTCGGGGCTGAGAGGCTGAAGGCCCGACCACCGATGGTAGGGCGGTTGGGGCGGGGGATGTGGAGCAGACCGGAGCCAGAGGAACGGAGGGTACGAGCAGGTAAGTAGGGGGATAGTAGGTCGGAGAGGTAGGAGGGAGCGAGGCCGTGAATGGCCTTGTAGGTGAGGATGAGGATCTTGAATTCGATCCTCTGGGGGATGTGGAGCCAGTGGAGGCGAGCGAGGGTGGGAGTGATGTGGTCGCGAAGCCTGGTGCGGGACAGTACACGAGCTGCAGAGTTCTGAATGACCTGCAGCTTGTGGAGGGAGGTGCCGCGAAGGCCGGCGAGGAGAGAGTTCCCATAGTCCAGCCTTGAGGTGATAAAGGCGTGGACCAGAGTTTCAGCAGCGTGAGGGGTGAGGTAGTGCCATAGTCTGGCGATGTTTCGGAGGTGGTGGAAGGCGGTGCCAGTTGTGGTGCGGATGTGGGGAAGAAAGGACAGCTCAGGGTCGAACAGAACACCGAGGTTCCTGACTGGCTTTGAGAGGTGGAGAGTGCAGCCTTGGATGCTGATGCTGTCAGCGCCTGAGGTGCGGAGGTGCTTTACAGCAGAGAGTCTGTTTTTCGCATTAACTGGTGCATAAGGTTGGTCAGCCTGGCTCAGTTACTACTCACCTCTGAGTCAGAAGGTTACGGGTTCATTTTAGACCTGCTGCTGTCTATCTTATATGTACGCTCCCCTCGATTTGAATTCACCAACAAGTGGAGACAGCATATTAGAGTCCATAATATTAAATCCTTTTATAATCTTAAACACATCTATTGGTAGGAAACGCAATGGGGGAGGGAGACGAAATTTCAGAGGAAAAACTTTCGTACCTCCCAGTAACGTCAGAGGTTTGCATAAAGTTGTGCCCAGAAACAATTGGTTGTTGTAATTGCTATTCTGTAACACCACAGTAAACCTGGCTCAAAAGACAAAGTACTGCAGATGCTAGAAATCTGGTATAAACACAGGAGTCGCTGGGAACACGCAGCAGGTCAGGCAGCATCCATGGAGAGAGGAGAATGAGTTAACGTTTCAGGTCAAAGACCTTCCTGGCAGAAAAGTCAGAGCACTACATAAAATTGTGTCTTGAAACAAACGATTATTCTAATTGCTATTCTGTAATACCAACAGAGCAATTTCAGGCATGCTGTGGTCAATACCCCAGTGAACAGAGAAGACTTGATGCTGTTACTGAGCAATCTGGAAGAGTTACGAATCAGAGCTCTTTATTTCTCACAAACTCAACGCCTCTCCCTGGGCCGAGTAGAGCTGGAAGAGACCTCGGCTACTGGCCGGGGAAGTCCTGCCACCAACGTGGAGGTGTGCTCATGCCCATCCAACTACCTGGGAGATTCTTGTCAGGTAGGACACTTTTAGCTCCCTTCGCTCAGCGGGCGCATTCCTGCTCCATATTCCCGCCCCCACTCATCCCACCATCGGTCATCAGACCTTCAGCTTTTCTGCCCCAGCCCCTGGAACTCAAACCTGGAGCTCCTTCAACCCCTCTCTTGCCTCCTTCAAGGCCCATCTCAACACCTTTCTCTTTTACCGTTATTCGGCCACCCTCCCAACCCCACAACCCCAAACCCCACTTGATTTGAAGCCCGAGTTCAGGCGCAAACCCCTAACTGTTCATCACCTTGGGATGTCCACCCGATGTGAAAGGCAGTATATAAATGTAATTTTGTTGTTGCTATTGTTTATGTCTGCCTCCCTCCATGGAGGGTTCCTCCAATTTGCTCCCTCCCTTCCTTCATTGAAGGCCCATATTAAGACTCATTCTTTGACCACATTTTCGGTCATCTTTTTCCTCAGTTACCATGTCTCCCCACCCCCCCCCCCAACCCACCCCCCCCCACCCTTAGCTCGGTTGCCCAGACAAGTGCTTTGAGACGTCCTCCCAACATGAAATGCGTTATATCAATGTAACTTGTGTTATTATTCTGTATGAAGAAACACATTAGATTGTCTTTTTTTCCAAATGTTGGAAGTTTATGTTGGTTGGTGTATTGGGTGGTTAGTCATGTCAGCCTGACGCAGCTGGTAGTACCCTTACCCTGAATCAGAAATTTGTGGGCTCAAGCCCGACATAGGGACTTGGAACTCATATAATAATAATCCTTCCACCTTATCATGTATTTGAGACTTCTCAAAGCTCTTCAACAGATATACTGTAAAGTGAATTGACTGTATATTTTTTGGCTGAAATGCAGCAGCCAATTGCACACAGCAGTATCCCACAAACAGTCGTAGATTGAGTGACCAAATTATTTTTTATTATTTTGAAGGAATTATTAATCCCGAAAAGCGATCCGTCAATCAACTAACAACTGGGTTCCTACTTACTGCTAGGTAAACAGAGGTGTGAGGAGCAAGGAAACTTGCCCGACATTTCGCCCTGCTGGGAATTGAACCCAGATCCTCTTGCTTGCGAAGCAAGTGCTCTTACCACTAAGCTACTGGACTCCACAGATAGTCTAAGATGGCACTCCAGTGCAGTGCTAGGGGGTACTGCGTTGTTGGAGGTGCCATCCTTCAGATGAGATGTTAAACTGAGGCCCCGTCTGCCTGTTCAGGTGGACGTTAAAGATGGCGTGGCACTACTCGAAAAGAGAAAGAAGTTTCTCCCAAGGCCCTGGCCAGCAATCTCTCAATAAACTTGGCCATTCACTCTGTGTCCTTTTGTGGTATGTTCCCGTGTGCAAAAGTGGCTGCTGTGTTCGCCCACAAAATACACAGTGACTGCACTTTACAGTATATGCTGTGAAGAGCTTTGAGATGTTCTCCCGACGTGAAAGGTGCTGTATCAAATATAAGGATTACTGTACACAGGACACTTTGCTTCTCCTGTTAAACTTGCCTTTTGAGTGGCTCAGGATTTCTCATGGTGGTGTTCGTGCCACAAAGTCTCAAGTTTGTGGATTGAATTTTTTTCTCATTAGTTATTTTTATTTGGTGTCGGACCTGTGCAACAGCCTTATATTTAATTAAAAAAAACTGCTATTTTTGTCTTGTGAAAGCGCTCTGCTGACTTTAATTTACCAGGTCAGCTGGTTACAAACAGGAAGAGAACTTTAGTACAGCTTGTAAATTGCTGGTTGGATTGTTATGTGATTTAGTATTTTGGTGCAAAAGCAACGACCCTCTTTATATAACTGGCTTGCAACACATAATAAGCAAACTGTGCTACAGTGCCTTCAGTTGGAACATTAATCCCGCTGAATGAATAGGAACCGCTTCTGTGTCTAGCCTTGTGAAGGATTGACTTATTACTGGGAAAGTCTTGCCAGACTTTGAGAAATTCCATTCTGTCGATTGCATTACATTTCCAAATACACACACTCATTAGAGGCGAATTCTCAAGAATGTCTGGCATGCTGGCCAGAGATTTCCTGTTAGCACACACAGAAGGTACTTTGGTTGTCAAAGCAAGTGGTGAGCTTGCCACCTACAGTAGGTGCTGATTTGGAATGTCTTTGTTTTTACGCAGCTTTGTATTCGAATTGACTCTCCCCCTCACCCCTCACCCCTTCCCAGCTCAGTGGCCTAGCCAGCTCTGTCAAGTGCTTTGAGACATTCTCCCAACATGAAAATCTACTGTATACATCTAAATTGTGATTTATTGTGTGTGTCATTTCTCAGTCATGGTGGAAGCAGAAAGTGTTGATTCTTTCAAGAACAAATTCGAGAGATTTCTGGAAATAATATCTCGGGATACTGTATATAGTTTGGGACATGTGACGTCTCGAAGACGTGATAAGGCGCTGTATCAAATGTCAGGATGGTGGAAGGCGAATTGGATGGATCTCGGTCTTCTTTTGCGGAGCAAATTGTTATGTTCTTATGCATCCAGAAATGTCCTGCTTGCAAAAGCAGTTGTTGACTGTCAGCATCAACAGATGGAAAACAGCCTACGTTGAGGGTAAAGTGTCATGGAAATGACATAATTGCATCAGTTGTCCACATGATGTGGATTATATACATGTAGACACTTTTCCATTTCCACTCTTGATTTTAGGTCCACTGATGTTCTGTCCGCTTCCCTTGTCAGACATCCAGGCTGAGCCAAAATTTCCTCCCAACTCAATAAGTCCAAAGACTAACCCTTCCTCCTTGTCTTACCCCCCAACATCTCCTCTCCTCCAGCTCTGACATTCCTCAACCTCCCTGTCCTCTCCCTAACACTCTGAATCGATGTCCAACTTTGGCAATGCCTGGTTTCCTATCACACTCATATCCGCTCTCTCACCAAGACTGCCTTCCTTCATCCAGCTGAGACGTTTCCAACACACTCCTCACTGGTCTCCCTAGCTTCTATCTCCATCATTGATTTTATAATATCAACACTAATATAAGTCATATGATTTATGATCCAGACTTTTGCAAAAGAGAAAGGAGTTTCTCCTGATACCTTGGCCAACAAACCCCCAGATACAAATTGGTCATTCAATTCATGACTGCTTGTGAGACATTGTGTGCAAATTGGTTGCCATGTTCTCCTACAAATAAATACATCACTAAACTTTATAGTGTGTCCTGTGAAGGGCTTTGAACCCTCCAGACGTGAAAGGTGCTACATCAAATGCAAGGATTATTATGATTATTTTATTATAAACTTAAATATGCTAATATTTCTGAACATTTTCAGTAGGAAATTTCTAATGCTAACATTCCCCATAACAATATCAGGAACTTGGAAAGGAAAACTATTTTTTGCAAATTGGGTGTCCACCCACAAATTCACATTCATCACACTTCATAGTAAAATTCTGCGAAGCGCTTTCCGACATCTCGAAGACGTGATATATCAAATGGATAGATCATTATTATTTAGTCCTGTAGCTTAGTGGTTAGACCACTCGCCTTGCAAACGAGACACCTGGGTTCAATTCCAGGCAGGACAAAACCGTGGGCAAGTTTTCTTATCCACAAGCCTAATAATAATCCCTCCAAAAAACAAAAACAATAATAAATTGGTCATTTTCAGTCCATGACTGCTTGTGGGACACTGCTGTGTGCAATTGGCTGCCACGTTTCGCCCCAAAATATACGGTCAATTCACTTCACAGTCTATTCTGTGAAGCGCTTTGAGACATCGAGAAGACGTAAAAAGCACTATATCAAATACAAGGATTATTATTATTATGATCTGTGAGCTAGTCATCCATTTTGCAATACAGCAGGTTCTAGGTGCAACTGTATGAATGTTGTTGATCTAATTCTGCAATGATACATTCAGTAGCATCATCAGCCATCAACAACGATTCACTCATTGCAATTTTCACCCCATTATTTCTTAGCAAATCTTCCTCGTCCTGTTGATCGTTTCCATTCTATCAGTGTTCATCATAAAATCCATTATGGAGATTTTCTGTTTTACTTTGTTTTGAAACGTAAGGCATAATTTAATATCTAACGTATTATATTCTTGTGTGTTCATAAATCATGCCTCTAACCCTCCGCCTCGCCTACTCTATCTGTCTTTAAAACAACAACTTGCGTTTACATAGCGTCTTAGAGAACTGCTGAAATCTAATGGAGTCCTGTGGCTCAGTGGTTAGAGCACTCGCCTTGCAAGCGAGAGGACCTGAGTTTGATTCCTGGGTAGGGCAAAGCCTTAGGCAAGTTTCCTTACGCCACACGCCTCTGTTTACCCAGCAGTAAGTAACAACCTGGTTGTTTGTCGATTGACAGATCGCTTTTCCATGGGTAATAATCCCTTCAAACTATAAATAAATAGAATAATTTGGTCACTCAATCCACGACTGTTTGTGAGACACCTGGTCTGCGAAATTGACTGCCGTGATTCGCCCACAAAATACATAGTCACTCCACTTTACAGTATATTCTGTGAAGCGCTTTGAGACGTCTCAAAGACATGATAAGGCGCTATATCAGATGCAAGGATTATTGTTATTATTATATTATCTCTAACCTACCTCTTTGACCATGTCTATGCTCAATGTTCATTTTCCCATTCACCCTTGCTGGTGTCCACCTTCTCTCCAACCCCCCCCCACCACCACCGCTACCGTGCTGTTATCCTATGCAAAGGCTACTGTTTGATGCAAGTTGTTGTTGTTGTAAGCAAACCATAGAGATAGCATTGGACCACTGTACTGCTCCTGTACAGTCTTGTTCCTGCAGTGACACTACCTCCTGCCAGTAGTATTAACGCATGTTGAAATATAATCCAGGTGAGTAGACCATGACTTCATCATTGCAGCAGTCAACACAGGCGAAGCATTTGAAAACAATCTAAAAGCTGTGAGTGTTCACTTTGTGCCCAGGGTATATCCACCTTCATACCAGTGCTGTCAGAGCCCCAACATTAATACCAATGACATTTGTGCTGCCAACATTTTCCAACTCTATTACTATTATTGTGAAATTCTGCGCAGTCAATTTCCTTGACCCTATGAACGTACAACCTAAACCGAATGCTTCTCTATTTCAAGCCGGAGCCCGCTGAGCGTTGGTATGGAAAAGCTTCTAAACACTGTATGTGACAGGTTGGCCCAGTGCCAGACAGGAGGGATGGGTGGATTTGTAAGTGTGTAGACGGTGTGCTCATCGTTCAGGATCCTTATGCTTCATTGATAATAATGCAGCATCAGCCATAGCTTTGTAAACTCACTCCTGACCACAGCTTGGCCAACTTTCCTGTGCCCCCGGCGTCCACAAAGCCGCGAATTCAATCAATCTCAGAACGTTATTTCTTTATTTTCTCCCCCCCCAGCTCATTTCTCGTCTTCTCTGTTTGTTCTCCCCTGCCCTGGTTCAGCTGAACGAGCACTGGTCAGACTTCATTGATCTCACCCAAGTGGTGATTAATAACTTGTGAACCTTAACAGTGAGTGTTGGCTGTCTATTCAACTGGGGTGCATCTGAGTCAGTTCCAGGCCTATAAAATACATGTCCTCCCTACAAGAATGGTGCTATATAAAGTGCAAGATTGTTATTATTATTATTATGGAGTCCTGTAACATAGTGTGGAGTCCTGTAGTGTATTGGTTAGCGAGCTCACCTCACAAGCGAGAAAACCGGGGTTCGATTCCCGGGCAGGGCGAAACCTTAGGCAAGTTTCCTTACTCCACACGGTTGTTTACCTAGCAGTAAGATGGAACCCGGTTGTTAGCCGATTGGTGGATTGCTTTCCGGGATAACAGTCCCTCCAAAACAAAAAAAGTAGATTTGTTCACTTACTCAGTGTTTGTGGGACACTGCGTTGCCTGAGTTTCACCCACAAAATATACAGTCAATCCACTTTCGAGTATATTTTGTGAAACGCTTTGAGACGTCTCAAAGTCGTGATAAGGCACAATATCAGATGCAAGTATTGTTATTATTGATAGTATAATAACCAATATCGACAGACACATGCACCTTGCAGTGGTGGTCCGGACAAGGAATGGGGCGCCTCACCCGATTTCTTTCCCCCGAGACAAGGACAATTTTTTTTATCAGCCGGGTGTCCTTGCCTATCCACACCAGACTGAGAGTTCCATGCAAACTACCTACACACGGAAATTCCTGTGTTTGGAATGGAATGCTCACCATCTCCCCGGAAGGACACTTCCTGCTTATCCAATACCGGATTTTATTCGGTGCAGACTGGCAAGAGCCAAGGCTTAGGGAAGTAATACTGCGTATTGTCATTAAGAACACTGTACAACAAGCTTCCAGCTGTTTGTGACTTAAGAACTTCCAGTACAAGTGCCTGTGGAATTTGTTACACAAAGCTCATCAGAATCATTTACCAGTGAGCTTAAGAGTGTGTTGCAAAAACAAAAACTTTATAATCATGACATAATCATGCATCATCATGTGACTGTCTGCTCATGGGGAGAAGTAGGTGTGTGTAAACAGGAAATAGAATGCCTCAAACTACAGTGGGGGTTAATGCTAATCTTATAATAATAATAATAATAATAATCCTTGCATTTGATATAGCGCTTTTCACGTCTTCTAGACGTCCCAAAGTGCTTCACAGAATATACTGTAAAGTGAATTGACCATATATTTGTGGGCGAACATGGCAGCCAATTGCGCACAGTAATGTCCCACAAATAGTCGTGGATTGAAAATGACCAATTTATTATTGTTTTTGGTTTTGGAGGGATTATTATTAGGAGTGTGGAGTAAGGAAACTTGCCCAAGGTTTCGCCCTCTGCCTGGAATTGAACTCAGGTCTCTCACTTGCAAAGCGAGTGCTCTAACCACTGAGCTACAGGACTCCATAATCTTGGGTTGACATCGTACATTTCACGTATAATAATCCTTATATTTTATATAACTAATATCGACAGACACATGCACCTTGCAGTGGTGGTCAGGACAAGGAATGGGGTCCTGCAGCTCGGTAGTTAGAGCCCACGCTTTGCAAGCGAGAGACCTGGGTTCGATTCCTGGCAGGGCAAAACCTTGGGCAAGTTTCCTTACTCCTGATAATATTCCCTCAAGAAAATAAAATAAAATTATAATTTGGTCACTCAATCCACAATTGTTCGTGGGACACCGCTGTGCGGAATTGGCTGCCGCGTTTCACCTACAAATATACAGTGAACTTACTTTACAGTATGTTCTGTGAAACGCTTTGAGACGTCTAGAAGAAGACGTCTATTTGTAGTTTCAAACGACCAATTTTATTTGGGGGATAGTTGGCCAGGACATCACAGGTTTTGTGTAAAGATACTGGACAGATGAAAAACATCTCAAAGATGAAAGACATGTCAAAAGGGATTGACTGCATGACTGGAGTATTAGACACTGCTTGGGGGGTTTTCTTATTACATTGGAAGGAAAGGTGGGAGATAGCAGGGAAGGCAGAAGGGGCGGGGGGTGGTGGGTGTTGGAGGGAGAAGGGAAACTTGGGGAAAGTGAGGGGCAATGCTGGAGGAGAGAACACCATCACCAGCAAAATTACATTTATATAGCGCTGCGTGGGAGAACATGTTCTTGTAAATCTGTAAACCAAATGGTGGACCCGTGTCCTGTGCAGCTGAGCTCTGCAAACCAGTTACGTTAATATTTAAAATGACTAAAGTCTGTCCGGCAGCATCTGAGTCCAGACACGAAATAAGGTGTGTGGGCGCCACACCCTTCCAACCAGTACCAACAGATCCATATGCGTTGTCTGATTTGTTAGACTTGTATTCATGGTTACAGCTGAGTCAGAGGCAATGCAGGAAGGTGGAGCAACAGACACTGTAGGTGTGATTCACACTGACTGAGAGAGTTGGCTATAAAGGTGCCATTCAGTGTTGAGTGCCCCAGTTTAACAGAGGAAGCTAAAAGATGCCCACAGAGATGTCGTGGGTGAAGAGACTTGGTTCTTTATTTATCCTTTTATCACTTGCTGGAGTAATTTTCGCTGGGCCGAGACCAAATCATGATAAGGAGAATACTACAAATGACAGAATTAACTGCAGAAAGGTAACGAATGTGGCTTTCACTATGATATCTTGCGGCAAGTAAGCTTGTGTACAGGAGGAGAGGGATGGAGATTTTTTTTAGAGTTAACCTTTTAGAATGTGTGCGTAAACATTCAGCTTGCAAGTGTGCGATAAAGTATTTTTTGTTCATGTTTTTATTATATTGTGAGAATACTGTTCTAAAGTTAAATAGTTTATCGTTGGATTGTTCTGCGGTTGGAATTGCGGATATAGATATATTGTAATAATAATAATAAACCATACGTTTACCTAAATAATCCTTTCACGTCTTAAAATGCTTTGCATGATACACTGTAAAGTGTAGTGACTGTGTAGTTTGTAGGTGAAACGCAGCACATAGCAATGTCCTGCAAACAGCGGTGAAGTGGCCGATCTTTTTATTATCTGGGGGATTGTTGATAGGGATACTGGGAAGGAACTCCCTTCTCTATTCGGAGTCAATATCCACCCTTTGGATGAGATATTAAACCGAGACCCCATCTGCCTTCCTATTAGGTGGATGTTAAAGATCTCGAGCTGCTTTTCGCCCACAAAACATGCAGTCAGTCCACTTTACAGTGTATCCCGTAGGGCACTTTGAGACGTCTTGGCGACGTGATGAGGCACTGTATCAAATGCAAGGATATATAGGCACTTATTGCATGTAGTTCAAGGGTTGGCTGTTAATTCATTCATACCCTCTTTATACTCCTGAGAACAATGCAACATAACTGCCAGGAGTTTTAGAGAGATTGGAACTGATTAACCTAATTGTATACGCTTAAACCCGGGCAAGCTGGAATACTGAGGGGAGAGTTCCGGTCTGGTGAGCCAGACTTTCCAGCTATGTGTATAATAACAATGCCGGTATCAGCAGTGTAATTTAAATTCCATGAGCAGAAGAGAACGAATAACCTATTTGCTGTTTGTGGGATATGAAAGTCAGGGCTTGAAGGGGAGTGGGCATAGGACGAGGCAGTGGGATTGAATGGACAGGTTGCTTTGAGAGCCGGTGCAGATTTGATGAGCTCAGTGGTTTCCTTCTGTGCTGTAAATGTCTACGATTGTATGATACAATTATACCACAGCTATGAAAATCACCGTCCTGCCAAATCAACTTAGTCTGAGTGATATTGAATTGGTTTGCTAATGGACGTTTCAATCCTCTTTAAACGCGCTTAAGGTCACCTCCCCTACTCCCATGCTCAGCACCCGACCCTGTTAAGTGCTCCAAGACCTACCTTGCATGAAGGGCACTATGGGGTTGCTAATTGAAACCCAGTTCGGAGTGAAGAATGTAGTATGAATCAGACATCAGTGTTGCCTTTCTCTTGAGTACATGTTGACTTACTGTTTCTGTTACCTTCTCCTGTAGCACTGTAGACCTGGATACTACAGAGAAAGACTGGGCTTTTACCTAGGCCGGTGTGTACCCTGCCGCTGTAATAGACATTCAGACAAGTGCTTGGATCGATCTGGCATCTGTGTTGTAAGTAACCAGCGATATATTCTGATTTTAGTTTTACGAGCGGCTTTTATTTGATAGCTGACAAGAGCCCCGTACGAAGAAGAAGCTCATGATTTTTATGTGTTGTGCGGAAACATTGAACCCAAGTTTGCACTAAGGGGCAAATGTTAAGACATGTATTGGGATAAGTTGAAGTAAAGGTAGAAAGTAACAGGATGGTTATTGAGTCATGCTTATGGATAGATTAATTGAGAAACAATACATAACATAGCTCTTGCTTCGCGTTCACTTTGAATTATTTAAATAAATTCCAATATACATCAGCAGTAATACTTCACTTATACGTAAACACACATATATAACATATATAAAGAATTTATTGAGCTACTTGTTTTACTTGTGATCTGTGCTGTTAATAGCACAAAATAGTTCAGACCTAAATATACAATGGGTCTGTTCCCATCACAATGTTGAGAGAAGATGTCTGGGAGGGAACCTTACATCAAAGTTTAAATGGGATTCAAAAAGTTAAACTCAGTGCAATACTTTAGGATGCACCAAGAGAGGAGAACAAGAGGTCCCAGGTTCAGAGTTACAAAGGGCAATTTCAGGACAGAGACCAAAAAGGTTTTCTTTACTCAGAGGGTAATTAATGACTGGGAACAGATTAGACAGGAAGGGTATTTGAGGCCAGGACTCTGGGGCTCATTTAAAAAGCAACTTGATGCAGTGATTGGAGGAGGACAGGGTGGGTGATCTGGAAGGCTGAGATCAGATGGGGAGAAGGGCCTTCTTCAACCAAACCAATCCTGTGATGGGCACGTCTGGTTGAAGTGCGGGTACGTCTGTGTAAATGGTTTTCTGGTTGAATAACTCAAAGCTCCAAATGAGTTGGACTCTGCTCTGCTCTGGCCGCACGCTTACACTATTGTGTCTGTGACAATACAGCATCTCCCTGCTTGGTGCAAAAGGTTTATCAACTTGTCCGCTCCCACCGCTCAGCAGACCCCAGGCTGCTCCACGTTCTCCGCCCAGCTCACTCCACCATCGGCGGTTGGCCTTCAGCCTTTCGGCCCCCACCCTTTGGAACTTCCACAGTCCCTTACGCTTCCTCCCTCCCTTGGCTCCTTCGAGGCACGTCACAAGACCCTCCTCTTCAGCTGAGCCTTCGACCACCCTCCTATCCTGCCCTCCACCCCTCCTGATCCCAACCCCTAGCTTAGGTCTAAATTTCTGACTGCCAGCACCTTGGGATGTTCTCCCGACGTGAAAGACACTATACAAATGTAATTTGTTATTGTTTACAAATGGTGATACCCCCTTTCACCTCCCCCCCAAAAAAACATCTGAAATTCTAGAAACAGAATGTTGGTAGTTAAAACGTTTCTGATAAACCTGAGGAAATGGAAGCCAGTCGGGTGTTAAGCAATCCTTTGTATGAACCTTTGGTCTTCACTTTCTGATACCAAAACAACATTCTTGTGTGTTATTAATTGCTCAGAGAGCTTTCAAAAGACTTTATCTCACGTGACTGTCTTTATGGCTTGAACAGTGAATATATTTTGCCCACAAAATATACAGTCAATTCGCCTTACAGTTTCAGAAGAGCTTTGAGACGTCTCGAAGACGTGATAAGGCACTATATCAAATGCAAAGATTATTATTACAGCAGCTAGCAGTTTCACAGTCATTCTTGTGACGTCTCTAATAGACAAAAAAACATTTTTGTCAGATTTTCACTAAAGGCAACTGTATATACTGTCCACTGTTAAGCCTCTTAAATGTTAAAAGTCAATACAAACATTATAATTCCTGCAGATTTTGTGGTTAGTCTGAGATTCTGTCTGGTTTGTGCAGCGTATCTTGGTGTAAGGGTGCAGTTAGATAGGAATGCAAGTCTAGAACCAGGTAAGGGAGTGGCTCCTCGTATAGATCATTGGTGCACCTACATTATTCTATAGGGTTGGGCTGGGACTAATCTGTAACCACGTATGTATGTAGTATGAATAAGAAACAAAGTACAGACATCAGCAAAATTATACTCTCTCACTTTAATGCCTCGCAGGCTGTTAAACAACCCCATTGCACTTGATGTTTGAATAAGGGCTTTGGTTTTTAAGTGTAATGAAGGGTGTGTCCTCGGAAATAAATTTGCCGTGAGCCATTTGAGGCACTTGCGGAAAAGTACGTCAATCAATATTTCCTGAGGGCTTTTGTTCCCTTAAACATAGCTGTACATGTTATGAAGACAGATATGAAAAACAGTGAAACATTAGTGCAAGAATAATGACTGTTGTCACTAATTATTGATGAAATGGGTCACGAGGGTCAAAAATTCGGAGTCTGGTGTCGTGAATGACAAGTTACAGACAGAGGATAGTGCCGGCAGCTGGTGGTTACCAGTTGTGATTCACGTCCTGTTACCAACCGGAGTTATTATTCGTGACTCATTGTCTGCCAATTACAACTCCAGATAGTCAATACCTCATTCTCAACCCTACAGTGAGATACAATAAAATGGGTCGTTTCCTTCAAGGCTGTGTTGTGCACAAATTGGCTGCTGAGTTCACCTACGAAATACACAGCCACTGAACTTCACTGCTGGTGGAGAGCGAGCAGTGCCATGTTAACTCTCAGTAAAACCCTGGCTCTCTTTCTTAACAGGAGTGTAAAGATAACACCGAAGGAGATCACTGTGAACGCTGCAAGCCAGGTTTCTACGGAAATGGCGTCCAGAGTTCCTGCAGCCCCTGTCCTTGTCCTCTCACCGTAACCTCCAACAAGTAAGCGAATAAAAATTGTGGACTGACTCATAAATACAGATATATATATTTATCAATCATAATTTTCGCCTGTTCACTGATGAACATGTTTGCTGTTGCAGCTTTGCCACGGGATGTGCTGAGAATAATGGTCGCCTGCAGTGCTTTTGTAAACCAGGTTACTCAGGAGAGAACTGTGAAAGGTTGGTGTCTTTCTTTCTTCTGTTTTTTCATGTCAGAATCAGTCACTTTCCCCAAACAAATAGCGCCTTTCACATCAGGAGGACATTCCCAAGGTGCTGGACAATCAGTGTTTCAGACCCGAGCTGGGGGTCAGGATCAAGGAGGGTGTAGGGCAGGGGGTGAAGGAAGGTGAGCGAACGCACTGTCGAAGAGGAGAGTCTTGAGTCATGTCTTGAAGGAGGCAAGGGAGGGGGCGAGGTGAAGGGACTGCGGGATGGAGTTCCAGAGGGTGGGTTTTAACACAGTTTGTGTTCTTTAAGGCTAAGACCATGTCTATTTCCTGGTCTCTGGTGCCTTATAAGACCATAAAACATAGGAGCAGGAGTAAGCCATTTGACCCCTTGAGCCTGCCCCGCCATGGCTGATCTTCTAACCTAATTCCATTTACCTGCCCTGTCCCCATATCCCTTATTCCCTCTATCCTTTAGAAAATCCTTTATGGTGCAGGATTTTGTTATTGTTTTTGCAATTGAATCTTGAACATGAATCCTACAGAGATATTGACAGACAAGGCCTGCACATACCATTGACTGTTTTTCATTCACATACATCACTGGCAGAACTCACTTAGCAGCTGCTCAGAAACTATTGAGTCCTGTGGAGAGATTGAATATTTCAGTCATTGTTGTACAGAAATGTAATTAGGTTTTTTTATGGTGCCAGCCTGGCTCAGTTGGTAGCACTCTCACCTCTGAGTCAGAAGATTGTGGGTTCAAGTCCTACATGGGGACTTTGAGCTCAACATCCAGGCTGGCACTCCAATAATAATAATAATAATAATCCTGAGCATTTGATATAGCGTCTTATCACATCTTTGAGAAGTCTCAAAGCACTTCACGGAATATACTGTAAAGTGGATTGACGGTGTATTTTTTTCAGTGGGGGAGCGCTGCATTGTCGGAGATGGCGTCCCTTTGGACGAAATGTTGAACTGAGGTCCCATTTGCTTGTTCAAGTGGCCGTTAATAGTTCCCATTGGCACTAGATAAAAAGAGAAAGCTCCCAGTGTTCTGGCCAAAAATGACCCATAGCTGTTTGTGGAGCATTGTTGACCGCCATATTGGCTGCTGCATTAGTCCATAAAGGTGCATCACTACACCTTATAGCAAATCCTGTGAAGCGCTTTGAGATGTACTGCGATGAAATGCGAGCATTATTTTATTTTTTCCCCACAAATCTGCAGATGTGCTCCAGGATATTTTGGGAACCCTGCGGAAGTTGGAGGTCAATGTCGTCCTTGTCAGTGTGGCAATTCTAACCCTACAAACTGTGACCCGCTAACTGGACAGTGCGGCACGTGCCCTGGTAATAACCTTCAGCGAGGTCTCGTGTGCTTTCTGTGTTATGTAGAGGATGTAATAGTGAAGCAGAGTAGATAGAAGTTCCAGCGAGTGAGTAAAGCAAGTAGAGAATTCTGCACAGTGAGTTGACCTTTCACCAAAGAGTTTGGCAGCTACAGCAGTTTTAACTTGCTATTTATAGTATGCCAGATAATTTATTTACAATATGGCAGATTTATTTGTTCATCATATGATACTTTAATTTATTCAGAATATGGTATATTAACGTATTTATAATATGGTGTATTGGCTTATGTTATAGTATATACATTTATTTAGAATATAATATATTAATTGTCTTATATTTTATGAATTGATTTATAACGTAAAGTGACTTGATATTTGCAAGATAGCAGATTTCATTTGTTGTTTATACTATGGCATATTGACTTGTTATTTTAAATACAGCAGATTAAATGATTTATAATGGAGCAGATTTAACTTGTTATTTATAATTGAGCAGATTAATTGATTTAGAAAATGGCAGAAGACGTAACACTGCGTATTTTATTTTGCAGTAACTCACTCTAAAATTGTTCACTGGCTTTTAGTTTATTTGAGGCATTTTGAAGCTTTTGATATTTTTTCTCTTGTTGTTCAATGAACTCATTTCTGTGTCTGTTTTTCAGACTGTACAAATGAGGAGCCCAAGGATACTAGCTCTGATGAGAAGTGTGATAGTAAGTAAAGGACCTGACCTAAGCTCTCCGGATAGCTCATCACATTCTTTTTAACAGTAATATTAATACTCGCATTTGATAATAACATAACAATAATAATTCACGTCTTTGATTTGGCCCCTTTATCACATTGAGACGTCTCTAAGCATTTCATTGAGTTTTCCTGCGAAACGTAATGACTGTGTAGAAAATAATAATAATCTTTGCATTTAGTATAATGCTTTACATAAGGAAGGTGTCTCAAAGCGCTCCGCAGTGTATTCTATAACGTGCAATGACAGTCATTACATTTTGCAGTATATCCTGTTAAGCTCTTTAAAACATTCTCCTGAAGTGAAAGCTGTTTTCCAAATGCAAGGATTATTCTTATTGCTATTACTTTTATAGGCGAACACACCAGTTTATTTGTTCCACAAACCGACATGAAGCAAATGACTAATTTTACTCTACTTGAGTAAAGAGAAGGGAGATTCTCCCAGTGTCCTGACCAAAATTCCCCCAGATAAAGTTGGTCACTTGTTTCATGGCTGTTTGTGGGTCATTGCTATATGCAACTTGACTGCCGTGTTTGCCTGCAAATACACAATCACACCTATGCAACTCTTTGAGACATCTCAACGACGTGATAAGGCGCTATATCAAATACAGGGCTCATGGTTTTGTAGATGGAGTAATTCAAAAAGAATGCACTCATCATTACCCTTACTTTACCCTTACCTTTGCTGTGAGTTTCAGTTTCTGTCTGTTGCTGATGAAAGCCTAAACTCTTATTTCTGGTTTACTTCTCAGTTTGTGACAGCTGTGTTAAAACGCTGTTGGGTGACCTGAACAAAATGGACATCGACATTCAGACCATCAAGCTCCAGGTGCAGAACGCCAACGCCAGTGCCGCAGCCCAGGAACGAATGAACGCCTTGGACAGAGCTATTGCCAGCACAGGGGTGAGCCCTAGCTTAACCTTTTATACCATTTACAAAAGGTCCGAGACGTCCTTCTGTTCATCAGTTCATTCCTCGTGTCTTTCCTGTGTTTACAACATACACCCCACCATTATAGAGACCTGTAGCATATTGGTTAGAGCACTCGCCTCACAAGCGAGAGAACCTGGACCTGGGTTTAGTTCCCGGGCGCAACAAAACCTTAGCAAGTTTCCTTACTCCACACGCGTCTGTAAGTAGGAACACAGTTATTAGTTGATTGGTGGATCGCTTTTCCGGGGGTAATAATCCCTCAAAAAACAAAAAAAAAATTGGTCACTCAATCCAGGACTGGTTGTGGATCTCTGCCATATGCAATTGGCTGCCACGTTTCACACACAAAATACAATCAATTCACTTTACGAAATATTCTGTGAAGCGCTTTGAGACGTTTTAGCTAAACTTAGCCAGCTGTGCAAAGGAAGAATTTGTACTTAACTCAAATGCAAGGATTATTATTATTATTATATCATGATTGTCCGAATACTATTTGTTGAGTACGATCCCCTTTGTTCCCCGACGCAGAGTCAACTGAGGGTGTACCGCAACAATGTTGAGCGTCAGATCCAAAAGACGAACGATCTGGAAAACGACAACTTGAATCTCATTCAAGACGTCGGTGCTATTGAAGAAAAGGCAAGTTGCTACAGTGTTGCCCATTAAACCATTAGCAAATGACGATAAGTTAATCTGCACAAGCGTAATCAACTTTTTACTAAAATTCCCCATATTATTATTGTTTTTTTGATATATTTATATACAGGCGGAAATGGCTTCCAGAAGAACACAGTCGTTGCTTACTTCTATCAACCACACCACTCGCCGTGCTGATGACATGCTCATTAGTGTCAAAAATGTGCTGCAGAAAATCTTAGGTACTGATATTCTTATGTAGCTTTCACATACGGCTGAGTTACAGAGTTAAATAGAGTTACAGTGATAGTGGGACAGAAACAACAACAAAGAAACAGCCTGTGCCGGTATTTACTTCCGCTACTGTGAAGCGCTCTGGGATGCTATCCTGCGTGAAGGGCGCTATATATAAATGCAAGTTGTTGCTAATGTTATTTACCACATGAGCCTCTACCTCACCTGTTATATCACTCACTTTTGCCCTTCTATTCCCTGCTCCCTAATGTATAATCCTTGAGGAAGTATCAAGGAATGAAAAATGTTATCACCAGCAATAATTATCACATTACTCACTTACCCTCAAGTCAGTCCACGATACTTGGACATAAACTAGTCTGAACACTGACCCCCTCCCACCCCCTCCCCCGTAATTCTCTTGCTATCGACCATACCTAACCCAACCACATTATTAATAATAATATAGCACCTTTCATGTCAGGAGGACGCCCCAAAACACTTCACAGCGAAGTGTAGTGAATGTGTTGTGTTTTGTGAGCAAATGTGGCAGCCAATATGCGCACCACAATGTCCCACAAAAAGCCATGGAGTGAATGAAGTGAGGTGAAAGCTTGCCACATATATGAGGGAGGAGGAAATAGAGGGATGTAGGAAAGGGGAATAGAATGGGTTTGTGTGAAGTATAAACACTGGCATGGACCAGTTGAGCCGAATTGTCTGTTTCTATGCCCTATCAACTTTGTGCAATTTTGCCTTCTGTGTAATTCTATATCAGTTGCGCATCAATTAACTGAAGACAGACAGAAGCTACACCTGCTGATGTGTATCGTGAGGGCCAGTTGTGTAAAATTAGTCCCATACTCTGAGGATAAAGCCAGGACCCTTTTGAACCTTCTCTCGCTTCACTTCATTTCAGATTTGATAGACCGGCTGGGCACCAAAACCTCAGGGAATGTGGGAGAGAAACTAGCCGAGGCTGAGCGGATGCTGAAAGAGCTGAGAAACCGCAACTTTGGTCAAGAGAAATCCGTCGCCGAAAGAGAGAAAAACGAATCAAAGAAATGTAATTATTGCAGTTTGTTTTTAATGCGAAAAATAAGTCTCAATTTTGCCGGCTGCTATCTGAGAGGACAAGATCGCGAGATGTTTAGATGAAAAAGATCATGCGGCCCTTCTGACCTCATCCTTCCAGAAGGGAGGACACAGAGAGAAACTCCCTTCTCTTTCCAAATAGTGCCAAGAGATCTCTACCTTCCATCCTGAACAGGCAGACGGGACCTCGGTTTAACGTCTCATCTGAAGGATGGCACCTTTGATGACACAATGCACTCCCAGTATTGTATTGGAGGGTCAGCCTAGACTGTGCGAGTTCCAAGTCCTGACGTGAGGCTCGAACTCTCAACATTCTGACAAAGAGAGCTACTGAGCCCGGCTGACACCTAATAAATGACCATCATTTATTAGATCACCTGTACCAAACTCCACACACCCATCACTCCAACCTTACCAGGCTCCACTGTCTCCCTGTCTCTAAAAGGTTAAATTTCATGATCCTCAACCTCGCGTATAATCCCCTCATGCCCTAGCACCTCACTACTTCTTTGACCAGTTCATACCCCAAGCCTCTCCCCACACCCTCCCCCAACCCCACCTCTGGAACTCACCATCTGGCCCCCACTACCTTTAAATCCTGCCTTAAGATCTCTTCAGCCATGCCTATGATCATCTCCGCCATTGTACATTGCTAGCCTGCTTGAAGGGCACTGTGTAAATGCAAGTTGTTGCAGATGTTTCTGAAAAGAAACTCCCTTCTCTGCATTGAAATCAATCACTGGTGTTGCTTCTGGTATGTTGCTGCCTACTTTGTAAGATAACTTTCTTATTGTTAATCTTTCAGTGCTTGATCACATTAAGAATAAACTAGCGATGATCATTGATGAGAACAAGGACCTAGTGGATAAAATGAAGAATGATTTAAGTCTGTATCAGTCAAAACTATTGGACCTTCAGGATGCAATGACTGAGGCAGCAAACCTAACCAAAAAGGCAGATGATCTCAACAGAATAAACACCTTTGCACTGGACAACATTAAGGTATGGGGGATTTGTAAGAGGAAAAGTCCATTAGCTCTGACATTTTTGACATTTAAGTGTAATCTAATGATAGTTGATTCTTCCCAGTTCCACCATCCCCAAGGTCCAGCTAAACATCCCAACCAATCCGCACCATCTCCCCAGTCCTCACCAGACTCCACCCAAATCATCTTCCTCGCCTACAAATCCACACCCTAGCACCTCAAAGCCTTGCTGAACTGCTGGCATCCCACTTCTCTGTCTACCCACTTTGCTCAGCTTACAAAGATCTGCTACACATCTCCTGATCCCTCTGCTCCATCATTGGTGGCCGAGCTTTCAGTCACTACATCTCTAATTTCTAGAACTCCCTCTATCTCGATCCCTCCGCCTTGCCTCCTGTCTTTAAATCGCAGCTGAAAACCTACCTCTTCGACTGCACCTGTGGGCACATCCTACTTCTTCATTGCTTAGCTGGACACTGTCCGGAGCTCCATGACTTATAATAAGAATAATAATAATAATCTTTGCATTTGATATAGCGATTTTCACGTCGGGAGGACATCCCAAAGTGCTTCACAGAACACACTGTAAAGTGAATTGACTGTATATTTGTGGGCGAACGCGGCAGCCAATTGCGCACAGCAATGTCCCACAAACAGTCGTGGAATGAAAATGACCAATTTATTATTGTTTTTGGTTTTGGAGGGATTATTATTAGGTGTGTGGAGTAAGGAAACTTGCCCAAGGTTTCGCCCTCTGCCTGGAATTGAACTCAGGTCTCTCGCTTGCAAAGCAAGTGCTCTAACCACTGAGCTACAGGACTCCACATCCTACGTGAAGGGGCGCTGTACAAATGCAAGTCATCGTTGATGGTTTTTTTTTGTGTGTGTGTTGCCCGGCAGGAGAAAAACAAGGAGTTAACTGATAAAGAGAAAGCTGTCTCGAACCTGCTCAGAAAGGCTGACGGAGCCCTCATTAATCTGAATGATTTGCTGAAGATGCTGGATGAGAGCCAAGAGGTGAGAGAAGACGCTCTCTTCCTTTCCACTCACAACACTAGAGGTATGCTTCACCTTGATGCTGACAGCTTATCCTTTTTTATTTCGTATTAATCCAGGAATATGAAAAACAAGGAGCCGAGTTAGATGGAGCTTTCTCATCGCTTAACACTAAAGTTAACCAGCTGTCAGACGTGTCTAGCAAGGAGCCCATTGTGATCAGAGCAGAGAAACATGCGGAAGACCTGAATCAGCTTGCAAACAGTCTGGACAGGTGAGGAAAGCATTCCATGGTGGAGTAGGGTATACACAGGGGAACACAAGGCTGGCACAGCTGCCGGAGCCTTGTCACTGCTGATTGCTCACTTGATGATATGCTGAGAGACAGCAACGACAAATTACATTTGTGTAGCACCTTTCAAGTCGGTAGGATGTCCCAAGGTGCTGGACAGTCAGGGATTTGGACCCGAAGTGGGTGGTGGGCAGGGAGGGTGGCGCAGGAGAGTGGACGAAAAGTACGGTCGAAGAGGAGGGTCTTGAGATGGGGTTTGAAGGAGGCAAGGAAGAACGAAGTGAAGGACGAGGTAATCCATTTACATATAAAGTGGCAGTGTTACGGTTTGGCTGACCCATCACTGAAACCAATTAAGAAATTATCTCTACAGATTGATTTCAACTGTAACATAATAATAATGATAAACAGATATTTAAAGAGTGTGCAAACATAAACCCGTGATTCACGTGGTTCTGCTTTTTTATTTAAAAGCGTGATCTCTTATCAAACTGCCAGCAATGGGGTTTGAAAGCTTTGAGGTTTATGGGTATGTTTGCGGAAGAAAAATCGTACGTGGCTCTGTTTAACAATCAATGTCATTTTTTGCGTGCGCGCGACAGAGTATTACAAGATGTCAACCAGGACTTCGTGATTCAGCGCGTTCGAAACGCCTCTGACGCTTATGAGAACATAATAAACGCTGTGAACGCCGCTGAAGCAGCTGCCAAAAAAGCCAGCGACGCAGCTGACGACGCTTTAGGGGTGAGTTTCAGACGATCTGTGTCTTTTTCTAACAAACAAGCAGAAACAATAAAAGTCGTCTTCTCTCCTCCCCTCCCCCCCCCCCCCCCCACCAGGATGCTAAATATTGTACTAAATAGTGAAATAAAATATAATTCAATATTATTTAATAATTAAATATTTATTCCCGACATCCGCACCCTTGGCTCTGCCAGCACAAAACGCATTGTATCCGGTGGCGGATTTGATTTGTTTGACAATGTCAATCCAGTATTTCTCAATCTTACTCGTGCATTGTCAGGAATGTGTAACAGTCGTTTGACAAGGAATTAATACCTCAGCTGGGAGACCAGAAAATGGGATGCTATGGGATAAAAATGGATGGAAAGCAGGAATTGTTATCTCAAAAAATGTCTCTTACTTTTTTGAACACGCTTTCTGAGATGTTGAAATGTGAAGTCAAGTCATGAGAATGAGAGAGCTACCGATCTTTGTCTTGACCCTTCAATCACTGTTTTTGTTGTGTTCCTAGGCTGTGGTGAGAGATAATTTAGCTGGAAAAGTAATTGACTTGGAACTTAAAAGCACTAAACTTCTTTCGGAGACAACAGAGGCCAAAGATGACTTCGACCAAGGTAGAGTGTTTACGGAGAACTTGCTGCAGATTTATTGGCTGCATGATTTGGCCAAAATGAACAGCTACAAATCCAAATAGGAGAAAGAATAGGTTGCAAGAGTAAGAGTTAAACTGCAGGAAAGGGCACAATAAAAACTGCAAGTGCAGGGACTCTGAGCTGGAAAAAAACTGCAAAAAATCCACAGGGGAGGTCGTCAGCATCTCAAATTCAGATAGGTTAACCTTGTGGGTTGGCTGGTCACCAAAAGGCAATGAAGCAGCTCCTTTTCAACAATATACAGAGATGGTAGATCAGCAGATTAATGGACAGTATTTCTGTCCCTTTTTGTCTCAGAACTTAGCTGCTGCCACAAGGTGGCGTTTGTGCCTTTTGGGGGAATAATTCTGTCTGGGGCAAGATTCACTCTAAACTTAGTAGTAGTAGAGCGTTCAGAGGCGACTTCAAAATTAAGACTCTTAATTAGTTTGCCAAATTCTGAACCCTTTTTCTTGTTTGTTTTTGGTCAGCCGAGTGTCTGACACGTGCGGAAACCCATCACAGTGCTTAAGAGTATCCAAACCAAACAGAGAATTCCATGCATCCCACCTACACCTGGAAATCCCAGAGACAGATTGTTGGAATGAAATGCGCGCTCTCTCCCTGGAGGGACACATCCTGATTCCGGAGAGTATTAGCCGCAGGTTGGCAAGAGCAAAGGACCCCAGAGTGTGTGTTGGGGTCCTGCTGGAGTCTAACCAGCTAAAATCATTGATATCCCTGTCTGGAAAGCATTCCCGCTGCTTATCTAGCTAGGACCTCCCTCCGTGTTAGAGCTTTGGCTGGCAGGTTAAGAGGAGCTGAGTGAGATGAATCGCTGCCCTTCCAAGTTCTGCCGATGAGCCAGGCTGGCTGTGCTGTCATCGGCAGTGCCCTGGAATACTGAGGACCTCCGGCTTAGGAACCAGACTACCGAGACCGCCCTCTAAAGTAATACATAAATGGATCAATAATGATATAATGATAATAATAATTCTTCCACCTTCTGCGCTGTAAATCTCTTTGATTCTATCGAGTTCTGAGCTCTGGAATGGCTTGTTCCCCGAGTGCCCACAAGGTTCTGTTACACATTCTGAGTGTGTGCAACTAATCGCAGACTCTGGCTCTTGGTAGCCACAATAATAGTAATAATAATAGTAATCCTTGCACTTGATATAGCATCTTATGATGTCGTTGAGACTTCTCAAAGCACTTCTCAGTAAAGCGGATTGACTGTATTTTGTGGTTAAACGCGGCAGCGAAATGCTCACAAATGTTCGTTTCTACCCGAAAGTAATTCTCAAGTTTTCTCTCAGTTATGAAGGATCTCGCAGACGTGAAGGGTCGCCTCAGTGACGCAAAGGATAAGAAAGACAGCCTATTGACCGATCTTCCAGAGCTCGAATGGAAACTGAAAAATATAAATCGAGGTTGGTATTGTTGCTTTGTGCATTAGCAGGTGGTTAATAATAATAATACAATATAATTTACATTTATGCAACGTCTTTCACATCGGGAGGAAGTCTCGAAGCACTTCCCAAGATTTTAAAGTGTTGTGACTGTGTGTTTTGTAGGCGAGCAAAAGGGTCGCTTCCCCAAACAACTTAAACAAACTTTTCAATGCGTTTTATTTTGCTTTCAGATGACATAAACAAAACATTGAGCAGAGCGAAAGAAGTAGCTAGAGGAGCGAATGACACTGTTGCAAAAGTGATGGATAAGTTACAGCCTATACTCTCGGATCTCGAAAACCTTAATACAATTACGGGCAATATTCCAAACCTTGATGATTTCAACCATGCACTACGCGAAGCCGAAGATTCAGGTAACCAAGCTTTTGCAGTGTTATTTGCAGGCCAAATAGAAAGTCTTAGTTAAACAAATCTCAGCACCACCTGCAGAATTAGCTCATCCTCAGTACACGCTTTAAACTAATTCCTGCTGCAGAAAAAAGCTCTCCTCTCCACTGGAACATGGGTGTACATCTAAAAAGTCTCACCATAAAGTGGCTTCATGTACACATTTGGAGGAAATGTGACTTTTAAATCAATTTTGCACTTTAAAGTCATTTCTTGTCTCTTGTATGTAAAATGCAGATTAGTGCTTGGTGCTACTAAGTATCAGACAGAACTGTAATAGGCTTCTCTGGGGGAATTTCATATAGCAATCAGTGTTCCTGTTTTACTATCTATCACATATTTACCGCAGTCACTATCAAGGCTAAGGTCAAAATAACTTTTTATAAGGAATTGATAGGAGCAACATAAAGGACTAGAAAGGGAGCTTAAAATTGAGATAAGAGTGAATTGTTCCAGTGGAAATGCTGGCAGCAGAATATAGGCTCGAAGACCCAAATGATCTCCTATGCTGTGATTTCCATAATTCTATAAGTGACTAACCTCCTTGGAATAGGCAGAGCTAAGCAGAGTCTTCTTGCAGCTGAGCTGGTTTCAATAACACATGCTTGGCTACAGAGTGTTGGAATCAAGTCAATCTTCTGTGGCGGTCTGGGTAGTCCCGTTCCTGAACCAGGCGGGTCCATAGTACTCCATGGCACTGCTGACGGCAGACCAGCAAGTATGGCTCATCGGCAGAACTTGGACTGAGTTTCTTCCCACTCAGCCCCTGTTAACCCTGCAAGCCAAAGCTCTAACAGGTAGCTGGAGAAGCAGTGGGTAGCTTGCCAGATAATACCATAACAAGCATTATTTATTGATGACTTTATGAAACAAAGAGTCTCTCTATTTTATTTCTGTAACAGGAACTAGTTTAAAGCATGTATTGTGGATGAGCGTTCAGGATTGTACTGACTAAACTTATAAATTATCTGTAGAGTAAGTTTGTTAAGAAGCAGCCTGAGGTGCATGTCCTGCTGTGTTTATGAGAGACTACGCACTATGAATTAAATCTTATATTTTCTTTCACAGTAAACATATTGACGAATACCTTGCCTAGCCTCGTACAGAAGCTGAACAATTTGAGCAAATCCCAGCCCGCGAACAACATCTCGGAAAATATAGACCGGATCAGAGAGCTTATCGAGCAGGCCAGGGAAGCTGCAAATAAGGTTTGTTTTCCCCAGGTTGCACTTTATCAAGGTGAAAAATTTACAAAATTCTGGACACAAAATGAACAGGACATCTCAAAGCAGCACATTTTTTTTGGTGAGCCAAGTATCTGGCACATGCTGACACCTGTCATAATGCTTAAGAGTGTCTGAACTCTGGACTATGTGGAGTCCTGCATCATATTCGTCAGAGCACTCACCTCGCAAGCGAGAAGATCTGGGTTCAATCCCGAGCAGGGCGAAACATTAGAGACGTTTCCTTATTCCATGCGCCTCTGTTTTCCAGGCACTAAATAGTAAGCGGATTGCTAGTCAATTGGCTGATTGCTTTTCCGGGAGTAATAATCCCTCCACAAATAAACAAATAACTAAAATTAATAATTTGGTCACTCAATCCACGACTGTTTATGGGACATGGCTTTGCACAATTGGCTGCCTCGTTTCTCCCACAAAATATACAGTCGATTCACTTCACAGTATATTGTGTGAAGCGCTTTGAGACACCTTGAAGACGTGATAATCCATTATATCAAATGCAGGGATTATTATTATTAATAAAGAAGCCAGGTTATAGAAAAGAGACATTTGTCACTGTGTATTGAATCAGACTGGTAGTTTCCTGAAACATTTCTCCTTGTTTTATGAATTTATAGATAAATGTGCCAATGAAGTTCAACGGTAAATCAGGGGTGGAAGTCCGTCTTCCCAACGACCTCAATGACCTGAAAGCCTATAATTCGCTAGTGTTGTACCTTAAACGGCCAAGTGAACCGGCCCGAGGAGACAACAGACAAAAGAGACAGCCAGACCAGGACATGTTTGTATTGTATTTGGGCCACAAAAATGTGAGTGTTCCTTGTGTTTCTTAGTTCAAAAGTTAAGTGCTCCGAGACACTGCCCAGCAAGTTGTTGTTGTTCTTTGGTCAACCGGGTGTCTGACACATGTAGAAACCCATCACCATGCTTAAGAGTATCCAAACCAAACTGAGAATTCCATATATCCCACCTACATGAATCCCATGTATCTCTGGGATACATGGAAATCCCAGAGATAGATTGTTGGAATGGAATGTGCATTCCTTCCCTGGAGGGATGCATCCTGTTTTCCCAATTCCGGAAAATTTTAGGCGCAAGTTGGCAAGAGCCAAGGCTTGGGGACCCCAGCGTGTGCATTGGGATACAGCTGGAGTCTAAGCAGTTATTGTAAATGGGTCAAAGGCTTTTTTTTTAGACCAAGAGAAAAGTGTAATTGCTCCCTTCTCTCCGCATGTTCAAAGCCTGCCTTGCCGTACCTCTTTGCCCATGAGATTGGCATCTTTTACCCTCCCATGCTCTTCCACTCCCACTACTGGGATTAGGTATCCAGCCAACAGAATGGAGCACTTTGAAACATCCTTCCAATGCGAAAGATGCATTATAAATTTAAATTGCATTGAAAGTTGTGGTGTATTCAGATTTACAATGCCACCTCTTCTGCACCTGTCTGTCAGGTGTCAACCTGGCTCAGTCGGTAGCACTCTCATCTCTGATTCAGAAGTCTGTGGGTTCAAGCCCCACGTCGGGCCTTTGAATTCTCAGCCTCAGTTGACAGACAGTTCAATAACGTTGGTAATGTTCAATAATTTACTGCACTGTTGCAGGTACCATCTAACAGATGAGGTATGAAACCGAGGTCCGGTCTATGCCTGTTCAGGAGGATGTTAAAGATCCCATGGCACTATTCGAAAAGAGAAGCGAGCTTCTCTCTATTTTGGCTGACAATCCCCCTGATAAGATTAGTCATTCACCTCATTGTTTGTTTGTGCATTAATTAGCTGCTGAGTTTGCCTTCAAAATACAGAGTCACTGCAATTCACAGTGAAATCCTGTGAAGTGCTTTGAAGTGTCTCAATGACGTGATAAGGAGCTGTATCAAAAACTTATTATAAATTATTTCCTTTCGCTTCCAGAGTAACGAGGAGTACATCGGTATGGCACTAGTGGATAAGAAGCTTGTCACAGTTTACAAACTAGGAAAAGACAAGGAAGCTAAGATTGAGTCTGATTTAACAGTCAGCACTGCAGTCTTCGACAATGCTGAATTTAAACGGTAATGCACACTTGTCTATTTGTTGTGATGCACATTCGATTCTCTGCTGATTGATCTCTTCCATGCTTTTTATATACTGTACTAACTGTGGAGAGTGGATCAGTGATTTTTTTTAACACTAAGTAAGCACAGATCAGGCAGTGCTATTTCTGACTCAAACCCTCAGGGTTGAGACGCTCTCCCAATGTGAAAGGCGCTCTATTAATTGTAAGTATACTTATGAATTTTTCTTAAATGTCTGTGTTTCACGTAAACCATTTCCCCCTCCCCCAGGATCCTGCAGTACGGTTCCCTAATGTACAATACGATAAGCAAGAATGATGTCAGCAGCAACACTACTTATTTCCCAGTTTCGAATGGAAAGGGCATGCTACTTACTCTTGATCCTCAAAACACTGTCTTCTACGTTGGAGGCTACCCCAGCAATTTCACGGTAAAAATCAGATATCACTCCATCCTTCATTAATACCTTACTGCTGTGTAGCCCAGTTATAACAAACTTTTTTTATAGTGGACTTTAGTTATAACATTCATACCCGGATTCTTGGACACCATGAGAGTCCTGTAGCATAGTGGTTAACACCGTCGCCTCACAAGCAAGAGGACCCGGTTCGATTCCCGGGCAGGGCAAAACCTTAGGCAAGTTACCTTACTCCATACGCCTCTGCTTACCTAGCAGTCAGTAGGAACCCGCTTGTTAGTCGATTGGCGGTTTGGATTCCTGGGGTAATAATCTCTTCAAAAAACTAAGGTTTCGTCCCACCCAGGAATCAAATCCGGGTCCTCTCGCTTGTGAGGGGAGCATGCTAACCACTACACTACAGGACTCCTCACCGCCTCGGTGTGCATATCCTGCCAATACTGTTTTAACTGTGAACTATTTTTTCCAGCCCCCGGCCAGCTTGAAATACGACAATTTTATTGGCGACATTGAGCTGGGAGTCTTGAACGAAAGGCTTGTCAGCTTGTACAATTTCAGGGAAACGTTCAACCTGAATACCACCATAGACAAGCCGGATGCAAGGTACTGTTACCACTTTCACCCTGAAATATTTGAAAATAAAAGACTATTTCCAATAGTGAATATTAAATAAGATAATAATAATCCTCGCATTTGATATAGCGCCTTATCATGTCATTGCGTTGTCTCAAAAGCGCTTCACAGAATATACTGTAAAGTGAATTGACTGAATATTTTGTGGATGAAACTCGGAAGTCAAATGCATACAGCAGTGTCCCACAAACAGTAGTGGATTGAGTGACCAAATTATTATTATTTTATTGGGTTTTCTTTACCTTTTCTCCCTGACTTTCATTGACATTAATGCTATTGTAAAGTTCAAAGGTGACTGGAGATTCCGGTTCAGTTATTTCAGCCACAGTCCATCAACCCTACCACAGTCCTCTGGGAGACAGGGAGTCAGTGGAGCCAGGCGAAGGTGGGGATGATAGGGTCACGGAGCCTGGTGCGAGAGAGGACACAAGCTGTAGAGTTCTGGATGATCTGCAGCTTGTGGAGGGAAGAGTTAGGATGCTTGACAAGCAGGTAGTTAGCATAGTCGAGTCTGGATGTAATGAATGCATGGATGAGGGTTACGGCGGCCTGAGGGGAGAGGCAGTGGCAGAGCTGGGCATTGTTGCGGAGGTGGGGGAAGGCAGAACGGTGCATGGCACAAATGTGGGATAGAAAAGACAATTGAGGATCAAGCAAGACAAGGTCCAAGGTTTCCAGTCTGTAATCTCGGCATTCTTGTTTGACAAATAGCTGGTTTATAAACCCTGCTCACTGCTATTGGGGATCAAATGTAGACAACAGCTCTTAAATTGATATTGAACGTCAACAATCAAATACAAGGATGTAAAAAGGTGCAAAAATGGTTGTATTGATCCTGGCATTGATCTCAACAACAACAACAAGTTACATTTACATAGCGGCTTTCACCTCAATAGGACATCGCAAGGCGCTGGACAGTCTCAGTGAACAAAGATGTATTTATATTCATTAAAGAGTATGGAGATTTCCAATTCAACCTAACCTCTGTTCCTTTCTCTTACAGAGATAAATCAAAGGAAACTGGAGCCGATAGTTACTACTTTGATGGCACTGGCTATGCACAGATTGAAGTGAGCTCAAAGTTTAAGTGGAAATTTGAGCAGAATATTAGGAGTGCCACAAAAAATGCAGTACTGATTTACTTGAAAAGTCAGGTAAAGCACATTCATCTTTTCCATTCTTCTGTAGTGTTGCCTGTTTAACACATAATGGGAGCCTCAATACCTTGGGCACCAGAAAGGACTTAATAATCTCTCTGGGGGGAAGTGTATTTGAAGCAGTGATTTGGTTCTCTGATATGTTGTGGTATACGGTGGGTTATACGTATGGTTGCTCATCCAACACATTTCTGATTTAATCTTTAATGGAGTGACACGGAGCAAAGCCCTGGGATTTGCCCCCCAGTCACATTGATCTGCTTTGGGTGACCTGCGAGCAGCTGATTTGGAGTGCCAGCCCGTACTTCAACTTCAAGTTCCTCATTCTCATGTTCAAATCCATTCACTCCCTGGTGGGCTCATTTGAGTAGTGGATAGAGTTGCCCTATAGACCAGGAGCTTCAAATCCTGCTAAGTTCTCATCTCACTGCAGGGCTGTGTGGGAAGGCTGAATTGGCCCTGGCATCCCTAGGGTCAGAGAGGGTAAAATCAAGCAGGTTCACTGGTCCTGATCCCTCTTCAGTCGTCTCTACTGGCAGTGAGCACATCTACAGTCAATAATAATCCTTGCAATAGAAACATTCACAGCTAAGGTTCCTTCATGAACAACGACCCTTGAATGGGATACTGCAGGGCAACCAGAGTCTCTCTAAGCCCATCCCAGCACAAGACGGCTGGGGAACAGGACCAGAGGCATGTACCAATGAGGAAGAACTTAGTAGAAAAAAAATATTAAAGTACTTTTTTTAAAAAAAAACATAAAATAACAAAAATTGGGCACAAAATTCTTAAGTTTGTTTTAAATGTGATAACTGTCAAACAAATTGTTTTATGTAGAACCACATCACAGAGACGCCTCTTGTATAATCTAGCTGCTCCATGTTCATGATCGCCTTGAGACTGATCATGCCACTGTTCAGCCAGCACAGACATTGCTCCCTTCGTGCCACTATCAGTGGCTGAACCTTCGGGTTTCTACTTACTGCTAGGTAAACAGAGATGTGTGGAGTAAGGAAACTTGCCCTGCCTGGGAATCGGAATCGAACCCGGGTTCTCTCACTTGCAAGGCAAGTGCTCTAACCACCAAGCTACAGGACTCCAAATTCAGATGTTCCGATGAAGCTCTAATGTGTTGTAAAATAGTACCCCAAAGGTTTGGAAACGTTTGTACATGTAAAATCCTGATCTGTTTTTTCTTTCAGAATTCAAGCTGTGCCCTCACCATCGAAAATGGAGTATTGTTTTTCAGATACAATCTCGAGTTACCAAATCCACCAGAGCCTATAATGATGCCCATATCAAAAATCGACGACCCCAAATTGGTATTTACTTTTGTCTGAATGAATATAAGGATACTGTGTATTTCAATCTCTCGTACTAGACTATAGAAATGTGTAGTTGGAGCCTGTTATAAAACTGTTGGGTTTTTTTTTGTTGTGGGGGGTCCATAAAATCAAAATGTAAGGGGGCGGGGATGGAAGGAGAATGTTAAAATATTGTGACCAGTCGGCACTTCCAGGGCAATGTTTGATGCCAAAGTCACAAGCCAGCAACCGCTCCCATGAGTTGTTTCCAGTGATGATTGTCTGTTGATCCGTCTCAAGCAAAAAGATCTACATGGTGAAGAGTAAAATTGAAGCTTCAAAGTGTATTTTGTAAGACTTAGGATACATAAGACTGTGAGGATGGGAGTGGCTGTTTAATGAAAGTTTCATGCAAAACATCCCAAATAGTATTCCATAAGTATTGAGTAATATTTCTGATGTGAAATTATTATTATTACCATTATTGTAAGAGTGAATTTAACACCAGTTGCAGTCACTGAGCATTGCAGGATTACTTACCCTAACATTTCTCATTCTCCTCTGTTGAATCTCTAGATTTTGGTAAAGAAAAATGTAACAACTTGGCAATTAGGATTGGTAAACAGGCTCACAAACGTGCAGCGTCATATTATCATGACCGATGCAGATTTCAAAGAATTATACCTTGGAGGAATACCATCCAATATTAAAGAAGGGTACGTTGATCAATATAAACACTTCATATTATGCTATCAAATATAAGCAATTGTATATTGTTTGAATGCAGTTGCCCTCTTCCTTACCAGGCTCCATGAGCCCATCATCCCCAAACCTCGCTCGGCTCCACTGGCTCCCCATCCCCCAGTGGATCGAGTTCAAGATCGTCTTTATCACTTTCAAATCTCTCCACAGTCTTGGCCCACCCTACTTCGGCAACCTCCTTCAACCACATCTACCCAGCTGTCCCCTTCCCTCAGTAAGCACTGGCCTGCTTCATGTCTGTCATTGTACACCCTTTCAGCCATTCTACCCCCACGCTTTGGAACGCAATCCCAGAGTCCCACTGACTCGCTCTCTCCATCTCCTCATTCAGTGCTTATCTCAAGACATACCTCTTTGACCATGCTTTTGGTTATCTTTCCTTCCACCACAATTCCCCCCCACCACCTGGGCAGAGGTGCGGTCCTTCAGATGTGACATTAAGCCAACTGCCTGTCCAGGTAGATGATAAGGTTCCCATCAGGAGAAACTCCCTCCGCTCTACTTGAAAAGAGGGGAGCTTCTCGTGGTGTCTTGACCAAATTACCACAAATTGACTGCCGTGTTCATCTACGAAACACACAGTCGCTGTACTTTACAGTAAATCCTGTGAAGCGCTTTGAGACATCCTCCCAACATGAAAAGTGCTACATCAACTGCAAGGATTATCACATTATTTTTTATTATTATATAGGAAAGGACAGGCTTTTAATTCATGTTGTAAAATTTATTTTGAAATGACGTTTATTGAAATCACTTGTTTCCATTATGCTCACTCTTCCAGATTTATTTTACAACATGATAAGGCGCCATATTAAATGCAGGGATTATTATTATTATCAGTCTTTCGATCTCGCTTCTTGGCTGATCAACTGAGGAGTGTGACTGATGACCGGGTCTTACCACCTGATGACCAGGTCTTGCTCAGAATTCATATGAGATGCTCACATTTCAAAACTGCCATCAGTTGATTGAAATACCTGTTTTGTTTTGCTGATTACTAGATTAAACATTCCTGTCAAATCCTCACTGCGCGCCTGTGTGAGGAGCATAAAAGTCAACTCAGGGAACAAGGATCTTTCCAATGAAAAAACTGTGGGTGTCAGTAAACGTTGTTCTGAAGACCTCCTGGTGAGTACTCAGCCCAAGTTCAGCGCTATTATCCGCAAACCAACAAAACACACTCACTACACTTTATATCCTGTGGAGCGCTTTGAGACATCCTCCCAACATGAAAGGCTAATAAATGTAAATTTGTCACATCTAAATAAATAGAAAATAACAAATTGGTCGCTTCTATCCACGACTGTTTGTGGGACGCTGCTGTGCCCAATTGGCTGCCACGTTTCGACCACAAAATATACAGTCAATTCACTTTACAGTATATTCTGTGAAGCGCTTTGATATGTCTGGAACATGCGATAAGGCGCTATATCAAAGGCAAGGATTATTATTAAATTGTATTATAGTGGGAAGGACTTGATTAACTTCTTTTTTGTTTTATTTTCTTAGTTGGTGCGCTCTGCTTCCTTTAGTAGCAAAGGAGTGTTGAAATTTCCCGCTGCTAAGTTTACCTTTCCTAAAGATTTCCACATTGGGTTTGGTTTCTCAACAATTCAGTTGAACACTGTGCTGTTTTCTTATAACAAGGTAAGGAATAAAATTGGAATATCTAAATGCTTTGCGAGTTATCAAAAATGCTGTAGCCAGTCAGCCTGTTTTCTTCTTATCATACAGTGGCTGAAGATGATTAAAACAGATCGATTAAGACACAGACAAATTAATACATGGCTGAATTATTGTAATATAGAGAATGGAATACCAAAGGCATTTTCTGCATTTGTAACAGATCATTTTGTGTATGGGGATAGGGCAGGGCGATCATAATCTAAGATGATGTATTGCGTTTTATGATTGTTATTGAAAAGTCAGAGAGCTACACAAAGAAATGAAAGAAACATTGGCAAAGGAAGATGAGCTTGGGCAGAAAAACATTTAAAAAGCTCAAAATTTGAAGGAATTTAAAAATCTCCTTTATTTTTTGTTAATGTTTAGCTAACAATTATTATATTATAAAATTGTATTTTGCTGTGTGTATGAAATTAAATGCGTGGATTAAATTACGTGCTGTAAATCTACACTATGGCAATACAGAAAATAATAGCATTGTGTTTTTTCTTTCCTTTGTAGAATAACGGTATTATGGTTTTATTGGAAAATGGCAAACTGAAAGTTATTATACAGGGCACAATTCTACAATCTAAAAACACTTTTAATGATGGCGCCAACCATTATGTGTCTGTCATGAAAATCGGTGATAAGTAAGTATTGTGATTGAAAAATTCCCTTTCCTTCCTCACCTTTAAAGCCCACCTTTCTTTTTGATGGCACTTCTGGTCAACTTTTCCCCCTCCCCTACACTTCCCAGCTATCCTCAGTTCCTTCAAATCCCAGCTTGGGTTCCTATCTGGGCTTGTAGACGTCCTCTTTTTTTGGGCAGCTTTTGGCAAGCATAGAAACCATTCACTGTGATTAAAGGTAGCCAAACCAAACAGAATTCCTTGCGTCCCAACTACACATGGAAATTCCAGAAATAGATGATTCTGACTTTTTAAATCCCATTTAAAATGTTATACACCTCCATAAGTTTCCCTCTGAGACGTCGTATCTCAAGACTGAAGAGTCCCAGCTTATGGAATCATTGCTCATGAGCGGGGAATAGGATGAATGAGACCTTGTGTGAGTAGAATCACCGGCATGGACTAGTTGGACCAAATCGCCTATCTCCATGCCACTTTGTAACTGTAATTATGGTCAATGATCTTCCACAAAGTTGGTATTAAAATCGAAGTAATGATCCCTCCAAAAAAAAATTAGTCACTTAATCCACAACTGTGCATATTTGGCTGCCGCATTTCGCCCACAAAATATACAGTCAATCCACTTTACAGTGTATTCTGTGAAGCCCATTGATACATTTCAACGTTGTGATAAGACGCTAAATCAAATGCCAGGATTATTATTATTGTCCGGGATGATGATACCATGTGCTTACCATTTCCTCTAATGTTTTATAGGGTCACCCTGAATGTGGATGATGAAGACGAGGATGGAAAGTCAGTGACACTGCGGGACAGGTCAAATGACTCCCTATTCGTGGGTGGAAACTCAGACACTATGAATTATACTGGCTGTATCAATGACGTCTTCATAAATAGGTAAACTAAAAATGTTCACAAGTTATAGGAAACTTAGACAACGACTCTCGTTCAGTTAGTGGATGAGGGATGAATTCTACTTATCCCCCAAATTGAGTGTAAGCCTGGCTCAGTTGATAGCACTCCCACCTTTGAGTCAAAAGGTTGTGGGTTCAAGCCGATGCAGTGCTGGGGATGCTCTGCATTGTTAGAGGTGCCGAACTTTGGAAGAGATATTAAACTGACGTCCTGTCTGCCTGTTCAGGTGGATATCAATGATCCCTCGCAACTATTCAAGGAGAGAATGGAGTTCCTCCCGGTGTCCTGGCCAACAATCCCCCCAAAATTGAATGTAACAATACAAAAGAAAATTTGACAAATATTTGAAGCGAATGATATAAAAGAGTATGGGGAAAAGCCAGAGAATTAGGGTAGATCAACTCCCATAGCTCACATAGACTTAGTGGACCCAATGTCCTCTCCTCTATTTCTATGATTCTGTCATGTTCTAATCAAGTCGCATGGTTTTTGCGAGAGGTTGAAAGCATTAAAAACTAATCACTGCTTTCCTTTTAGGGATTCCGAACGTCCTACAGTTCAGAGCCTGATATTATCATCAGATCACAGTGGAATAAAGCTGAACGCTTGCTCCAGGCAAAGAGCACCAGAAATGCTTATGTTGAAAGAAGGTAGAAAATCCAATCAAGAGACTGTCAAAGGGAATAAGGTACGTACAATATCTGGAGCGGAGTTAACAAAACGGGGCAACCCTGTAATAACACCAACAACAACAAATTACATTTGTATAGCGCCTTTCACGTCGGGACAATGTCCCAAGGCGCCAGACAATGAAGGATTTGCATCCAAAGCCCTAACGGTTAAGGTGGTCCAAGCTGGACAAGCAGCAGGAAAGCTTGCCGGACAGTGTTTTAAAAGGCAAGCTATGTGGTTTTAGCTTGGGTTAAACTCCAGCAGCACCCCAACACACACTCCCCAATCATTAGCTCTTCCCAGCCTAATCCTAATACTCTCCGGAATTAGGTAAGTAGGCCATGACCCTCAAGGGAGAAAGTGCGTATTCCGTTCCAGTCACAGGAATTTTCATGTAGAGGTGGAACTCTCAGTTTGGATGCTTTCAAGCATGGTGACAATTTCACCATGTATCAGACACCCACCCTACCCCCAAAACTATTACAAGATGGGTGCGGTTATTGGAAAATATGGCTCTGAAAGAATTTTTCCTATGTAAACAGAATGGCAAGAATCATAAAGATGTTCTTGGTCACCCAACAAAAGAGAGCCCGGGGCTGACATCAGCGGATGTCAGTCATGGAGGCCAAAGGTGTTCAATGGAGCCCATCAGTTTGGAGACACTCCAGATAGCCATTTGGAATACGACTTTATTCCAGAATCGTTCAAGGAGAGGTAAAAAAAAAAAAAATGTTTCCCTATACGGATAGAATCTAGAAGCTGAACTGCTTTCATTTGAGATGTGTTGGTCTTTTTAATATTATTAATATTTTTAAATTACTTTTAATTTTTAATATTTTTAATTTACTTTGGCATCTTAACATTTTTCATTTATTGTACAATATATATATATATTCTGTGAAGCGCTTTGAGATACCTCGACAACATGATATGGCGCTAGCTACATCGAATGCAAGAATTATTTTATTATAAACATTAATCATTTTTAATGCGACTGAAGATGTTTTAAAGCAGACACAAATGCAAACAGTTTTTTTCTTTTGCACTCCAGGTCAAAATTCTCCGTTGATGTGCGGACAGTAACTTCAGAAGGAATTATCTTTTACGTAGCAGATAAGGCAGAGAGGTCATACATGGCCCTTTACATTTTGAAAGGTCGCTTTTTCTTTTCCTTTGTGGTTGACGGCATCAAACTGAAAATTAAGAGTAAAGCGAAATACAACGATGGACAGTGGCACACTGTAAGTAAACAAAAGCTTCCAATTTCAAGAGATGTATTCATGTGCAACTTAAACACCTCGTAACAAGAGGATTCCCAGCTGGGAAGTTTACTTACTCCACACGCCTCAGTTTCCCTAGCAGTAAGTGGGAATCTGATTGCTAGTCGATTGGCGGATGGTTTTCCGAGGGTAACAATCCCTTATAATTTAAAAAAAAAATTTGTTCACTCAATCTCCAAGTGTTTGTGGGACATTGCTGTGCACAAAATATATATTGAATTCAGTTTACATTCTGTGAAGTGCTTTGAGACATCTCAATGATGTGATAAGGCGCTATATGAAATGCAAAGAATATTATTATTATAATCATTGTATTTGATACGGCGCCTTTCACGTCAGGAGGACAGTCCAAAGCGCTTCTCAGAAAATATACTGCTTGTCAATCAAAATAACAACAACAAAATTTGTATAGCGCCTTTCACGTCAGGAGGACAGTCCAAAGCGCTTCTCACAAAATATACTGCTTGTTAATTAAAATAACAACAACAAAATTACATTTGTATAGCGCCTTTCACGTTGGGAGGCGGTGCTGATCAGACAGAGTTACGGACCTGAGCTGAGGGTCGGGGTGGGGGAGGTAGAAGGGCGGGAGATGAAGCAGGGAGATCAAAAGCACGGTCTAAGAGGAGGGTGTTGAGGTGGGTCTTGAAAGTGGCGAGGGAGGGGGCGAGGCGGAGGGACTGCAGGATGGAGATCCAGAGGGCGGGGGCAGAATGGCGGAAGGCCTGCCCAAAAGGGCTATTTAGAAAAAATATGTAGCAGCAGCCCAGACAAGATGGACTAAATGGCCCCTTTCTGTGCAGAGAATTTCTGCATGTTTCTATGTTTAAGTTGCACACGAATTCTGCATCAGGTTGACGCCGAGTTTCAGGTTGTTGTTTCTCAGCTAATAGTCTTATTGTTTTTTAAGGTGGTGTTTAGCAGGGAAGGCAACACTGGAAAGCTTGTGATTGATGGTCTGCGGACTCGACAGAGCAGCATCACCACCAGTTCATCCCTGGAGGTCGAATCCCCGTTCTATCTGGGAGGATTGCCATCGGGCAAAGGGCAGCAGAGGAGGAAGGTAAGCCAACGCATCAATAAAACCATTAATGATAGGCTTAAAAAAAAGCTTGCATTTAATATGCTTGTCATGTCAGGAGGATATCTTAAAATGCTTTGCAGGATTACTGTGAAGTGCAGTAATCATGCACTTTGCACAAACGGAGCAGACGATTTGCCAGCATTGGTGTACCACAATCAGCCATAAAGATGAATGACCAATGCGTTTGATACAACACCTAAAGGTCTCACAGCACTTCACTGAGAATTGCTGTCAGGTGTAGCGATTCTAGTGCAAGAGACTGTGCTGCTCTGACCAGGTGTCACCAACTCCTTAAGTGTTCAGAGGAGAAAATACCCTGGGCAGAAATTGTATCTTACCAGAATATTTTCTGAAGAAGACGGAACAATTTGTTGGGTGACTTTGCTCATTTCTTGATGAATAACTTGTTTGTGTAACTAATTCGCCCACAAGATACACATTCATTACACGTAGCTTTATGCCCTGCGGAGCAGAGAGCTTTGAGACGTTCCCCCCGACATAAACGTCGCAGTATCAAATGCAAGGTTTCATGTTATAAATTATTAATAATAGAGAAAAGATAAAATAATGCTACAGTTTTGAATACTTATTCTATTCTACACCATTTATCAAAAAAAGCATAGTAGTCCCATTGTACAAGCCTGAGCAAGCTGATCACAGTTTCCGGTCCATTTGAAAATAACCTTTAAAAAGGACCGTAATGGTTGATAGATCCTACGTTCAAATTCAGTAGCAATTTAGGCTGAGCTAGCAGTTAATATCAAATCCGCATTGCTGTTGTTGTTTAACACCATCAATAATTTTTTTGCTGGCCGAGCAGTTACCAAGAGACAGTTTCCAGGGATGTATCAGAAACTTTAAATTGGATGGGAGCCAGTTGAGTGTCCCATCTCGCATGCTGGGCGTCACACCATGCTTCGATGGCAAATCTGAGCCAGGAGCCTACTTTTCAGCTGAAGGAGGATACGTCATTTTAGGTATGTTACATTTGCAGCTTATTCACACCCTGCAGAATTTTACCCCTCCACCTCAATCCTTCTGCCTCGCCTTTTTCTTTATCCCACCTGAAAAATCTTATCTCTTCGACCATGCCTATGATCACCTCCCTCTTCCTCCTCCACTGTGCAAAGCTCCGAGCTGCTCGCCTGCAAGGGGGGAGGGGGGTGGTAAATGCAAATTGTTGCTTTTTTTGTTGTATTGAATAGTGTAGAAACTATGTTCACGCTTATGTGAACCTTCGCGTATCAAATTAGAGTCCACTGTCTCCCAACTGAAATTAGTGATTTTCTGACTATATCAACATTTTTTGGGGGGTGATCCACACAGATTTGTGATGCCCAGCTTCAAGTAGACAAAGTCTGCCGAAGCTATTTTCTTTCGTTCTGTAGTGTATAATAAAGATTCGGCCAAATCTTGTAATGCAGTCCCCTCTTTATAATAATAATAATCCTTGCATTTGGTATAACATCTTATCATGTTATAATATTATTATTATTATTATGTTGTCGGGTCAGCCAGTTTTCACCCAGCAATGTACCACAAACAGCATTGAAGTGAATAAAAATTTTTGATTTAGGGGATAGTGCCATTGGATCTTTAACGTCCACTTGAACAAGCAGACGAGACCTCGGTATAACCTCTTGTCTGAACGCATGGTGATGTTGTGCACCTCTGGTCTGTCTGCACCTGAGTGTCAGCCTAGAGTTCAGTGTCCCGATGCGGGGTTTGAGCCCATAACTTTCTGACTCAGAGGCGAGAGTGCTACCAACTGCGCCAGGCTGCTCATTGATGCACAAAAGGCACTGAGCCATTGAACTCTCTTCCTCTGGTTAATTTCTGACGTGTAACCTGAATATTTCTTTCCAGACAACGCTTTTGTCGTGGGCAGGGATTTTGAGCTTCTGTTTGAAGTGCGTGCCCGTAGCCAGACTGGGGTGCTCTTCCACATCAGCAGCCCACAAGGAAACTACCTCAGTCTGTATATGCACAAAGGAAAGGTAGGAGAAACCTCTTGGATTAATGCATATAGAAACCTTCAACTTGTCTTCTATCTGTATTGTATGCGCAGTGTTATATGTTCATGGTGTAGGAAAGTAACCTTATTCGAAATTGGCTGCATTGCCTCCACCAAGACTGATCCAAGCCGAAGGTATGATCTAGCACAATGGCTTGGATCCAGTGCACATTAATGTGTGAATTGGTATGAAGCTTTGCCGCTGTTAAGCGCTCCGAGATGCTAACGCACATGAAGCACGCTGTATAAATACGAGTTGCTTTGTTGTTAAATTCCCCTATTTCTTGACAAATTCAATGTGATCATTATTATGTTGAACCTGTTAAAAAAAATCACATCTTTTACCCACTTATCTTTTCAGCCTGCGTGGCTCAGCCCTTCACTTCAAATATTAAAAATAAAGCTGATATCACTCCCTGCCTCTTAGACAGGATCCCTGGATTATTCATTTGGAAAAGCAGTGAGGTTGCTTCAATTGAGCGATTTGGAGCAGAAAAAGATTTATATTTCTCAACTGAGCCCTTCACATGAGCAACTAAGCGTATGCATAGAGCTCGGTTTCAGCAGCCTTTAGGATTGAAATGTTATTAAAGAGCTGGCTGCACAAAAAAGCCTCATTGCTTAAATTGATAAATTTAACAATAATAAGAATAATAATTACTTTTGACATAGAGCCTTTCACATCAGGAGGATGCCTGGTATCACAGTGTAGTGACGTGTATATTATGGGCGAACGAGGCAGCCAGTTTGCACACAGCAATGTCTCACAAACAGCTATGAGCATTTTTTTTATTTGGGGGGATTGTTGGCCAGGACACTGGGAGAAACTCTTGTCTTTTCGAATAGTGCCATGAGTTCTTTAACATCCACTGAATAGGCAGACGGGGCCTTGGTTTAACGTCTCATCTGAAAGATAGCACCTCCCATAATTCAGGACAACCCCCAGCACTGCATTGGAGTGTCAGCCTAGACTGGTCGAGTTCAAAGTCGCAATGTTGGGCTTGACTCTACAAGCTTCTGGCTCAGAGGCAAGAGTGCTACTTACTGAGCCAGGTTGACACACAGCAGTGGAGACTAAGCTGTAGTCAATTACAGGTTGATAAACGCTTCAACGGTCAGAGTGCTGCTTTCTTTGACTCCTCTGTGTTAGCACTTTTTCCCAGATAAAGCTGTGTTTTCTTACTTGTAATTCTTACAGTCCATAAATGCCGACAGAATTCATTATTTCACGTCTTCACGACTGAAGACACTTCTGCGCAGTTTTATTTCTGAGGTTGATTTTTATTTCACTGGACTTGTGGAAGAACAAAATCTAATTTGTTTTTTTGCTCAAAGGTTACTGTGAGTGTAAACAATGGAGCCGGTGAGTTCAGCACATCAGTTGACCCCCAGCAATCGCTGTGCGATGGACAGTCACATAGAATAGCAGGCAAGTATTCTGCAGTTATATATAAAACACAACGCTATATACCCGTATCCCGACTACCCACATGGCCGCAAAGAAAATTTAGTTATGCGCATTTTTTGGGGGTCAGCCGAGTATCTGACGCATGCAGAAACTGATCAACGTGCTTAAGAGTATCCAAACCAACTACACATGGATATTCCAGAGATAGATTGTTGGAAGGGAATGCGCAGTCTCTCCCTGGAGGGATGCATCCTGCTTACCTAATTCCAGAATGTATTCGGCGTAGGATGGCCAGAGCCAAGGCTTGGGGACCCCAGAGTGTCTGTTGGGGTAACTGTTGGCATCTAACCAGCTAGAAACTGCATAGCTTGCCATTGATAGCAATCTCTGGCAAGCTTTCCTGCTGCTTGTTCAGCGAGAAACACCCTCCCCGTTAGGGCCTTGGCTTGCAGGGTTAACAGGAGCTGAGTGGGATGATTCCCTGCCCCCAGTGACTGGTCTACTCTTCCAGGTCCTGCCAATGAGCCAGACTGGCTGTGCTGTTGTGCGCATGGGCACGAGGTTACCAGGTTTGCGAGTTACTCACGTGGTACTGCAACCCACCAGTGCGAACTGGGGAGATCCACTCCAGCACTACAGAAAAAGGCACACCCCAATTTGCTGAGACCTGATATCTGCACTGTTTTCATATCCTTAAACATACAGATGGGACCTCGATTTAACGTCTTGTCTGCTAAATGTCCAGCCGTTTACACTGGGAGGGGAAAGAGAGTGCTGGATTGAGACGGAGCGAGAAGCTTAGATGATTTTCACTCCTTAACCGGGAATGAGTTGTAGCGTTCCAACTGCTGCTTTGGTTGAGATCTGCTAATGTAATCACAGCTGGTTTACATCCATAACAACATCTTGCCTTTAATGTAACTGAACATCTCAAAGCACTGACCAAGGGTGTCAACCTGGGACATTTTCGGTCAGCATGGCTTGCGTATCAAATGGGGAAGCCACGTTCTATTCTCCGTGTGGAGGAGAAGCGCTGTATACTGTTAAAGTCTGTTTATATCTGCAGTTTTACTGAGTGCATTTTCTCCTTAATGTAGTGATCAAAAGAGATAATGTGGTGCAGCTTGATGTGGATGCAGAACGCGATCACGTTATAGGACCTGCTACGTCTCGTTCTACTGACACTAAGGACCCTCTGTATGTTGGTGGTGTTTCAGGTAAGATCAATTCCTCATCAGTAACACATTTTAATGGTCATTTAAAGATGTTTCCCTTCGTAGCTGGTCCTTTCCCTCGTTCGACCATAGAACTAATGGTCGGAAGTAGTGAAGAAATCCAGATGTATTCAGATCGAACTTCATATCGCCCTGAATCATAACGGCACTGAAGTGCTTTTAACTCAGTGTGCGAATGTTAGCTAAAGAAACATTATTCCTTAAGGGAGTTTCAAGTAGTCTGTGACATGCTTGTATCAAAATGAAGCTCTCTGAACCGTGGCAGGCAGTGCAAACTGAAAGATTGATGTGTACATCAGCTGTCTTTCTCAAGGTCTGTGACCATCCTGTAACAAGAGATCCAAAAACTGCATGATTAAATACAACATGGGACTCCAAATCCTTTAGCAAACCAACATGGCCTGTTGCATAATACTGCCGCATATTCGCATAAATACTTTGAATTCATAAGATCAAATAAGAGTGATTTGAATGTTAAAATTTGATCATAACCACCAGCTCGGATACAGATTATTATTATATTATTAATAATAATCCCTCCAAAACAAAACAATAATAAATTGGTCATTTTCAATCCACGACTGTTTGTGGGACATTGCTGTGCGCAATTGGCTGCCGCGTTTTGCCCACAAATATACGGTCAATTCACTTTACAGTCTATTCTGTGAAGTGCTCTGAGACGTCGAGAAGATGTGAAAAATGCTATATCAAATGCAAGGATTATTATTATTATAGATCCCTAATTGTCCAGTGCTTTGAGATGTCCTCCTGATGTGAAAGGCGCTATACAAATGTAATTTGTTGTGTTGAAATCCTCGCCTCTGAGGCAGAAGGTTGTGGGTTCAAGCCCCAACCATATCAGGATTCCCAGACCAATTCTGTTCGGTGGTAACTTTTAAATATCTGAGGATTTTGAGATCCTGTGAATACGTTGAATTCAAACGACCTGCGAATAAATGTGCTTTGCAATGAAGGTGGAATTTTAAATCGGTGACACAATCCTTTCTGTATTCGCGAATGGATAATACGCCTGGAAAATGAAACTCAGGAGCCAATTGCGCACAGCAGTGTCCCACAAATAGTCATGGATTGAATGACCAAAATACAAAGTCAATAGACTACAGTGAAGTGAAATACTTTGAGATGTGTTCCGTAAGTGGAAAGGCGCTATGTCAAATATAAGGATTATTATTATTGTTAATAATGAGAATAAACTTTGGCTTCAACTCACTGACAAGACTTTTGAATGAGATGAGAAGGTCTCAGAGCAGTTGATGGAAGCTTATTCGCTCGCTGTTCACTTGTTTCTAAGATTTATCTTCTTTTTTNCCCCCAATTTACAGATGCTGTGCAGACCCCTCACCTCCCAGTCCGTACTCCGTTTATTGGCTGCATGCAGAGCGTGGTGATTAATGAGAAGCCGGTGACATTCAGCAAAGCAGCAGAGGTCTACGGCGCTGTCAGCTTGACCAGATGCCCCACAATGTAAATTCCTACCCCAACATTCAAAAGAACCTCCACATTCCTGCACTTCATTTTAACGGATCCACTGTCGGAATGCAGAATTATTAATTTATTGTAACTTGGACTCGCGATTTTCCTCTTTCTTGCCTTGTTTATGTTGTGTTCTCTGAGCCAATGGTTCCTGGAGCCCAGCTGCCCAGCCTGCCTAGTTCTGGTGGGTTTTTGGGATCACATCGATTCGCCTTGTGAAGGAAATCGATCTGGGCTCCGCTCAGAAACTGTGTTTTTTCTAAGTGTTGGGGGTTTCCCCAGGAACCTTTAAGGGATTGATGACTCACTCTGCCTTCCCCCACCTCCGCAACATTGCCCGGCTCCACCACTGCCTCACCCCTCAGACTGCCGAAACCCTCATCCATGCATTCATCACATCTAGGTTCGACTATGTCAACTCTCTGCTTGTCGACCTTCCCAACTCTTCCCTCTACAAGCTGCAGATCATCCAGAACTCCACAGCTTGTGTCCTCTCCCACACAAGTCTCAGTGACCCCATCACCCCCACCCTCATCCGGCTCCAATGGTTCCCAATTCCCCCAGAGGATAGAGTTCAAAATCTCATCCTTGTCTTCAAGGCCCTCCAAAGCCTTGCTCCTTACTACCTCTGTGACCTTCTAACCCCATATCAACCTGCCCGCCCCACCATTTCACCTACAGAGGGAGCAAGAGAGAGGTGCTCCCTCTCATGGCAGATAGGAGCCTCTCTGTCCCCACCCTTTGGAACTCCACTCCACAGTCCCTTTGCCTCGTCCCTCGCTTACCTCCTTCAAGGCACATCCCAAGACCCTCCTCTTCCGCTGCCACTCTCCAACCCCTGCCCTCCACCCCTCTGATGCTACCTCCCCCTTGGGTCCAAATCCCTGACTCCAGCGCTCGTGTGACTGAGAGCTGGAAGTATAAATCAGGCTACTCTTCCATTCCCTTCTTTCCTCTCCCCCATTAATTTGAAAGCGATATCACTTGGAATCACAGAATCGGTCAATTTGGTTCATTTATATTTAACTTAAAATAATGCCACTTCTTTACTGCTCAATCAGGGAAATAAAGCTCCATTAAATTTAACCAGAGGACTCTGAAATATTCAACTCTTTGCCTTTCGAGCTAACGCTATATTCTTTGGGGGCCAAAATGCTAATTTGCTGCTAATTTTGTACTTTGATATTTGAATAATTGATATTCTAAATATATTTCTAAAATAAATTGATGGACATGTCCTTCACAGTTGTTTATTCTGAATGTGCGGGGGGCACATTGTATGTTGGCCTGGCCCGGGTGGCAGTGCTCTTGCTACTGGGTCAGAAAGTCATGGGCTCATGTCCCATCTCAGGACTTTGAGCTCACGGTCAAGGCGGACATTCCAGTGCCGGGGTGGGGGGTGAGCGGGGTCTGCAACGTGGGAGGAGCCGTCCTTCGGATGAGATGTTAAAACCGAGGTCCCGTCTACATGTTCAGGTGGAAATGAAAAATCTCATGCCACAATTCGAAAAGAGAATTTGAGTTTCTCATATAAATACACAGTAACTACTCTTTACAGAAACTTTGTGAAGCGTTGAGATGTCATTGGCACAAGACCAAATGCAAAGTTATGATATTATTACATCACTATAGTGAGGGTAAAACACCCTCTGTGGAGTCCTGTAGCTCAGTGGTTAGAGCACTCGCTTTGCAAGTGAGACACCTGGGTTCAATTCCAGGCAGGGCGAAACCTTGGGCAAGTTTCCTTACTCCACACGCCTAATAATAATCCCTCCAAAAACCAAAAACAATAATAAATTGGTCATTTTCAATCTACGACTGTTTGTGGGACATTGCTGTGCGCAATTGGCTGCCGCGTTCGCCCACAAATATACAGTCAATTCACTTTACAGTGTGTTCTGTGAAGCGCTTTGGGACGTCCTCCCGACGTGAAAAGCGCTATATCAAATGCAAGGATTATTATTATTATTATTATTATAGAAGCGAAAACACCTGGGTTTGACTCCTGGCAGGGCAAAACACTGGGCAAGTTTCCTTACTCCACACGCCTCTGTTTACTAGCAGTAAGTAGGAACCCAGTTGTTAGTCAATTGGCAGATCACTTTTCCAGGATAGTAATTCCTTCAAAAAATAAATTGCTCACTCAAACCACCACTGTTTGTGGAACACTGCTGTGCACAATTGGCTGCTGCATTTCGCCCACAAAATATACACTCAATTTACTTTACAGCATATTTTGTGAAGCACTTTGAGACGTCTTGAAGACGTGATAAGGAGCTATATCAAATGCAAGGATTTTTATTAATATTATTGTGGCTTCCCTGTTTTTCTCCCTTGCTCGTTTCACCTCCTTTAGGGCTGTGAGATTGGAGGAAAACACTGGAGCCTCATTTTTGCTCTTAATTGCCCTGTAGGTGGGATGTAACTGTAGGTAGGATACATGGAATTTTCAGCTTGGTTTGGATACTGCTGATGGGTTTCCGCATGTGTCAGACACTGATCAAAAAAAAATTAACTGGCCACAAGTGGAGAGAAAGAACAATCCGGTGCAGACTCTCCCTCCCTCAATGCCTATCTCTGCAGGAAATCAGCAAAGTGGAAGCTGGAGGTATTTTGCTTTACTCCGATGCACAGCACTGTCAGTGATCGCAGCAGTCTGTTTCTTATGACCCCTACATGCAGTCCAAATTACAGCTTGCTTTGAGTTCACTTTGAATTCCCTCCTGACCCCCATTCTAATATTTTCCGAGACCCTTGTACTTTTAACATTCATATCCTGAAACAGTAATAATAATAATCCTTGCATTTGATGTACATAAGGCGATAAGGTCAATTATAGCAATGATATTATCACATCATTGAGACATCTCAGAGCGCTTCACAGAATATACTGTAAAGTGAATTATATATATATATATACAGAAATGGTATATTCATTAAGCCCGTTAGTGGGTCCTCGTCCACTATTTTTCTTCTGAAGAGCGTCACAGATCTCAGCAATACAAGGTCCAAAGCAAATCCACATCTGATTTACGTACTGCATGTTGTGATCCATGCAGCCTGTTGGAGACCATCTGCCACAAGTGGCAACTTCCTGGAAAAAAAAGGCAATGATTTTTTATGAGTCTCTGACTGAAGTCAGGGATTTTGTCATCTCAGTCTCATTGCAAAGCCCTTGAAACGTTTGCAGCCTCTAAAAACATACACTCACCTGCTTCTACAGTAAGGTCAAGAGAGTTAGACATGACCACGTAGAAATCATTTCAGAAATACCCCTACAGTTTGTATTAACAGACAAAATGTAATTTTATAATTCTTTGTTAATTTCTTTTTAAAATTCAAATGAAAGATGTTTTTTTTCCTGAAGAATCTTCGGGGATTTGATTTGTTTCACCCCATAAGGGCGACTGAGATTATCCAGCGCTTCAGGGTCTCAGCTTTCACAGCTGCCGCTGAATGAGTGGATGAGGTTGCAAATGACCCAGGCTTTAGTCATAGAGCTGCATGTGAGTGATTTGGCTTCTCACCATCTGAACTGCATCAAGGCCAAGACGGTGGTTTATTGAGTTGTATGTCTTCGCTCACTCTTGAAATAAATGGCTGATTTATTTACAACCGTGTATCTATTGTTCTTGCTTTTGATATATTTGTGCGTGGCAGGCAGTGCAAACTGAAAGATTGATGTGTACATCAGCTGTCTTTCTCAAGGTCTGTGACCATCCTGTAACAAGAGATCCAAAAACTGCATGATTAAATACAACATGGGACTCCAAATCCTTTAGCAAACCAACATGGCCTGTTGCATAATACTGCCGCATATTCGCATAAATACTTTGAATTCATAAGATCAAATAAGAGTGATTTGAATGTTAAAATTTGATCATAACCACCAGCTCGGATACAGATTATTATTATATTATTAATAATAATCCCTCCAAAACAAAACAATAATAAATTGGTCATTTTCAATCCACGACTGTTTGTGGGACATTGCTGTGCGCAATTGGCTGCCGCGTTTTGCCCACAAATATACGGTCAATTCACTTTACAGTCTATTCTGTGAAGTGCTCTGAGACGTCGAGAAGATGTGAAAAATGCTATATCAAATGCAAGGATTATTATTATTATAGATCCCTAATTGTCCAGTGCTTTGAGATGTCCTCCTGATGTGAAAGGCGCTATACAAATGTAATTTGTTGTGTTGAAATCCTCGCCTCTGAGGCAGAAGGTTGTGGGTTCAAGCCCCAACCATATCAGGATTCCCAGACCAATTCTGTTCGGTGGTAACTTTTAAATATCTGAGGATTTTGAGATCCTGTGAATACGTTGAATTCAAACGACCTGCGAATAAATGTGCTTTGCAATGAAGGTGGAATTTTAAATCGGTGACACAATCCTTTCTGTATTCGCGAATGGATAATACGCCTGGAAAATGAAACTCAGGAGCCAATTGCGCCACAGCAGTGTCCCACAAATAGTCATGGATTGAATGACCAAAATACAAAGTCAATAGACTACAGTGAAGTGAAATACTTTGAGATGTGTTCCGTAAGTGGAAAGGCGCTATGTCAAATATAAGGATTATTATTATTGTTAATAATGAGAATAAACTTTGGCTTCAACTCACTGACAAGACTTTTGAATGAGATGAGAAGGTCTCAGAGCAGTTGATGGAAGCTTATTCGCTCGCTGTTCACTTGTTTCTAAGATTTATCTTCTTTTTTTCCCCCAATTTACAGATGCTGTGCAGACCCCTCACCTCCCAGTCCGTACTCCGTTTATTGGCTGCATGCAGAGCGTGGTGATTAATGAGAAGCCGGTGACATTCAGCAAGCAGCAGAGGTCTACGGCGCTGTCAGCTTGACCAGATGCCCCACAATGTAAATTCCTACCCCAACATTCAAAAGAACCTCCACATTCCTGCACTTCATTTTAACGGATCCACTGTCGGAATGCAGAATTATTAATTTATTGTAACTTGGACTCGCGATTTTCCTCTTTCTTGCCTTGTTTATGTTGTGTTCTCTGAGCCAATGGTTCCTGGAGCCCAGCTGCCCAGCCTGCCTAGTTCTGGTGGGTTTTTGGGATCACATCGATTCGCCTTGTGAAGGAAATCGATCTGGGCTCCGCTCAGAAACTGTGTTTTTTCTAAGTGTTGGGGGTTTCCCCAGGAACCTTTAAGGGATTGATGACTCACTCTGCCTTCCCCACCTCCGCAACATTGCCCGGTCCACCACTGCCTCACCCCTCAGACTGCCGAAACCCTCATCCATGCATTCATCACATCTAGGTTCGACTATGTCAACTCTCTGCTTGTCGACCTTCCCAACTCTTCCCTCTACAAGCTGCAGATCATCCAGAACTCCACAGCTTGTGTCCTCTCCCACACAAGTCTCAGTGACCCATCACCCCCACCCTCATCCGGCTCCAATGGTTCCCAATTCCCCCAGAGGATAGAGTTCAAAATCTCATCCTTGTCTTCAAGGCCCTCCAAAGCCTTGCTCCTTACTACCTCTGTGACCTTCTAACCCCATATCAACCTGCCCGCCCCACCATTTCACCTACAGAGGAGCAAGAGAGAGGTGCTCCCTCTCATGGCAGATAGGAGCCTCTCTGTCCCCACCCTTTGGAACTCCACTCCACAGTCCCTTTGCCTCGTCCCTCGCTTACCTCCTTCAAGGCACATCCCAAGACCCTCCTCTTCCGCTGCCACTCTCCAACCCCTGCCCTCCACCCCTCTGATGCTACCTCCCCCTTGGGTCCAAATCCCTGACTCCAGCGCTCGTGTGACTGAGAGCTGGAAGTATAAATCAGGCTACTCTTCCATTCCCTTCTTTCCTCTCCCCCATTAATTTGAAAGCGATATCACTTGGAATCACAGAATCGGTCAATTTGGTTCATTTATATTTAACTTAAAATAATGCCACTTCTTTACTGCTCAATCAGGGAAATAAAGCTCCATTAAATTTAACCAGAGGACTCTGAAATATTCAACTCTTTGCCTTTCGAGCTAACGCTATATTCTTTGGGGCCAAATAAAGCTGATATCACTCCCTGCCTCTTAGACAGGATCCCTGGATTATTCATTTGGAAAAGCAGTGAGGTTGCTTCAATTGAGCGATTTGGAGCAGAAAAAGATTTATATTTCTCAACTGAGCCCTTCACATGAGCAACTAAGCGTATGCATAGAGCTCGGTTTCAGCAGCCTTTAGGATTGAAATGTTATTAAAGAGCTGGCTGCACAAAAAGCCTCATTGCTTAAATTGATAAATTTAACAATAATAAGAATAATAATTACTTTTGACATAGAGCCTTTCACATCAGGAGGATGCCTGGTATCACAGTGTAGTGACGTGTATATTATGGGCGAATGAGGCAGCCAGTTTGCACACAGCAATGTCTCACAAACAGCTATGAGCATTTTTTTTTATTTGGGGGATTGTTGGCCAAGACACTGGGAGAAACTCTTGTCTTTTTCGAATAGTGCCATGAGTTCTTTAACATCCACTGAATAGGGCAGACGGGGCCTTGGTTTAACGTCTCATCTGAAAGATAGCACCTCCCAAATTCAGGACAACCCCCAGCACTGCATTGGAGTGTCAGCCTAGACTGGTCGAGTTCAAAGTCGCAATGTTGGGCTTGACTCTACAAGCTTCTGGCTCAGAGGCAAGAGTGCTACTTACTGAGCCAGGTTGACACACAGCAGTGGAGACTAAGCTGTAGTCAATTACAGGTTGATAAACGCTTCAACGGTCAGAGTGCTGCTTTCTTTGACTCCTCTGTGTTAGCACTTTTTCCCAGATAAAGCTGTGTTTTCTTACTTGTAATTCTTACAGTCCATAAATGCCGACAGAATTCATTATTTCACGTCTTCACGACTGAAGACACTTCTGCGCAGTTTTATTTCTGAGGTTGATTTTTATTCACTGGACTTGTGGAAGAACAAAATCTAATTTGTTTTTTTGCTCAAAGGTTACTGTGAGTGTAAACAATGGAGCCGGTGAGTTCAGCACATCAGTTGACCCCCAGCAATCGCTGTGCGATGGACAGTCACATAGAATAGCAGGCAAGTATTCTGCAGTTATATATAAAACACAACGCTATATACCCGTATCCCGACTACCCACATGGCCGCAAAGAAAATTTAGTTATGCGCATTTTTTGGGGGTCAGCCGAGTATCTGACGCATGCAGAAAACTGATCAACGTGCTTAAGAGTATCCAAACCAACTACACATGGATATCCCAGAGATAGATTGTTGGAACGGAATGCGCAGTCTCTCCCTGGAGGGATGCATCCTGCTTACCTAATTCCAGAATGTATTCGGCGTAGGATGGCCAGAGCCAAGGCTTGGGGACCCCAGAGTGTCTGTTGGGGTAACTGTTGGCATCTAACCAGCTAGAACTGCATAGCTTGCCATTGATAGCAATCTCTGGCAAGCTTTCCTGCTGCTTGTTCAGCGAGAAACACCCTCCCCGTTAGGGCCTTGGCTTGCAGGGTTAACAGGAGCTGAGTGGGTTGATTCCCTGCCCCCAGTGACTGGTCTACTCTTCCAGGTCCTGCCAATGAGCCAGACTGGCTGTGCTGTTGTGCGCATGGGCACGAGGTTACCAGGTTTGCGAGTTACTCACGTGGTACTGCAACCCACCAGTGCGAACTGGGGAGATCCACTCCAGCACTACAGAAAAAGGCACACCCCAATTTGCTGAGACCTGATATCTGCACTGTTTTCATATCCTCAAACATGCAGATGGGACCTCGATTTAACGTCTTGTCTGCTAGATGTCCAGCCGTTTACACTGGGAGGGGAAAGAGAGTGCTGGATTGAGACGGAGCGAGAAGCTTAGATGATTTTCACTCCTTTACCGGGAATGAGTTGTAGCGTTCCAACTGCTGCTTTGGTTGAGATCTGCTAATGTAATCACAGCTGGTTTACATCCATAACAACATCTTGCCTTTAATGTAACTGAACATCTCAAAGCACTGCCCAGAGGTGTCAACCTGGGACATTTTTAGTCAGCATGGCTTGCGTATCAAATGGGGAAGCCACGTTCTATTCTCCGTGTGGAGGAGAAGCGCTGTATACTGTTAAAGTCTGTTTATATCTGCAGTTTTACTGAGTGCATTTTCTCCTTAATGTAGTGATCAAAAGAGATAATGTGGTGCAGCTTGATGTGGATGCAGAACGCGATCACGTTATAGGACCTGCTACGTCTCGTTCTACTGACACTAAGGACCCTCTGTATGTTGGTGGTGTTTCAGGTAAGATCAATTCCTCATCAGCAACACATTTTAATGGTCATTTAAAGATGTTTCCCTTCGTAGCTGGTCCTTTCCCTTGTTCGACCATAGAACTAATGGTCGGAAGTAGTGAAGAAATCCAGATGTATTCAGATCGAACTTCATATCGCCCTGAATCATAACGGCACTGAAGTGCTTTTAACTCAGTGTGCGAATGTTAGCTAAAGAAACATTATTCCTTAAGGGAGTTTCAAGTAGTCTGTGACATGCTTGTATCAAAATGAAGCTCTCTGAACCGTGGCAGGCAGTGCAAACTGAAAGATTGATGTGTACATCAGCTGTCTTTCTCAAGGTCTGTGACCATCCTGTAACAAGAGATCCAAAAACTGCATGATTAAATAAACATGGGACTCCAAATCCTTTAGCAAACCAACATGGCCTGTTGCATAATACTGCCGCATATTCGCATAAATACTTTGAATTCATAAGATCAAATAAGAGTGATTTGAATGTTAAAATTTGATCATAACCACCAGCTCGGATACAGATTATTATTATATTATTAATAATAATCCCTCCAAACAAACAATAATAAATTGGTCATTTTCAATCCACGACTGTTTGTGGGACATTGCTGTGCGCAATTGGCTGCCGCGTTTTGCCCACAAATATACGGTCAATTCACTTTACAGTCTATTCTGTGAAGCGCTTTGAGACGTCGAGAAGATGTGAAAAATGCTATATCAAATGCAAGGATTGTTATTATTATAGATCCCTAACTGTCCAGCGCTTTGAGATGTCCTCCTGATGTGAAAAGCACTATACAAATGTAATTTGTTGTGTTGAAATCCTCGCCTCTGAGGCAGAAGGTTGTGGGTTCAAGCCCCAACCATATCAGGATTCCCAGACCAATTCTGTTCGGTGGTAACTTTTAAATATCTGAGGATTTTGAGATCCTGTGAATACGTTGAATTCAAACGACCTGCGAATAAATGTGCTTTGCAATGAAGGTGGAATTTTAAATCGGTGACACAATCCTTTCTGTATTCGCGAATGGATAATACGCCTGGAAAATGAAACTCAGGAGCCAATTGCGCACAGCAGTGTCCCACAAATAGTCATGGATTGAATGACCAAAATACAAAGTCAATAGACTACAGTGAAGTGAAATACTTTTGAGATGTGTTCCGTAAGTGGAAAGGGCTATGTCAAATATAAGGATTATTATTATTGTTAATAATGAGAATAAACTTTGGCTCAACTCACTGACAAGACTTTTGAATGAGATGAGAAGGTCTCAGAGCAGTTGATGGAAGCTTATTCGCTCGCTGTTCACTTGTTTCTAAGATTTATCTTCTTTTTTTCCCCCAATTTACAGATGCTGTGCAGACCCCTCACCTCCCAGTCCGTACTCCGTTTATTGGCTGCATGCAGAGCGTGGTGATTAATGAGAAGCCGGTGACATTCAGCAAAGCAGCAGAGGTCTACGGTGCTGTCAGCTTGACCAGATGCCCCACAATGTAAATTCCTACCCCAACATTCAAAAGAACCTCCACATTCCTGCACTTCATTTTAACGGATCCACTGTCGGAATGCAGAATTATTAATTTATTGTAACTTGGACTCGCGATTTTCCTCTTTCTTGCCTTGTTTATGTTGTGTTCTCTGAGCCAATGGTTCCTGGAGCCCAGCTGCCCAGCCTGCCTAGTTCTGGTGGGTTTTTGGGATCACATCGATTCGCCTTGTGAAGGAAATCGATCTGGGCTCCGCTCAGAAACTGTGTTTTTTCTAAGTGTTAGGGGTTTCCCCAGGAACCTTTAAGGGATTGATGACTCACTCTGCCTTCCCCCACCTCCGCAACATTGCCCGGCTCCACCACTGCCTCACCCCTCAGACTGCCGAAACCCTCATCCATGCATTCATCACATCTAGGTTCGACTATGTCAACTCTCTGCTTGTCGACCTTCCCAACTCTTCCCTCTACAAGCTGCAGATCATCCAGAACTCCACAGCTTGTGTCCTCTCCCACACAAGTCTCTGTGACCCCATCACCCCCACCCTCATCCGGCTCCAATGGTTCCCAATTCCCCCAGAGGATAGAGTTCAAAATCTCATCCTTGCCTTCAAGGCCCTCCAAAGCCTTGCTCCTTACTACCTCTGTGACCTTCTAACCCCATATCAACCTGCCCGCCCCACCATTTCACCTACAGAGGGAGCAAGAGAGAGGTGCTCCCTCTCATGGCAGATAGGAGCCTCTCTGTCCCCACCCTTTGGAACTCCACTCCACAGTCCCTTTGCCTCGTCCCTCGCTTACCTCCTTCAAGGCACATCCCAAGACCCTCCTCTTCCGCTGCCACTCTCCAACCCTGCCCTCCACCCCTCTGATGCTACCTCCCCCTTGGGTCCAAATCCCTGACTCCAGCGCTCGTGTGACTGAGAGCTGGAAGTATAAATCAGGCTACTCTTCCATTCCCTTCTTTCCTCTCCCCCATTAATTTGAAAGCGATATCACTTGGAATCACAGAATCGGTCAATTTGGTTCATTTATATTTAACTTAAAATAATGCCACTTCTTTACTGCTCAATCAGGGAAATAAAGCTCCATTAAATTTAACCAGAGGACTCTGAAATATTCAACTCTTTGCCTTTCGAGCTAACGCTATATTCTTTGGGGGCCAAAATGCTAATTTGCTGCTAATTTTGTACTTTGATATTTGAATAATTGATATTCTAAATATATTTCTAAAATAAATTGATGGACATGTCCTTCACAGTTGTTTATTCTGAATGTGCGGGGGGCACATTGTATGTTGGCCTGGCCCAGGTGGCAGTGCTCTTGCTACTGGGTCAGAAAGTCATGGGCTCATGTCCCATCTCAGGACTTTGAGCTCACGGTCAAGGCGGACATTCCAGTGCCGGGGTGGGGGTGAGCGGGGTCTGCAACGTGGGAGGAGCCGTCCTTCGGATGAGATGTTAAAACCGAGGTCCCGTCTACATGTTCAGGTGGAAATGAAAAATCTCATGCCACAATTCGAAAAGAGAATTTGAGTTTCTCATATAAATACACAGTAACTACTCTTTACAGAAACTTTGTGAAGCGTTGAGATGTCATTGGCACAAGACCAAATGCAAAGTTATGATATTATTACATCACTATAGTGAGGGTAAAACACCCTCTGTGAACTCCTGTAGCTCAGTAGTTAGAGCACTTGCCTCAGAAGCGAAAACACCTGGGTTTGACTCCTGGCAGGGCAAAACACTGGGCAAGTTTCCTTACTCCACACGCCTCTGTTTACTAGCAGTAAGTAGGAACCCAGTTGTTAGTCAATTGGCAGATCACTTTTCCAGGGATAGTAATTCCTTCAAAAAATAAATTGCTCACTCAAACCACCACTGTTTGTGGAACACTGCTGTGCACAATTGGCTGCTGCATTTCGCCCACAAAATATACACTCAATTTACTTTACAGCATATTTTGTGAAGCACTTTGAGACGTCTTGAAGACGTGATAAGGAGCTATATCAAATGCAAGGATTTTTATTAATATTATTGTGGCTTCCCTGTTTTTCTCCCTTGCTCGTTTCACCTCCTTTAGGGCTGTGAGATTGGAGGAGAACACTGGAGCCCCATTTTTGCTCTTAATTGCCCTGTAGGTGGGATGTAACTGTAGGTAGGATACATGGAATTTTCAGCTTGGTTTGGATACTGCTGATGGGTTTCCGCATGTGTCAGACACTGACCAAAAAAAAATTAACTGGCCACAAGTGGAGAGAAAAAACAATCCGGTGCAGACTCTCCCTCCCTCAATGCCTATCTCTGCAGAAAATCAGCAAAGTGGAAGCTGGAGGTATTTTGCTTTACTCCGATGCACAGCACTGTCAGTGATCGCAGCAGTCTGTTTCTTATGACCCCTACATGCAGTCCAAATTGCAGCTTGCTTTGAGTTCACTTTGAATTCCCCCCTGACCCCCATTCTAATATTTTCCGAGACCCTTTTACTTTTAACATTCATATCCTGAAACAGTAATAATAATAATCCTTGCATTTGATGCACATAATGCGATAAGGTCAATTATAGCACCTTATCACATCATTGAGACATCTCAGAGCGCTTCACAGAATATACTGTAAAGTGAATTATATATATATATATATACAGAAATGGTATATTCATTAAGCCCGTTAGTGGGTCCTCGTCCACTATTTTTCTTCTGAAGAGCGTCACAGATCTCAGCAATACAAGGTCCAAAGCAAATCCACATCTGATTTACGTACTGCATGTTGTGATCCATGCAGCCTGTTGGAGACCATCTGCCACAAGTGGCAACTTCCTGGAAAAAAAAGGCAATGATTTTTTATGAGTCTCTGACTGAAGTCAGGGATTTTGTCATCTCAGTCTCATTGCAAAGCCCTTGAAACGTTTGCAGCCTCTAAAAACATACACTCACCTGCTTCTACAGTAAGGTCAAGAGAGTTAGACATGACCACGTAGAAATCATTTCAGAAATACCCCCTACAGTTTGTATTAACAGACAAAATGTAATTTTATAATTCTTTGTTAATTTCTTTTTAAAATTCAGAATGAAAGATGTTTTTTTTCCTGAAGAATCTTCGGGGATTTGATTCGTTTCACCCCATAAGGGCGACTGAGATTATCCAGCGCTTCAGGGTCTCAGCTTTCACAGCTGCCGCTGAATGAGTGGATGAGGTTGCAAATGACCCAGGCTTTAGTCATAGAGCTGCATGTGAGTGATTTGGCTTCTCACCATCTGAACTGCATCAAGGCCAAGACGGTGGTTTATTGAGTTGTATGTCTTCGCTCACTCTTGAAATAAATGGCTGATTTATTTACAACCGTGTATCTATTGTTCTTGCTTTGATATATTTGTGTTGATCCTTCTTGCACTTAAAATCAAAACTGATAACGTCAGCACTGGAGATATCCTACTGTACAGGCACAGACAGGACCTCGGTTTAACATCTCATCCAAAGGACAACATCTCTCGCACTGCAGCGCACCCAAGCACTGCATTGCAGTTTCATCCTAAAATCTGTGATCTTAAAGTCCTGATGTTGGAGCTTTTGTTTAGTAAAAAGATGCCTATACTACTAACTAACAATTCAATGTCGTGATCTACGATATGGTTGACACTGCAGGCTGACATCTGGGTAGAACCTGTCACGGTCACCCCTTTTGTTGTCAATGCTCGACTATGCAAATTCATTGCTTGTCGGCCTCCCCAACTCCTCCCTCCACAGGCTGCAGATCATCCAGAACTCTACAGCCCGTGTCCTCTCCTGCACTAGGCTCCACGACCCAATCAACCCCATCCTTGCCCAACTCCACTGGCTTCCCATCACACACACACAAATGATACAGCTCAAGATCCTGGTCCTCACCTTCAAAGCCCTCCACGGTCTTTCTCCGACCTCCTAACCCCCTACCACCCTGTTCACTCCCTCCGCTCGGCGGGCTCAGGCCTGCTTCACGTCCCCGGGTCTATTGGGTCACTTAATGGATGTTTTGGTTGGACCATAAGAAAGGCACCAATTATATCAAGTAATTGGTGCTATACAATTACTAATGGGTACCCTAATTCAGGGAGGGACTCAAAACACATAAAAGAATTAGCGCCATGTGCTCAGGGTAGCTATTTTTCTACCTGAAGACGACAAAGGTACGTGCTCTGACTATTGAGTTGTAGCCAGATTGGTTCTTCAACAACAACAACAACAACAAGATTCCATTTATAGAGCGCCTTTCACGTCAGGAGGACGTCCCAAGGCGCTGCACAGTTGGGTCATGACCCGAGCAGGGGGGAAATGGTCAGGGTGAGGGGAGGGAAGGGAGGGAGAGAGGAGGGGGGAAATGGTCAGGGTGAGGGGAGGGAAGGGAGGGAGCGAGGAGGAGGAAGAGAGTCTTCGTGCACTTTACATTAATAATAATCCTTGCATTTGATATAGTGCTTTTCACGTCTTCTCGACGTCTCAAAGCGCTTCACAGAATAGACTGTAAAGTGAATTGATTGTATATTTGTGGGTGAAATGTGGCAGCCAATCGCGCACATCAGTGTCCCACAAACAATCGTAGATTGGAATGACCAATTTATTATTGTTTTTTTTGAGGGATTATTAGCAGGCATGTGGAGTAAGGAAACTTATTATTATTACTTGCCCAAGGTTTCGCCCTGCCTGGAATCGAACCCAGGTCTCTCGCTTGCAAAGCGAGTGCTCCAACCACTGAGCTACAGGACTCCACGATTAACTTCGTTACAAGTGGCTGCGAGTGTGTGTAGTTTACATGTGATTCATGTTTGTTATCTCATACTTGTGTTTGTTGATATTTATCGTGTTGTTTAAGATTTAATGCCAAGTGTTGTGAATTTCATTGAAGCTACAATAAAATAAAATAACCATGCTTAACTTGAGCTTTCTGTATAAATCGAAGGAGGGAATACACAAACAGGTTTTGCCTCGGTTACAGAGGTGTAAAATAAAACTGTTTGCCCGAAGCTTCTCAATTTGCTTTAATTTAAAAAAGCAATTGGTAGTACCTGTCGTTGTAGAAGAACTCACTTGTCAAGTTACACCTTAGTCATAGGGACTTGCATTCATTAGTGAGGATTGACCACAGAGGCCACCCGGTACACTGTGAGGGAGAGCGAGCCATAGCGTGGGTGTACATATACGGGTGATAGAACCGTCTCAAACCGTTGAAAAGGGTTTGGGCTGAGAGTGCCACATCTAACCGCGAACACACAGTCAATTCACAGTCTGTCAGCGTCGCGGTGAATAGGAGTGTGTTAGCGTGGTATGATGTGTTGCCCACCAGGAAGCTCGCAGGGAGTTCCTGGTACATAATGAGGGCTTAAACCCGGGCTTGTCGGATGGCGGACAAAGAATGTGTAACCACCTTCGGGTGGTGGGGGGCGTTGGGGGAAAGGGTGGCAGTGGGGGTCTCCCTGGAGCCGGAGCTTGAACTGGCTCCAAGGTGACACGTCTGGCAATGCAGTATGGACGCGGGGCCGGCAGCCAACTGCGCCGCGACTCGCGCGATACTGAGCGACCGATTATATCTTTTTTTNGGAAAATATATTCTTTTTTTTGTGAAAAGCGATCCGCCATCCGCCGCTCGACCCAAAACACCCGGGTGCCTACCGACTGCTGGGTAACCAGAGGCCCGGGTGCGGAGTAAGGCAAAGGACCTCAGGGATCAAACCCAGGTCCTCTCGCTTGCGAGAGCTGCAGGTAAACAGGACACGTCCCCCCCCCCCACACACAGGGAGAGATGTCCCCTCCCCACAGGGAGAGAGGCTCATCCACTCCCAGCCATCCTGCTGGGATTTCCATGCGTAGGTCTGATTGGTGGGACTCGCGACGCGGTGTGATTGGCTGAAGGTTGACGTCGGGTTGCGATTGGCTGAAGGCCGGGGCGTGACGGGCGGAGGGCGGGCTGCGATTGGCGGAGGCGGGGCGTCGTTGGTGTGGGTGGAGTGCGATTGGCGGACGCGGAGGGCGAGGTGTGATTGGCTGAGGGCGGAGGGCTGGGCGGAGATTGTGGGCGAGGTGTGATTGGCGGAGAATGTGGACGGGGTGTGATTGGCGGAGAATGTGGGCGGGGTGTGATTGGCGGAGAATGTGGGCGGGGTGTGATTGGCGGAGAATGTGGGCGGGGTGTGATTGGCGGAGAATGTGGGCGGGGTGTGATTGGCGGGGCGGGGGGGAGGGCGGGGGCTGAGCGCCGCTCGCGGGGCAGGTGACAGTTGGCGGGGCGGCCAGCGCGCGCGGTGTGGATGAAGTGGCTGCGCGCGCGCGCGGGCGCTGTGTGTGTGCGTGTGTTTGGAGGTGACGCCGGTGCACAGAGCTGAGGAGACGGACATATCACCGCCTATCACAGCCTCCGTGTGTTGTGCCTCTGGTTTAATCGCCGGTCGCGTGTGTCAGAGCAGGAGACGGAGCCTCCATCATCATCATCGTCTCCTCCGTTGCGGGTGGACGGACACCGAGCTCCGGCTTGAAGGAGTCGGAGCAGCTCCTGGGCCGGGGGTGGTGTGTGTGTGTGTGTGTGTGTGGCGGTGGGCGGGAGTCTATACACCGAGAGGGAGAGATGGAGCCCAAGCGACTGGGGACGGCGTCGGCAGCCGGCAGCCCCGAGCGGCTGAACGACGCCGAGCTGGCGCTGGCCGGCATCAACATGCTGCTCAACAACGGCTTCAGGGAGTCGGACCAGCTCTTCAAGAAATACCGGTAAGGGCAGAGGAGGTGTGAGGGACGGAGGGAGGGAGGGAGGGAGGGGAGGGGAGTGGGGGGGACGTCGGCCGGGACTCCGGCGCTCCTGAGGCCTTGCCCACAAAATCCACAGCCATTCCATTTTACAGCGTATCGTGTGAAGAGCTTTGAGACGTCTTCCCAACGGGCATCAAACGCAGGGATTATTGCTGTCGCTCTCGCAGATGTCCTCCTCTCGACGTGAAAGGCTCTCTGTAAATGCAATTTGTGGCGGTTGCTCCATCCCCCCCCCACCCCACCCCCATCCCACCCCCAGTGTTGAGTGCCTTTTAAACCAGCAGCACTGGGCAGGGCGTGCGCCGCACGAGTCGGTCCGGCCCGCGCCGAAGAAAGGCTTTCTTGCCTCTTTTCTCTAACGAAAAGAATCGTCCCTACATTCGGGGTCTGAGCGCGTCTTCCAGACGCCTCGAAGCGCATCGCAAAATATACTGTAAAGTGAATTAACTGTACGTGCAGCGGTGGGTTCCCTCTCCTCCCTCTCACCCCGCCTCCTCCACTCAGATCTTCTGGCTTTGTCTCTACATTTCCGGCACCTGCACTTGCCGTTTCTGATCTGGCAAAAACTTCCTCCCCCTCCCACACGCTCCTCCTTTGTTTCGGCATTTTGGCCTTTATTGAATAAATGAACGCAAACCACACAGTCAATCCATTTTGCAATATGTTCCGCGAAAAGCTTTGAGACCTCTCAACGATGTGATAAGGCGCTCTATGAAATGCAAGGATTATTATTTTTGTTCCTTCCTGATCCCTTTTGAGCGAGAACAACACCTGAACCCTAGCTCTGCGACCGGTAATACATACTGTTCAGCATCTCCATGCTTTCCGTCGGTTTACTTTTTCCGAACCTATGCACATACCTCCTTTCGCCTCCTATTTGTTGAGCGGCTGTTTATTTTATGTGGTACCTCACGTTTATTTTCCAAATAGATTAATTATTGAAATTAACAAATAGGAAGTTTTCCTTAACAAAACAGCAAAATATTACAGAATCGGTGCTATCATTTATCGTATCTTGGTACCGTACAAGAAAAATGTCATGTTTATAAAATGTGCTCAGATTAGAATCCAATTAAAATAGATTATTATAATATGCTTTGCACTTAATATAGAGCCTTTTACGTACGAAGGATTAATGAGATCAATGATTTGACAGCTATGTCATGTGCTACTGCAAGAGTAAAACAACTAAGATGTCCTAGACCTCTGGTACCATGAAATAAGAGGAGAACAAGTGGACTTCTCATTAGGTTTTATTTGTTTTTCCACCCTTCACTTTCCCCCAAAAATCAATATGATTTGCCCAATTTTGGTGAAATCTAAAAACGGCCACTGTACTTCACATGAATTGCTCATGAAGCACTTTGAGGTGTTTCAACCATTATCAAATACAAGGATTATTATATGCAGATTCTCATCAAGGTCAAGAATTGGTTGAGTGAAGAGCCACTCTTATCCTATTATAATAATAATAATAATAATAATAATCCTTGCATTTGATATAGCGCTTTTCACGTCGGGAGGACGTCCCAAAGCGCTTCACAGAACACACTGTAAAGTGAATTGACTGTATATTTGTGGGCGAACGCGGCAGCCAATTGCGCACAGCAATGTCCCACAAACAGTCATATGGATTGAAAATGACCAATTTATTATTGTTTTTGGAGGGATTATTATTAGGCGTGTGGAGTAAGGAAACTTGCCCAAGGTTTCGCCCTGCCTGGAATTGAACTCAGGTCTCTCACTTGCAATATTATAATATTACTTATAATATTATTGATAGCGTAGTATAATATTCCACTGCTGCTGCCAACCATAGTATTTAACATACCTGTAAAGATAAAAAGAAATAAAGTACTTGGAATTCGCAAAGTTTTGCAACGGGAATTGAATCCAGGTCTCTTGCTTGCGAGGCGAGTGCTCTAATCACTGAGCTACATTATGGAAATTTATGGCATTTTTGACTGGATCTGACACAATGCTGCTTCAGTTTGAATTTATTTGTTGTGTAATGTTTTTGAGGTGATTATGTAATGTTTACACTTCGCTCACTGTTAATGTACTGTCCAAACTATAGTGCAACAAGGCTGTATGTAATGTGCTTTGTAATACCAAAACAGTTTTACATATCAATCTAGCATTGAATAAATAGGCACACAATGTCAGGACTGGTAGATATAGATCCAAACACTAAATAATAATAATATCCAAAGTGGATTATATTCTCAACAGAAAAACCCTTACATTGAGCACCAGAGTTACCAATGACACTTCTGCTGGGAACTCGATATGAAAATTAAGATGGAAGTGGCGTAGTAGCACAGGGCTCTGGCTACTAGCATGATGGGGGAAAAGAAGAAGGAATGTTTAAAATCTCATTTATGTTGCTCTGAGAAGATAACAGAGGAGATCAGGAAGGACTTCCACATGGAAGGAAAATCTGAAAGAATTGGCACTCCTGGCAGTATAATTGGCAGAGATTTAAAAGCCGTGCAAAATCTGTGATAGCCATGGGGAGGAAATTATTTTTGGATTTCAGTAAAGGGCAATGGGGTGTGTGTGTGTGGAGATTTTCATATCTTATACCCTTATATTGTGAATAACCGCCAGGTGTACAATTATAGACTGCCCTTCCAGACTGTGCACTTTTGCCATTTCTCACCACTCCTCTCTTTTGGCCATTAATTTTGCCCATAAAGTACAGTCAATTCACTTTACAATATATTCAGTGAAGCGCTTTGAGACATCTCGAAGACATGATGAGGCGCTATATCAGCAATAACAACAGCAAATTACATTTGTAAAGAGCCTTTCACGTCGGGAGGGCATCCATGTCAATTGTAAGGATAATTATTATTATTAAGAGGGGTATCTCAAAGCACTCCACACGATTTACTGTAACATGTAGTCACCGTGTATTTGTAGGTGAGCAAGTTGACCAGTTTACACACTTCCAGTGTCGCACAAACATCCAGGAAATGAATGATCAATTATATTTGGAGAATTGTTGGCCAGGACATTTTTGTTTTGCGTTAACAAAATTCTGTTACTACTTCTGCTCAGGATTCTCTCTGTTTTATATCCTGCAATAATGTATAGCATACAACACTAGAGATAATTTCATAGCTTCCTCATGGCCTCAGGAAACCACCAGTTTTAAGAAATGGTTGCCCCTTGGCCAATCCTGAGCTTTTGTGCATTTGGGGTTTGTCTTGTGTGGTAACCTTTATAGAACTGTAAAGCTTTCTTTGTAACAAAAACAGTTCCTTAAATACTTCCTACTTTTATACTGAGTGCATAGTATCTTAATCATTCTCATTTTGCAATTTACCCATAAATTACTGCTTTCTGTCAAACTGCTCTTAAAGTACAATAAATACTCTCCGCAGTATTTCAGTTCTAATGGTATTCTGGATTCTCCACAAACCCTACTTTATGTGCCGTACCTGGACAATTGCTGAAGACTTTAAGGAAGTAATTCTGAGTGACTTATTTAAACTTGGACCTATTACTTTTCCTCCAACGGTTTTTCAGTCAGTCTGGATAATGAAATCTTCCATGATTTGTGTTGGTTCCAGGCATCTCGAGATAGTTTCATTGTCACTGCACAGATCACAGCTGGATGTGCATCGAAGCTGTAACGGGCTCTTGGGTTTATGCTACCAGTTGCCAGCATGACTAATTATAGATTGTTACACACAAACCTTTTTGGACAAACAACAACAAATTGCATTTATATAGCGGCTTTCCGGGATGCCCCACCGCCGATAGTGGAGTAGGCTGGACAGGGGACGTGCTGCAGGCTGGACTGAGACGTGGAGCAGGCTGGGCGGGAGACCTTGAGCAGGCTGGGCGGGGGACCTTGAGCAGGCTGGGCGGGGGACCTTGAGCAGGCTGGGCGGGGGACCTGGAGCAGGCTCGGGGCGGGGGACCTGGAGCAGGCTCGGGGCGGGGGACCTGGAGCAGGCTCGGGGCGGGGGACCTGGAGCAGGCTCGGGGCGGGGGACCTGGAGCAGGCTCGGGGCGGGGGACCTGGAGCAGGCTCGGGGCGGGGGACCCGGAGCAGGCTCGGGGCGGGGGACCCGGAGCAGGCTCTGGGCGGGGGACCCGGAGCAGGCTCGGGGCGGGGGACACCGGAGCAGGCTCGGGGCGGGGGACACCCGGAGCAGGCTCGGGGCGGGGGACACCCGGAGCAGGCTCGGGGCGGGGGACACCCGGAGCAGGCTCGGGGCGGGGGGACCGGAGCGGCTGGCGGGGGGGACCCGGAGCGGCCTGGCGGGGGACCGGAGCGGGGGGGGGGGGCGGCTGGCGGGGGGACCCGGAGCGGCCTGGCGGGGGGACCGGAGGGGGGGGGGACCCGGAGCGGCTGGCGGGGGGGACCCGGAGCGGCCTGGCGGGGGGGACCCGGAGCGGCCTGGCGGGGGGGACCCGGAGCGGCCTGGCGGGGGGGACCCGGAGCGGCCTGGCGGGGGGGACCCGGAGCGGCCTGGCGGGGGGGACCCGGAGCGGCCTGGCGGGGGGGACCCGGAGCGGCCTGGCGGGGGGGACCCGGAGCGGCCTGGCGGGGGGGACCCGGAGCGGCCTGGCGGGGGGACCTGGAGTCTGTAGCCAAAGATTCGGATTGGCCAGGAGGCACCCATTTCTTAATACTGGTGGTTTCCTGAGACCTATGTTTCAATATTCCAAGAGGTGTGCTCTTGCAAACAACCATTAAGGTGACTCACTTCCTCTTTGCTTTGGGTATAAAGTTTCAAGGGGCTGCACATAGGATTTCTAACAACAATTGCACATAAAGCAATTTAACAAATTTTAGCTGCAAACAATGCTGTTGGCCCATTCCCTCAAGCATCAATTTTTTAAGCAAAAAATGTGCAAGTAATTGACGAGGTAGTCCCATACACAGTGAAATGAGGATGTCTTCTGTTCCATCTAACTGCTACAACAACAACAAGAAATTACATTTATAGAGCGCATTTCACTTCGGGAGGACGTCCCAAGGCACTGGACAGTCGGGTAGGGACCCGAGCATGGGGGAGGGGTGGGGTAGGGATGAAGGAAGGCAGAGAGGTGGGAGGGCGACCGAAGGCACGATTGAAGAGAAGGGTCTTGAGACCGGCCTTGAAAGTGGCAAGCGAGGAAGCGAGGCGAAAGGACTGTGGGATGGAGTTCCAGAGTATGGGGGCAGAGAGGCTGAAAGCCCGGCCACCGATGGTAGAGCGTGTTGGGTGGGAGATATGGAGCAGACCGGAGCCTGCTAAACGGAGGGAGCGGGCAGATTGGTAGGGAGTCAGCAGGTCAGAGAGGTAGGAGGGGCAAGGCCATGGATGGCCTTGAAAGTGAGGATGAGGATCTTGAATTCGATCCTCTAAGGGATGGGGAGCCAGTGGAGTTGGGGCGAGGGTGGGAGTGATGGGGTCGCGGAGGCTGGTGCGCAAGAGTACACAAGCTGCTGTGGAGCTATTGCCTCCTGAAGCACTGCAGTATCATTACTTAGCAAGGTCCTTGTGTGCACACAGTGATTGTAAAGCCAAATCTTTTGCAGTCACCAGATTTCTGTTTTCATCTTGAAGACAAGTCATATATTCAAAATACCCATTATGCAGGAATGTACACTGTGGTAATGTTAATATCTCACAAGATCTGTATTGGCAACTTTAAGCTTAGTAAATTTATTTGCGATAAACAGTCAACAAGCATTCAGTATCTGCCTCGTACAGTGTATTGTGGATAGAACAACATTATAGTATGGAAACTTTTATTTCTCTTCAATCGTTAAGTTTGGGGAAGTTGCAGGGTTTTGTTATCTGCCACTTGACGTGTTCTGTTTTTGCAATTTCCACATTCAAGTCAAGTTCTTTTTTTCAAAGTTTGTGAATCAATCACCCCCATTCTCGCCTGGCTCCACTGGCTCCCCATCCCTTAAGGATCAAGTTTAAGACCCTCATCCTCACCTTTTAAAGCCCTCCACAGTTGTGCTCCTCCCCTATCTCTGCCATCTATTAACCAACCCATTTACTCACTCTACATCCTTACCAACCTGTCCACTCCCTCTACTTGGTGGGCACTGGCCTGCTTGCCTCGCCATTGAGGGTCAGGCCTTCAGCGTTTCTAGAAGTCCGTGCTAGATTCCCTCCGCGTCACCCCCTGTCTTGTCTCCTTCAAGGCCCATTTCAAGACCTTCCTCTTCGATCTTGCCTTCGGTCACCCTCCCACCTCCACCCCCCCCCCCTTTCCCTACCCTCCATCCCTCTTGATTCCAATTCCTAGCTCGGGTGCAAACCCTTGATTGTCCAGCACATCGGGACATCCTTCTGACGTGAAAGGCACTATATAAATATACTTTTGTTGTTGTTCTTTAGAGTGCAAAGTTCTATAGAAATATGAGTTGCTGTAGTAAGCATGTTGTTGAGTTCACACAGTGTCGAATTGAGCAGCAATGCCAGTTTGTTTGTAATTTAGTTCTCTGGCTCAGTTGGTAGCACTCTTGCCTCTGAGTCAGAAGGCTGTGGGTTCAAGTCTCACATTGGGACGTTGAGCTCACAGTTTGAAATTCCAATGTATGCTAGGGAAGTGTTGTGTCAGCCTAGATAATGAGTTAAAGTCCCGACTAGGTACTTGAACCCACAATATCTTACTCAGAGGTAGGAGTGCTAACATCTGAGCCAAGCTGACACACACATCTCACAAATCATTTTAAAGTGAGAGGAACAAAAGTAGCGGGTATGTTAGAGATGCAGCTGTTAGGTGAGTTAATTAGTCCGCCTTAGAACTTTTGTACATCTTTTCTTCCTTCTCTCACCTTCTTTCTCATCCCATTCCCCTCCCCCACCCCCAAAGAAATGCTGCAAAATTGTGGGATGTTTGAATTTATGGCTCCTGTAACCACTCCATAGCTGGATCCCTGTTAATCCTCACTTAGTAGAAAAAATGTCTCAGGATAAAGTAGAGAAGAAGATCATAAGTATATGTGGCATCACGTGGTGTAGTGGTTAGCACACTTGCCTTGCAATCGAGAGGATCTGGATTCGATTCCCGCCCGGGGCAAAGCCTTACGCAAGTTTCCTTATTCCACACGCCTATGTTTACCACCCAGTAAGTTAGTTGGTGGTAAACATAGGCGTGTGGAGTAAGGAACCTGGTTGTTAGTCGATTGCCGGGGATAATAATCCCTCAAAAAAAACTTTGGTCACTCTGTCGATTGTCATTTCACAATACATTCTGTGAAGTGCTTTGGGACGTCTCAACGACATGCTGGGATGCTATATCAAATACAAGGTTTATTATTGTAAAGTATTTCCTTGTAGTGCCAATGAAGAATGAAATAAAATGAGCAAATCAAGCTTAGCAAGGAAGAACATTGCTGTTTAACATTTTGTTTCCCGCAGTGTGTAAAATATAAGCAATATTCAGAAGTGTATATTACTATGGTGTCATATTTTATTTGTATGTATTTTTTTCATATTTCTTGTAGGAACAACAGTCCCCTGATGAGCTTTGGAGCCAGTTTTGTTAGTTTCTTGGTGAGTAGTCACAAAAAATAATTTCCTGGATTTCATTCATTTCTTAGAAAAAAATATAATCAGGAGCTATTTATATTGAAGTAATCTTGAAAAAAAGATGCTTAATCGTTCAGAAAATACAGTACTGTTCACTGCATTGAGGTGAATAGAAATTTATTTGCCTATGTTTATGGTGTAAAATTCTCAAGTCTTTAAAGGGGTGTGTTTCTAGCTTGCAAGCATGGTCCACGGCTAAGTGTATACCCTCTGATAATTTGTATAGGTTGATCCAATTTTGCAGTTTTGCACAATATTACAATACTGCAGTAGACTTACTGTCATTAAACAATGAATGAAATCCTTCAGCTGCATCCAGAAGGTGATGACTAAAACTATTTTTAAAAGGTCAGTCTGTTTAGCTATTCATCAGCATATTGCATTAATGACATTTTTCCTCCTCTTGCCAATTTACTGAAGTTCACTATTTGATCTTCCCTTCCTCTGACTCATTAATGCAATAGTTTCAAATGAGACAGAAAATGTACATGGGGCTCACAGTTTATATATAGCTTAAACATATACGGTGTACATGTGCTTGTGTGAATGCAAAATCGTACAAAAAATTTGCTCTTGTTCTTCTCTTCCTGTTTTCAACTAGCTAAGCATCCACAGCCCTACTGCGGTATAAAGTAATGTTTGAACTTGGAAGGACTCTGTAGAGCAACTGTATGCTGGTCGTAAAGGTGTAGTTTACTTCAGGTTTAGTGTTGGATCGCTTGGTTAATAAAATTGATTCAAACGATTGATAATGAAATGCATTTGTTCAAGCTAAGTTATTACATAACTTTTGCTATATAAATTTTATTTTGTTGTTGTTATCACTTGTAAATAGTTGTAGCTTGTTATCATTAAATTGGAAGTCGATTACAAATTCAATTGGAAAACTTTTTTTGCAAGTAATACAGAGGAAGTTTTTCAGACTTGTATAGAATTGTCTTTCTGTAGATTATGATCAACTGAATAACAAAAGTGTATGAAGATGTAAATGTCATTAGCAAAAACTGCTCCCATCAGATACAACTCATCCGGTACATAACTATTTTCTGTATGACTAGATTATTTGTCATAGACATGAATTTTTTTGTAGTACAACAATAATAATCTTTACATTTGGTATAGTGCCTTTCATGTCGGGAGGAAGTCTCAAAGCACTTCACAGGATATTCTGAAATTGTGTATTTTGCAGAATGTAGCAATCAGTTTGTGCACAGCAATGTTCCACAGTACAGCCAATAATAATAATCCTTGCATTTGATATAGCGCTTTTCACGTCGGGAGGACGTCCCAAAGCGCTTCACAGAACACACTGTAAAGTGAATTGACTGTATATTTGTGGGCGAACGCGGCAGCGAATTGCGCACAGCAATGTCCCACAAACAGTCGTGGATTGAAAATGACCAATTCATTAGTGTTTTTGGTTTTGGAGGGATTATTTTTAGGCTCTGTGTGGAGTAAGGAAACTTGCCCAAGGTTTCGCCCTCTGCCTGGAATTGAACTCCGGTCTCTCGCTTGCAAAGCGAGTGCTCTAACCACTGAGCTAATTTTCATGAGTTGGCATTTGGAGTCCTGTAGGACTCCAAATGCCAACACATTGCTAGTTGTTCAGTGATAAAGTTGATGTTTTAACCCCCTAGTTTATTTTTGCAATATTGAAGATCTTCCTCATTTGAGATTTAATCAGCAATAGAATGCTGATTTTGTATGATCAACTATACCAAATAAAATTGCAATATAAAGCAAATTACAAAAAAAGGGCAACTTGGGGGGATATGTTGCTTTGGAAATCCATTTAATGCAGCATAGGGCAGTGTATAAATAAAAAGCAAGGAAAAAAATTACTGTGGAACAGGCTTACTTTAATTAGTTAACTGGATCTCCAATGCTCTGATTCACAATAAACAATGAACTTCTGATTTATGTCATCTTGTCTGAATCTATCACAAATCACACTGAACCATTGTTAGCATAGCTACTCTGGGCCTGTAGGATTTAATTTTAAACCTAAAGTTTTATTACTCTATAGGAAGCCTATCAAATGATTTTATGTTTGCGTGTAGAAGAAGAAAAAATAATTCTTCTACAATTACTGCGATATGAATATGATGATGCAACATGTCTGTGAACATTAGTTTCAAATGTGTATGCTTTGCCTAATTTTAGTTGATTTCTGAGGATCAGGCTTGAGGGAAATGACTAGACTGCTGCTTGGAGGGGTAGAAGAAGTCAGAAGGAAAAGGACAGTCAGTTGCCACTAATATTTAACCTTGGATCTTCTACTTGAAAGTCATATGATCTTTAAAACATTACAGTTACTGAAGTCAGACAAAGGGACAACTGCTATAAATGTTACATAAAATTGCAATTGCTTTGCTTGCTAAATTAACTACACATGCTTTTTATTTTTAGGGCTGCATAATTTTTAACTGGTATCTGTGAGCTGCAACAAAACACAAGCATGCTCCCGGGTGTACTGTATGTGTTAAGAGTACTTAACTGGTTCTAACATATAACATTTTGCTGGTTGTTTTTCCAGATTTTACAGTGAACAGGTGTGTGACTACATTTATTTACCAAAATAGGACCTTAAAATGCAGGATTTTGAACTGTAACAAATAAAAATTGATTGGTGTTTTGCAAGGAGCCATTGTAATTTTCAATTAAAACTAGTGTAACAAAATCATTCGGGTCTTAAGGTCTTTTTATCTTAATTAATTAACCTGAATTGACCCAAACTTAATAAATACAATTCTAAATTTGGACTGCTGAGATTATCAGACTGATGACAAAAGTAAAAGTTTTAAAACTTCAAAATTATTGTTTTGCATGAAATATAAATCAAACAGTTTTATAAAACCAAACTTGATTAACTAGTCAATTGTGCTTTGAGAAAAATGGAAAGAAGGGAGAAGTGCCATTTCTTATACATAAGATAACCTTTTGAGGGATTATAAAATAATCCCTCCAAAACAAAACCATAATAAATTGGTCATTTTCAATCCACGACTGTTTGTGGGACACTGCTGTGCGCAATTGGCTGCCGCGTTTCGCCCACAAATATGCGGTCAATTCCCTTTACAGTATATTCTGTGAGGCGCTTAAGACGTCTAGAAGACGTGGAAAGCGCTATATCAAATGCAAGGATTAATATTATTATTATAACCTCCTAGGTAAAGGTCCCTTTATGTTCAAGCAAACTGATTTTAATTACAAAACAAATCTGTGTTTCTATTCTGTAAAATGTGCTTTTTATTAGTGCAAGTGAGTACCTATGTTTAGGGCACACCAACTGTTGAGCTATCCCACTGTAGATGGGATGAAAGTAAATTGATGGAAGTATTGTTTCAGGACTTAGTCTTTCGCCACAGAGCCTGCTGGTTAAGTTGTTTTCCCATAAAATGTAGTTAGCCTTGCCAATTAGATCTAAGTTTGCGAGTGGCTTATCCAATTACTGTGGATTGCATAATTCCCGCCTCCAAAGTGTGGAGCACTGAATCAGTCAAAATGCAGTATAATGTTTTGATGACAGTTGAGTAAATCCATAACAGTTTGGGGATTTGTTGGCTCTTATGGTGAACTGGATGGAACTGTGGCATTTTTTAAAAAGTGTTACTGATCTGTGAGGGGAATATTCTGGTACCTTCATAAATGATTTCCTTACCATTCATTAACTATTTCCATGGCACTAACTGACACAGTTGGGCTATTTTAACATTTCATTTGGGCGATTCCATACAGCAAGTCGATCTAATTCTTGGTATCTGCTCCCAGTACAAATTGTGAATTTTACATTTCAGTTTAGAATGGGTGAGTGAGATAAACTCTGTCTGGAAAGTATATATATAACAGTGTATGAAAATATTTATTTTGTTCAATGTGCACATTGTTGGAACTGAAAGGATTGCGCTTTAAAAAGAGGCAGCACAGACATGATGGGCCGAATGGCCACCTTCTGTGCTGTAAATTTCTCTGGTTCTATTCAACTGTGAAATTACGTTCTGTAATGTAAGATCTCAAATAGCAAAGGTCATTTTAAAGACTGACTTAAAAGGACATCCTTTAAGTTCCCAGTTAATCAAAGGGCTGTTAATAAAGTGAAAGAAGGTTAATAAGATTTCTTGGGAATACAAGCAAAGCCTTGTGTTTAATTCTATAACTCAACATACAATAGATATTCCAGATTTGATTTGATTTGCATAGATGGATACTGTGTGTCATTCTATACAACATCACGGGTTCAGTTTTGGAAGCCAGAATACAATAAATACTCTTCCTGCTAAACTGCTTGTGTGGGAAAAATTCACACATTGCTAAACATGTGAGTTACCATTTGCTGAGTAGCAAACTTAACAAGTGTGATCTGTCATCATACAGGTAGGTTGCTGGCCACGGCCAAATGAAAAGCAATAATTTCAAACCTCCATTTTCAGAATGCCATGATGACCTTTGAAGATGAGAAAATGCAGGTGGCTTGCGACGATCTGAAAAGCACAGAAAAGCTGTGTGAAAGTAGTGAAGCAGGAGTCATTGAAACAATCAAGAGTAAAATTAAAAAGAACGTGAGTACACACCCAAGTCAATATTATCTAGGGGCCAGAACATTGTGCTTTTTTAAAAAAAAAAGTCATTTTTAGGCAGTAGATTATTGATCCTTGTAACCTATATATACATTTTCCCACAAGATTATTCCCCATACAGTATATTAATCTCATTAATTTACAAGCCTGAATTTTTTTATTTTCCAGGAACTTGTCTAGTTCCTCTTTAAAAACGTAGTAATTCTTGTTCTGCTAACTATAATAATGATTTGTTCCGCATGCCTATTTTTACTATAAAAAGACTTGTTTTATAGCTGCTGCTGTAGAGTTTTTAATCAGATTTTTTATATATATCTATATATAGATATATAGATATCTATATATCTTTATTTGTAAAATTGTAGCACTTAATTGAACTAGTGTAACTCTTTGTGACGCACAGTACTTGGAGGATAATGTTGAGATGTAACCCCTTCCAATTCATAACCATGGGAAGTGTATCCTAAGATATAACAACACATATTAAGATATTGGTTAAATGTAACAAAGTGAAATTGTAAGATTTCAGCAAAATCCGACTTGTAATTTTGTGTTAAAAATTGTGTATATTATTGCATATATTCTCAGTGTGTAGGAACTAGTGGGAATTTTTCAGTTTGTGCCCTCATGCTGATCTGTTACAAGGTTTAATGGTCAAGAAGGGCTCGCTGTGTTTAAGTGTGTGTGAAACAAGCTGGTATCATGTGGTATTATGACTATAAGTCTGAAATGCTGTACACTGTCCAGCGCCTTGGGCCGTCCTCCTGATGTGAAAGGCGCTATACAAATGTAATCTTGTTGTTGCTGTATAACTTCTGATGAAAGGAGTTTTTGGTTATTATATTTAGCATTACGACCCGATATACACACTGATATGATATGCACATGCACAGTGCAATAGTGCCATTTATCCGAAAATCTGGATCTCTACTGTAAATTTGTTTCACTCCACAAGAGGGTAAAATGAAGATGTGTATACAGATTCAATATCACTCGAGAGAAGCTATATTCTATTGCATTTAAAAGTCACGAGAAAAATGTAATTTAACATATGAAATGTGAATGCGATGAAATCCATTACCCGTTTAATTCAATTAATCTAACGGGGGAAAGATCTACACAGCAAAGTTTATATTCATGTGGTTATTCAGTGCTCTATACCACAAAGCAACTGTTTTTTTTCAAAGACCAAACTTTTCTTTTCATAATCTTTGCTTCCGCATATAACGAAGGTATGTCCTTTAAAACCAGCTGTTATTTTGGCTTTGTTGGGTGCCACAGTTCCAATTAATATTGTACTATTACTGTCAGAAATGTTGCTTTACAGAATGCTGGGTTGCCACGTAAAAGCTAAGATAACCCTACCTTGTCATAGAATCTCTTGTCTTTTCAATGAAGAGGCGAGGAAATAGCAGAGAATTGCAGCTCAATCGCTATCTCATGGCGAGCAAGACAAGCATGCTTTGAACCGCAAATTTGCAGTAAGGCCCACAAATGGCCCTGGGCCACACAATGAGTAATACTGTTTCCAGAACAAATTAAACTAATTTGCAGACTAAGGCTGTTAAGTTCACAAGTCAATATAGAAATGGTGAATGGGTATCGGGTGAGGGTGGGTTTGTCTGTAATGCCCTCATTGGTTGAATTTACTGACTCAGGCTTCCACTTAAAGAATTGGTTGAAAGATGCATTAGCACCCATGACTTGAGGGTCACTGAGAATGCAAGTATCGTGACAGAGGGGTTGGGATTCTGTTTGGATGAAGAAAGACTTTCGCTCATGTGATTTCTTCCCACCCCCCCCAACCCCAGAACAGCCACCCTATAGTATTAAGTTACTTTTAAATAAGTCCAGTAGCATGGCCTTAACTACCCTGCTCGCAACCTGTTTCAGTCATTAATTACCTTCTGAGTAAAGAAAAATATTGGTGTCTGTGCTGGAAATTGCTTTTTGCAACCCCAAACTGTGTCCTCTTGTTCAACTGCCTTGGTGCAACAACAACAAAATTATATTTGTATAGCACCTTTCAGGTTGGGAGGACGTCCGAAAGGCGCTAGACAGAGAGAGTTACGGACCTGAGCTCAGGGTTGGAGTGAGGGAGGGGGGAGGGCAGGGGAGGAAGCAGGGCGATCGAAAGTACGGTCGAAGAGGAGGGTCTTGAGGTTTGTCTTGAAGGTGGAGGGGGAGGGGTGAGACGGAGATGGAGGGATTGCAGGATGGGGTTCCAGAGGGTGGGTGCAGAGTGGCAGAAGGCCCGCCTGCTGATAGTGGGGTGAGCAAGGCGGAGGACATGAAGCAGCCCGGAGCCTGCTGAGCGGTGGAAGTGAACAGGGTGGTAGAGGGTTAGGAGGTCAGAGAGGTAGATCGGAGCAAGACTGTGGAGGTCTTTGAAGCTGAGGACCAGGATCTTGAACTGTATCCTCTGTGTGATGGGAAGCCAGTGGAGTCGGGCGAGGATGGGGGTGATAGGGTCGCGGAGCCGGTGCGGGAGAGGACACAGGCTGCAGAGTTCTGGATGATCTGCAGCCTATGGAGGGAGGAGTTGGGGAGGCCGACAAGCAGTGAGTTTGCATAGTCGAGCCTCGATGTAATGGTGCATCCTAAAACCTTCTGAGAAAGAGTTCTTAACATTCTTACTCTTCTCTGACTGGTTACCATAGATGACTGCATTGAGAAGAGAGTTAGTATTCATTTATATTTAATATCTGTGGCTGAACATTTTCAGTGAGCTAAGAAAGTCAGCAATCTTTGTCGTGTGTGTGTGTGCGTGTAACAAATAATTGGACTGCATGATTTACTAATTTAATAAAATTCCAATCTGTACATTCATCTTGTTTTGTTGGTTTAATTTTTAGGGAGACTCATTTCTGCTAAACATTTTAAGTAGCAATATATACAATGTAGAATTATTGCTGATTGAGCTTGGGTCACATTAGGTTGCTTTGATTTGGTTGGTTCATTTGAGTTCAAAGTAGTAGATGGGCTGGAGCAGTGGAAATTGTTTTTTTTATTTGAAAGGTAATTGTAAACTGCTGGAGCTAGCAGCAAAGTTGAAATGGATTCAGATTAGAATTGCATGTGTTATGATGAGTAGCAAATAATGTTGTATTTACATTATGGGTTGGAGTATGAATCGCTAATGAGTCAGCTAATTAATCATAAGATTTGAATGATTGAAAGGTGTATATAAATTGTTGACTAACTTGAAGCTTACTTGGCTGGGAAGATTGCATTAGTGCAGGAGAAATTTATATATTTTTTCTTTTTTAAAATATTCACAATATTCAATAAAAGTAATTGATCTGATGCTTGAGTGGTGAACCAGAATACATCTCAAGCTGCTTTTTGATTTCAAAGGCATATAAACAAACTGGTAGCAAGGAGACAAGATATTACAGTTGCAATATCGTTCTTTAACCGGATTCACGGTTAATCTTGGTTAGTCTTGCTTTCTGGTGGTATCTCCAATCAATTTGTCCAGCAAACAGCTATGAATTGAATGAACAGTTTTATTTGACGAGCTTTATTTATGGCATAAATCAAGAAATATTCAATTAAGAAAATGTACTTTGTTGGAAGATTGGCTACCACTGGTCTTAGCTGACTGTGATTGAATTCCATTATTTGAAGAGTGCTTCCACAATAGAAAGGTGCTTAGAAATTGAATACTTTTCAACTTTAACACTTGGTGTCAGTCAGCAACAAACACTCCCACTCTTAAGGGTATCACTGGGGAATGTTGTGTTGGAGGCTTTTGGATGGGATGTTAAACTGAGGTCACAGCTGTCTGTTTCTAGATGGACATTAAATATTCCTTTTAACGCTATTCAAACAAAAACACCTGGGGTTCCAGTCAACAATCTCCCAGATTAAATTGGTTATTCCTACATAATGGCTGTTTCTGGTGTGTGGGACCTTGCTGACGTGGATGGCTGACTTGTTTGCTTACAGTTGACAGTAATGTCATGTGAAGGCCTTTGAGATGTTTCAATGCGATAATGTGCCACAAAAATGCAAGCTTCTGGTTTTTAGAGATTATGAGGAACGTCGGGGGTAAAAAAGAATTTCACAGCACTTTTAGTTCTTGAAAGTTTAATATATGGCCATTTAAATTAGTTTAATTCGGGAGGCAATTTAAATTAAGAAGTATCTGTGTGTGAAAGTAACTTGGGGATGATATGATTATCTTAATAGGATCATGTATAGGATGACGTAGAATGTAAGATGCTACTGCTTAGACAGCTTATATCCTGTACTTTTAAAATAAAGTATGATTTCTGTAAGAAAATTGTGCCCTCCCTGTCCTTTTGGAAGAAAGGCTTGCATGTTTGGATGTTGAATAAGAAAGAGTCATATCAATAGTAATAATAATCCTTGCATTTGACATAGCACCTTATCACATCGATTAGACATTTCAAAGCGCTTCACAGAATATATATATATTATATAATATATATTATATATTGTAAAGTGGATTGACTTGTGTATTTTATGGGTGAAAAGCAGCAGCCAATTGTGCACAATGGGACAAAAAGTCAATGCGGAATGCATGTGAGAGAATCCTAGCCAGAGTATGCTGTCGTTTAATTGACTTCATGGTGCTCCTTGTAAAAGTTTTTTTTTCCCCTTATCCATAAATTAAATCTAGCTTTTTTAAAATTTTTCCGTTTGTACATTTTACAATGCTGTCATTCTATTTATACTCTTAAATGTATTGGAAAGCTGAGGCATTATGTTTGTGCCAAGTTGGCATTCCTCTAGATTCAAGTCAACAACTTGTTTTAAGTCAACAACCCAATAACTCGTCCTGTTTTTCCTTTTTGCAGCGAATTCCATGAATACAAAAATACCCGTATCTTTAAACGATTCAGGATAAATACAACAACAACAAGATTACATTTGTATAGCGCCTTTCAAGTCAGGGGACATCCCAAGGCGCTGGACAGTGTACAGCATTTTAGACTCGAGCTGGGGTCAGGGGG